TTTTTTTTTTTTCAACGGAAGTATGAAAGTGAAGCTAAGGTGAATAACCAACGTTTCTTACAGGTACGTGGACACCCGATTCAATTGGGTACTTGGAGTATAACTCTACGACCTTCCGATGCACGATTCCCATCAAGCGTGCAGATATAGACTTCACAATTGCTTGCTGAAACCTCCTGTTATGTACTTGATAAGTCTGGTGTCATCTTTTTATTATCAGCACTGGGTGATATCCTGAACATGCTACTGTCAGTGTACAAGATAATCGTTAATCCGAGCGAGCGAGCGAGAACAGCGTAATTCTAAAGTCATGCTGCTAAGCTTGCACTCTTTATGACTAAAGAGATAAAATAGCTTTCCCAGCGACTGAAGAGATCGAGTAACACCTGGCCATCTTAATTTCGTCTGAGTACTATTATATCATCTTGTATCCTTACGTACCTCTGGGTAATATGTATAAACTGAGCTCTGAAGGCTATAGACCTATGGTCGATGGTTGAAAACTTTATTATTCGATGTATGTATCATAGCAAAGTCATCCCGGTGAAAGAACTAAATGGCTATTGAGATAATTTAGTGTGCAAGTGGGTAGTCGTACTCTTCTCGAATAAACCCGCATATTAACTTAATAATAGCTGAACTCCGTATCGGGAAACCGTGGAAATCGGAACCCATAAGGCGTTCAAAGGGGGTTATTCCGACTCCCGAGCGTTAGTTTAGCCGCAATAGGTAAGGTGCCTTGACATGTTGAAACCCACATTAAATTTCCGAGAAAGTCCCTCTTGCCAACGTCATCTTCTCGATAGAGTAGATCATCTTCGAAGCCGTTGGGATTCCGAGGTAACACTACCGAGCGATTGTCAATGGCCAATCGGAAAACGCAAAAAGGGTAAATGAGCCCCACTAGCCGAGGAAGGTGGTATCGCCCGCTTGAATCAGGTGGGTCGGCATGCCGAGTCGAGTCAGTAGACGCAGGGCTGGCTTCCCGAGTTATTCTAGAACGTGTCATGCACTAGCCAGTCAGAGTATAATGAATTATGTTTATATATAGATAGTGTGATCGCGCTTTTGAATATCCTCGATCATATACAATACTCCAGTTAATTTGAATATAATCACTCGTACATACTACTTTCCAATGCCTATACAACAGTTCTATCTCCTAGGGGAGCCAATCTCCTCTGCGAGGGAGATTGAAATCAAGTCTTCCCTCGACATCGAGGGCCTCCAGCATCTGATCGCCGCTCATTTCGCTATTGTCGAGCCTAGTGGTTAGTCAACTCGCTATACTATTCTCCCGATTCTGACTTGACTTGCTCACCCCAAACCAGGCATCGGCTTCCAAGCCAACGACAGCACACTAAACGAGATACCCGAAATCACCTCAAGCAGCGGCCCGGTAGCAATCACAATCGACGGAAAGGAAGTCCGCGAACCCCCAGGCCCCAAGGGTCTCCCCGTGGTCGGCAACTTCTTCGAAGTATACCCCGACCACCTGGGAAACCACCAACGGCTGTTCGAGCAATACGGCCCAATTATCAAGACCACCAGTCTGGGGCGCACAGTATACCAGACCAACGACCCGGTCCTGTCGTCCATTGTGTTCTCCGAGTCCGACTTCTTCACTAAGAAGATCAACGAGTCCCACCCTCTCTATGCGCTGAAACAGCCCAACGCCGGTGTTTTCCTCGGCGACACCGAGACGCCGGAATGGAGGGTCGCGCATAAGTTTTTGCCGCCGGCGCTGGGTCCCAAGGCGGTCCGGCACTACGCGCCGACCATGCAGCAGACGGTCGAGGATGCTTTCAAGGTGTTCGATGCGTTCGATGAGCAGGGCGAGGCCTGGAATGTCTACCAGTATATGTTGAAGCTGGGATCCCAGGCCGTGGGAAAGCTGACGCTGGGGCTTGACTTCCAGCATTTTGATTCCCCCGATGCGAATCTGCACGAGATGGTCAATCTGATCGCCGAGCTGCTCTCGCTGAACAAGAAGGTCACGTCCAAGGGTGACTGGTACGCCAAGTTGCCTTTCGGGGATCCCAAGAAACTCAAGCAGATCGAAGCGCGGATCGTCGAGCTGGTAGATGAATCTATTCAGTCGGCGAAGCGGGGCGGTGTCGTCGACCTTCCCCTGCAGGATGCGGCATTGCAGGCTTCCAACATGGTCGGTACGTAGTCTTATTCCTCTCTCTCTCCCAACGTTTGTTTCATTCCACTTACCATGCACACAGACTATGCGGTGCGTGCCACCGATAACAAAGGCGAGAAGCTACCGAAGTCAAGTCTCGTCTGGGCTCTTACCGTCGCAACCGGCGCCGGCTTCACCACCACCAGCTCCCTCCTTTCATGGCTTATATACGGTCTCGTCACGTACCCCGATATGCAGGAAAGGCTTCTCCAGGAGTTGATCGACCATGACATCGACGAGAATACTCAAATGACAGCCGATGTCACGGACCGTCTTACCTTCCTGGACAAGTATATCAAGGAAACGCAGCGCCGACACAACCCAAGCTTCCAGCCGGGGCGAACAGCAAAGGTTGACCTCATTCTCCCGGGAGGGTACAAGATACCCCAGGACTCGGTCATTATTCCCGCATTGCACCACATCCACAACAACCCGGACCTCTGGGATAATCCGCAGAAGTTCAATCCAGATAGGTGGGATACCGACGAGGTGAAGAATAGACACAAGGCCGCGTACATTCCTTTCGCCATGGGGCCGCGCATGTGTATTGGATTCAACTTTGCCCTGCAGGAGATCAAGGTCTTCCTTCCTAAGCTGGTTTATCGGTACAAGTTCACTCGCGAGGGCGATGGCCACATTGAATACGACCCCATGTTCCAGTTGATTCGGCCGAATAACTTGTACGTTCGGGCAGAGAGGAGGGTTAAGTGGCCGCCGAAGACGGAGAAATGAGTCTGGTCTTACCAGAGAACATGAAGCAACAAAACGATAGATCAGTGTTATATAGTATATGTATATAGTCGGGTTTGTATTTTAGATAGAATAGACAGCTTTGTTTTAGCTTCTCGTTCATGCTGGGGATCTATATCCCCTGATACCAAATTGAAATCGCAAGCAACGAGGATGAAATATATCCTCCGACTGGAATACCTCAAGATAAAATTATACAATATGCATCAGCCTCAGATGCCTGCACACCACACAGGGTGACCCTACATATATACTTGAACAAGTGGCACACTCAGAATGAAAAAGCCCGAAACGTGTTTCCGAGGAACATATGTTATTCTTAGAATGCGTCTCGACCTGTCTCTCCTGTAGAACCACTGTTGAACCCATCTGTGACGGCTAAGTCCTCGAGTCAATACATCAGCAGGCCCTATAAAGCTTGCACAGAGTGAACATGGTTCATCTGGTGGGGAACTGAGCTCATGAAACGGGGTATAAGCCTGATGGCTAATTTTGTTTCATGTTCCGGCTGTCAATAAATTTTCAAGTAGATGATATAGACCAGAGCAAAATAATTAATGAGATATTCATAGGGTTCAGACAGAGCATATGGTGTATTGCGATCTTTGCTTATGTCTCTGTTTCATCATACTGTGCATGGTTTTAACCTCTAATTTGGGCGTGATGCGCTGGAGCCTACTACAATAGGGACTTGGAGGGTTGAGGGGCTAGTGTGGAGTGCTCTCTTTCTAATTTCTGAATTAGATATGCGTACGAAACTCCTAGGTATGTGTTTAAGATACTCCAGTTACTCAGTTGAGATGTCAAGACTGATAGTACCATGAACAACCAATGTACACGCAGTGGGATTAACATGAGAAGAAAAACCAATCTATGGTTCTGTTATTTATATATCTATTATATTTTACATGCGACTAAAGCTTGGCCTTCTCGGTCTGGGCGGCCAGGTCGGGCATCAGCAGATCCCGCAGGTCTGAGGCGGCCTCGTTCAAGTAGTAGCTCATGCGCTCAGCACCGATGCGCTTACAGACGATGTTGAAGTTAAGGCTGTTCCAATGCGATTAGCATAGCACGTTTAAATAAGGAAAACTGCTCAAAAAGACTCACCTGTTCTCGTTGATCATGTAGGCAATACCGAATCCATCGTCAATCACCTGACTCCATCCGTATCCGTTGAAGAATTCCGAGCTCAGCTGGCTGGTCGAGAGGTACCACGAGCCACTGTAGCTGTAGGCCGGGTCCTGGTACAAGGCCGGCAGCTGCTCACCCTCCTTGAGCACCTTCTTCAAGCCAAAGAGGTGACGGTCGACACCGCGGCCGTCACTGGCCTCTGCGGTGTACTTAGAGTGGGAGGCCAGGGCGGTGCGGAAGAGGCGCACAACCTCCTCACGGGGCACGGAGGGGTCGCTCTGGGCCTTGCAGAAGGCCACGCTGTCGTCGGAAACGCTACGGATGGTCTCGGTACGGCCCTCCTGGAACTTACGCGTCGTGGCAGATTCGTAGGTCGGGCGGTTCTTGCCGTACATCTTGTAGTAGGCCAGCTGGATGACCATCTGCACATATGCATCCGGGCTGCACTTGAACTTCTTGATGAGACCCTTGCCGTAGCCCTGGTAGGCCTGCACCTTCAGCTCGTGCGAGCTAATCTGCTGGCGGTGCTCCTTGGTGGCGGCGTCAATTGCCTCCAACACCTCGTTGTTCAGGTGGAAGTTAATGGGGCGGGGGTCGGACAGACCGGAGCGGACAGGCTGCTCCGACAGGTCGATCTTGTTGTTGAAGATAAGGTTGTTCAGGTGGTCGTTGAGACGGCTGGTGGGGCTGCCGTCCATCATGCTGTGCTCACCCATGAAACCAGCGGTGCCGTTGTCATTGATGATGAACTGCAAAGGCTTGTCGAACCAGCGGTTGGCGCCATCGCCGTGCCAGTACTGGTGAGCCCGCTCCTCCAGCGTGACGGGGGTAGCATCGTCAAGGCAGATCAGGAAGCCGCTGGACTCGATGTCCCGCAGGGCCTGCTCGTTGGCCGGGTGCGCCGCAAGCAGCTTCTTCCGGGCATCCGTCCAGAGGTCACGGTTGGCCGCAGTCAATGTACCGACGGCGGGCGACTTCTGGGCGATCTGGTAGATACGCTCGAACTGCTTCTCGAGCTCCGACACGTTCAACTGCTTACCATCCACGACGAGAGGCACCTTGAAGAACTGGTTCTTGCGCACCACCACAATGTGCTCGTTCTCCTTGGCGGGGTACTTCTGAGGATAATCCGCACCATCGGCGGGGATACGGCAGCAGTTGAACATGTATTCAAACGAGCTCATGGCAATAGGCTGAGCGCGCATGTATTCCGGCTCCAGGGAGCCATCGTCCACCTGGCGCTTGAACTCGAGCGCCGCGGTCGCGACGGACGCGGCACGCTTGGCGGGGTTCCGGCGAGCGCGGTCGTCCTTGTATGAGTAGAAGTAGGAAACGTAGGGAACCACCGGGTCGCGATAACCGAGGTATGCGGCGTGGTTCCACCATTCAGTAAGCCAGTTCTTGTGCTTGGGGTCCGCGGCGCGGGCCAGAAGTCTTTCCTGCAGAGTATGGCCCTGGCCACCAGGGCAAACGAAGGCCTCTACGGCCTTCTTGGTGTTCTCATATTCGGCTTCGGAAACCACCGCATGCACCGATTTCAGGTAGCGGCGGGCGGTTTCTTCAAGAGTGGGGACCGGCAAGCGGGGAAGGGAATCTTCGAATCTGAGCATCTTGCCCTTGGAGAGGTCCTCTACGTAGCCTGAACGATGTTAGAACCGACAGAATGATTTTTTCCGCATTTGTGGAAAATTTCCACAAGATCAATGTGGTGCATGTGATTGAACTCACCCTCCGGGACAGACGAAGCCTTACGTCGAGGAGCCATGGTGGGTGCCTACATCTGCCAGTTAACATGCCATTCTAATTCATACCAGGGGCGCAAAAAATGGAGACCATTGCGCAAGACATACCACCGCAGATCTGGCGAGAAGAGAGTTGGTAGGAGAGAGACGGGGCCGTGAAAGTGTGGAGAGACGGCTTCGAGCAGAGGCCGTAAACATCCCTCTGGACTGTGACGGGTGTCTAGTAGGGGAAGGGTATGAGGTGGAGAGGTGAGTAGATTAGAGAATTGAAAATATGGAAGCGATCGAGAGGCAGAATAGTTTAAAGTAGCGAAAGAAAAGGGAACAGGTGGATAGGGAGCAACTGAGAGAACAACCTCGGTTGGAAGGAGAAGCGTTTCGGCCGACCTTGGGGGGCGGTATGATACGGTACCAATAGGCTCTTTTAACAGAGAGGGGCGGGCAAGCTCTACGGAGCTCCCCGTAATTTGAGGGGTAATACGGAAACCGGAGGGCGGAGCACGGAGCACGGCGTATTGAAAGTGAGTCGACGTAATTCCCCCAGACTTTCCTTGGGCCTCGGCACATGATCCAATCCGACTTCACGGCACGGCACACCGGTCAACCTCAGTATAACTGGAACCTCCGGAGCCCCTACTCAATACAGCAGGTGCCGGCCCTGATTCGACGAGCCACGCCAAGAAGCATTCCACTCTCATCGATGTGGCTCTCCAGTGCCCACTTCACGGGGAATCCTATCCCGTGATATCTAGAACATCCTCTGTACGGGGTACCAGCCTATATATCTCTCTCCATATCTTCCCGTGAACACGTGGAATGGTCTACCGAGATACCCCTGATCATGTCCCGCCCTGGTTACACATAGGACACACCCATGAACAACTAACTCATGATGTTTCCTCCGTAAAATCTCCCTTCACCCGTGCCGCTGATCCGATCTTGTCACCTGCCAACGGTCAGATGAACCTTGTCGGAGAATGACATCTGATTGGCGCCGGCGGCGGAAAGGCATCCGGGAAGTTTAATAAGCATTAAAGGTTCCTCCTGGGTACATGGATATATATCCCTGCGATCAAGCAATGCATAGCAATGGATCCGCTCGTCATAGTAGCTGAGCCACATTATATTGTATTAAATTCATCAGCTCGGACAAACACGACACGCAAGACAGGTAAATTCAGAGAAATGATCAGTTTGCTCCACGCCTCGCTAGAACAACATATACATCTAAAAGCCATGAACACACCACGTAAACATTAGGAAACGCCTACCCAAGCCTAAAAATTAATCGGTAGAGAAAAAGAAAAAATGCACAACGCATGAACACTCATTACAAATATCATGATACCGTCTGGACCGGTGCAGCCGGCTGGGGTTCTTGACTCTCCATGGCCTTCGTCTTCTGTCGCGTGATCTGAATACCATTGCGGAGGTGCTCCAATTTCAACACGCCAGGACCGGTGCAGATCCGACCGGTCTGCATCATGTTGCGGAGCCGTTTTCGCCGTGCTTCTCCACTACGCTCCTCGCCTCGACCAACGCCCTCGTCGACCCACTCAGTCCGTAGCACTTTAAAGCTCATCCCATCATGCGTTCCATCCCAGGGTCGTGACTTGAGGCCAAATAGCACGCTTGAATCATACCGCTCCAACCGGGGCAGGATGAGAAGTATGATATGTAGGTCCTTGTCTGACGGAGGAACCGGCGGAACGCGAGGTCGATCCCCCTCCGGCAGCCCGACATCTTGGGCCGTCTTGGGCGCATGTTGGTAGGCATCCTTGATTTCCAAATCAAGCATGTCAGCATCGATATCTTCACCCCACGCCCCGCGCATGAATCCCGAATGAATGGCTGCCGCAACAGGATCCGAGTCGTCGGTGTAGATGCCGGTACCCCAGAGCGCACGCCGAGCGCAGATCTCCTCGCGATGGCTGGAATCAATGCGGAAACGCGGGACTCGGATGGTAAAGGTGCAATTTTCTTTGCCTTCAAAACGTGGGAGGGGAAGCGGGGTGGTTGTGTAGCCAAACTTGGCACTCTCCAAGGTAGCCTTCTCTGTAGGGACTCCAAGGCGGGGAGCGTATAAGGTTGACCCGAGATGATGGCGCGGGAGATGGGCCACGCTCGACAAAACGGGTTCAATATTGACCACGGTTCTGGGTTCACGCATCGGCGTCACCGCCGGCGGGTTGGCTGTAGCAGGGCGTGGTGTATGATGGTGGTGATGGTGATGGTGATGGTGGTGATGACCCATAGCCGTCGCCGCTGCATCGGCCTGCGTTGAAGCCCGGTGGAAGTAATTCAGTGAAGCGACGGCACGATGGGCGCCCAGGGCGCTTGTTTCTTCTTCGGGCTTATGGCGATGATGGTGATGGCTGCATGGTATTGTTAACATAACTCTAATTGAGATACCTCTGTGTGCAAGAACAGAGATAAATAACTGGGGTAGCAACTTACTGATGATGGTGATGGTGAACGTGACGACCCCGACGACTACCACGCGCCGAGGCAGCCAGCCGTGCATCTGTACCCGCCTCAGTCTCCGCTCTACCATCTTCGTCCCGGGACTTCCGTGGTCTTTTGCCATTTGCCGACGTGGGTCGACCGATCTTGGTCTCATCCGTAGTTGGTTCACTGTTGACTGACTTCGCAGTGACGCTGTCACGCTTGAAAGGGCTGGCAACCATTGGGGTGGAAGGGCCGCTGCCTGTGGTGGCGGTCACGCCGCCCACACCGCTGCCAATACCGGAGAAGACCCGACCAAGTTCGCTCTTGATACCGGCCTCGCCGGCTGGCCCAAGGATCTGGGCCTGGGCACCTTGTACCGCTTGGGGTAAAGGTGACGCTCGCCCACCTCGTTTCGCGTCGAGGCCGACCCCGAGAAGGGTTCTGTGCTGGAGCAACTCATCGCTGCCCTTCCGCCGTTGGTCATCTGACGAAGCGGAACGAGCCAAAGATGACGGGCCAGCGGACGGGGTCGAGCTAAATAGACGCTGTTCGGTTTGGAGCTTGCTCAGATATGGCTGCTGCTCATGAGGAGGCGGCGTAGGTTGACCCTGACGGGGCTGGATCGACAGGGGAGGTTGTCGTGAGCCTCCCAGTTGAGAGCCCAAAGATTTAGTGTAGCTTTGAATTGCGCCGAACCCGAATCCGGAGCCGGGCTCAGGGGCGGGGAAACGCTTAGCTTCGGGTGATGGTGGCTGCGAGCGACCAAGCTCCCACGTCGCTGCAGTCTGCGGCCGGGAGGCTGCCGGGTCCCGTTCGCCGTACGGACCATACCGTGATTGAGAGTGTGTCGCCTTGGACTCTTGCTCGTGTGCAATGGCTCTCTCTCGTTCTCGGTGCGCCTGTTCTTCCATGTGCCGATCCACGTATATCCCCCCAAACCGGCCGTGTTGAGACTCCTGGCCCATGTAGGACGCTTGCCGCTGGTGCGCTCCTCCAAAGCCCTCCGGTGCAGCCGCCGATCGTGCCAGTGGACTATACCCCGCCGGCCGCTGAGGCGCCTCGAGGTGCTGGGGCTGGCTGTTCGGTCGAGGAGCGGGTGCGCTGAAGCTGAATCGACGCGTCTCGTTGTATGGAGGCTCGGCGGACGACACTTGGGGCGAATGATGCGCGGAACTGGGCTTATCTGGATACTGCGACGAGGGCGGGACGCGCGACAGGCTTCCGAATTTGGTTTGTTCCGCCACGGACGGCTGAGACATTCCACCCGAGCTAGACCGGTATGGCCTCCCCAGTTGGGCCTTCGAAAACGACTTCTCCGGCGTGTGCGATCGCCGGAAGGATGGGTACTCAAGCGGAGAGGGTCTCGCTGGGACGGTAGGCGGCGACATTGCACTGGAAGCCGACGGAGGAGGTGCGCTGCTGAACGGTGCGGATGACACTGGAATACGCGAAAAGATAGATGATGAGCCTACATCCCGGGCTGGACGGTCAGCGTCCGAGCCAAGCATTGCCGATATCGACATGCTGCTACCAGGACGATGATGAGCCGGGTTGCTGGGAGGCTCACGGGACGAAAAAGCTGTGGAAAGAGAAGAAGCATTTCCGGATTGGCCCCGTGAGGGGTAATGTTGTGGTGGAGACGGAGGAGGCATCCGACGAGTGCCTAAGGGAGGTGCGGAGGGCTGTTCTTGGGGTCCTACGCATGATTCCGAGGTTAGCGAACAAGTTTGCCAGCGTCATTGTAAGCAACAACGAGAGAACAACACGAATAAAAAAAAAAAAAAATCAACAGCAGTAAGGAGAAGGTTCAACGATCTGGGCGATCGTGCATAGTTGGGCCCATAGGGCTCTCACGGCGCGTGAGAGTTAGGGCGCCTTCTGGCGAACGCCTGGCACTCACCAGGAAACACGGGACTGCCACTGCTGCCCAAAGACCGCCGACGGCTTTGGTCATGCGATGGGGGAGGGTTCATGTCGCATTCAGGAATAGAAATCAAAGATAACAGAAATAAATACAAGAAATTAAGACGTGGTGGGGAAAGGGAGACGAAGAAAGGAAAAGAAACGCGCGAGAAAGGGGAGAGATGATCTGATGCTGATGGAGAAAGCGCAACAAAAGAGTTCCACGACTGGGGCAGAACCCGTGACTCTGGGACTTCCGAAAGCTCGGCCAGCGCTAGACCTATTCAGACCAAGTCGCCCTGAGATAAGACGCTAGCCCAAAATGGGGATAGCGCTCCCGAGGTCGCCTGGGCTGGAAGTCGATCAGGCGCCACAAACGCGGCTGGTGCAAGACCCGTGATTGGCCATCGATCTCTGGTCTCAAAGTTTGGGTACCTTTCCTTGATGTAAGGTAGGACGGGGTAAACAATGAGCCTGCATGGAGACAATTGACGAATCTGCAGAGTGACTTCTGCCCCAGGATATGGCAAAAAGGAAGAGGTAAAAGTAACAGAAGCGAAGAAAGGAGAGAAGAAAACCAAATAAAAAATATATATATAAAAAAAAAAAGGGAGAGTCCTTCTATCCACTGTCTCCGAATGACCATCGGGCGATCGCAAATGCGACCAGCTGGATCCAAGTAAGGACCAACCCCCCTGAAGTCTGCCATGACTCAACATGCCCCGTAAAATCGAGAAACAATCAAGCAAGAGTAAAACAGCAGAAACTGACAGATAACTTGGAAAAAATCGAAAGTTGTTCCTACCTTCACGATATACCATACGACGGTCATGGTTGCTGGGCTGATTAACATTATAACTATAATTATGACGATTATTAGACTCTTTTAATCCTCCGTCCAGCGTGTGCTTCCTCATCGAACCAGGGTTCGCCTGTGATACGAGATACCCGTTGCTCTCTGTTCGATACGGCGCCGAGACACTCTCGTGGGCATATGAGGCGGAGGAAGCAGGGATCGATGGGGCAGTAGTCACTGGATGGTGATATACCGGCACCGCGCGAGGCATCTCGTGTTCGCGTCGGTTATAGGCATCGTAATACACGCGTGCTGATGGAGGCGGTGGTGGTGCGTAGGCACGAGGTGGCGGCGGAGCAACGAGGCGAGGATCGTGGGACGCGCCTAAGATCGTCGAAGGATGCGCATGATATATTGGATGGGGAGGGTGTTTCTGGAAATCCATCATCATCGTAGAGGGGGTGGTATTCGAGTGGTGGTCGAGGTTTGCAGCATCCAACGTTAAGGAGAGTTTTCGTGTTTGGGCGATGGAGAGAAAAATTGAAACTGTTGATGATCGCCAAATGGCGGTGGAAAGGGAGAGTTGAGCGAGTCGAGACCAAAGCTTGTTTTTATGTAACAATATCAAGCGGCACGGATGACGGAAGAAGATCAAATAGCTAATACGATTTAGAGAATAAGAATAATAAAGGGATCCAGCTCGACGAGCGCGAGGGAGGGAATCCACGGAAGAGAAAAGTGAAAACTTCCACAGCTCTCTCAGATAGCTCGGGTAGGAAGGTGGATGAAAGGTTTGTGGAGAGACAAGGAAAAAAAAAAAAAAAAAAAAAAAAAAAAAAAAAGAAAAAAAAAAAAAAAAAAAAAAAAAAAAAAAAAAAAAAAAAAAAAAAAAAAAAAAAAAAAAAAAAAAAACGCAGGAAAATCGGTGAGAAATGGAGTAGGGGCACAGGACGAACATGCGACAGGCCCAACTGTCGAGTTGGAGCAAAACCATCGGACGAAAAGCGGCGCAGAGCCAATCAATTGAATGCAGAACCGCTAGTTGGGTCGATTAACGACCAGCTGCAAATCGTAGTGGCCGATGGGGCCGTCGTGGCAGCGGGGAAGCCGGTGGAGCCTGTTGGACTGGATTGTGAGTGCGTATCGATTTCTTTATTTTAATATTCATTTTTAACATTTGATATATACTTTTACAACACGGTAATCTATACCCTATTAGATCTTCTATTGATTGCTGCGATAGATTCGCCTCGGTTTTCTATATTTATTCTTATTCTATTTATTTTCTTTTCTTTTGTCGTTTCTCTTTTTCCCGCTGATTCCTGACTAAGAGCCATCCTACGTTGGGCGCAAGGAATCCCCGACCTGCTTGTTGGTCGGCATTTATGCATCACGACGTGTCATGCCCATCATTACCAGCACTTGATCTGCGACCATCGACTAGTCTCTTCCCTCGGTTCCTTCCTTCCTTCCTGATATCAATTGACACTGGAACGTGTCTCTGAGCTTCCCTTTCTGTTCATAATAGCGGTACTATTGTTATTATTATTCTATATAAACCGGCCCATTAATAAGACAAACTCCACCAGGCCAGATTCAGGAGTACACAGTAAGACAGGAAAAATATATAAAAAGAAACTGTAAATTAATTCACAAATAAAAATAAAACACAACAAAGACAGAAAGAAAAAAGAAAAAAGAAAAAAGAAAAAAGAAAAGAAAGAACCCCCCCCCCCTCCTCCCCCCTCCCTTATAATCTTGTTCCCTCCCAAGGTACCATTCTCAAGAAACGCAGCCAGCCTGATGTCATCCGCCAGCCTTGGATCCCCACCATTCAGGCACCGTAGAGTAAAATCCAATGCGATCCAGTTACACCGCGACACCGCCTCCCGGTGACTTTTGAAGCAGAAAAAGAAAAAGAAAAAAAAAAAAAAAAAAAAAAAAAAGAAATAGGGAGAAATCAAACACCAACACTCCAAACGACTCCACCCCCCTTCAAAAGAAACCTTATCCGTAGCCATGGAAACAGCTATATTCTTCTTGTTCTACACGATCGGCCTGGTTACTTCTTCATGTGGCCTTAATTTAATTTTTTGCCTCTGAAACGCCTCCTCAGTGTAACCCAGAGAAGAAAGAAAGCTCAGGCTGTGCATCGTGAGAACAAAGATAGACGGCGTTTTGATCTTCATTGTTGTACCGTGGTACATGCTCCATACATGCGCATACATACCTCATTCCGATCCCCCTTACGTCGTGGCAAAGGGTGGCTTGACGCGACACATTCCTCTTCCATGGGTTATCAGAGGCCTGTCGAGATCTGGAAGGGCGCCCATACCCGGGGTTGTTGCGAGTCTGGGACTGACAATTTGCTTGAAATCGCATCCTAAGGTTGCACTTATTGCAGATGATGAACCTTTCATTCTAAAATGTTATACATGGATATGTCATACACGCACGTGTACGTCATCAACATCATCGTCTACTGCCCAAATGATCCTGCAAAGTTATACTTTCCCGGTATCTCCCTTCCGACCGTGGCATTCCATGCCTCCGCCGACAAAGTATCGTCTCCACCAAGGAATTTCACATCTTCTCCCGTCAATCTCGATCATATCCGCTCCCTCGTGGACCAAAATTCGCCAGATCATCCGACGCACTGCTGGTGGATAGTCTGAGGCCCCCTCATATCGCGCGTGAAGACCGCGCCGATGAGCGGCTCGCACTTGGGCGCGGACGCGCTCGATCTGTTGTGGAGAGAACCGACCGCCACGGTGAGGGAAGCCGATTGATCGGGTGAAGTTTGCGGTCGCAGTGAGGAGTTGGTATGAAAACTCATGGTGTTGTCTGAGACTGCTTCCTGTGTCCGCCTCGGTTTGTGCAGGTTTGCTCTCTCTGACACTATGGGAGGCCTGAGGGACTCTCAAGGCAGAGCCATAGTCCTCCTTCAGTAATTGCTCTAGCGAGGTATCGAACATGATACTTTCTATGATGCTGTCATGCGCGGGTTCAGCCATATCGACGAAGTCCAGGCTCTCCAGACCTGTGAGGACGATGGTAACAGGGCGGGGGGCAACCTGTGTTCCGTTCCGATATGAAAGGTAACCCTTCTGTTTCAACGGCATGAGTTGAGAAACTAGTTGCGGCCATGCCGCCTGAACTGAAGTGCGAAGCTCCAGGAATAACGTAAATGGCTGTGCTGGGTCTGTATCAAACAAGCCTATTGGCCCAGACTTGGCAGTAGATGCTGGAGAAACCTCGGCAGAGTTTCTGGCATCTAGCTTCTTTATAAGCGGATTGATATATAGTTTATCAAGTGTACCGGAAACCTGTCGATTTGACACGAGGCCGTCCACAAGAAGCTCACCCCCCTGTGCCTTGAAGCCCACCCTAACCCCCGAACACCCAGCATCTATAGCATACTGGATAGCATCATGTGCCTGTGGATTGTAGAGAATGCAGGTGCTTGGTTCCCGACTGAATTCCGTTGGCCATTGAACAAAGCCTTTTGGCTCTTCAATTCCACTACGGAATACGATGTATGTGAACCCGTACGGCAGTGCCGCCAGAAACTGAATTACAACTCTGTCAAAGAAGGTTAGCTTTCCACGGTGATTGGTCTCAACGAAGGCAGCAATGCGTACAGGAACATCAGAAATAAGCAAACGAGTGGGAAGACGCGTTCCGTCCATTGTTTTCTTAATATAGCCGAGTACCTAGCCACATAAGCGGACAAGCCAGGAATACATTCAGTCGGATGGGACCGAAGCGGATGGTCGTCGAGTAATTCCCAAGAATATGAATCATATTCCTTATCTCGTAGGGATGGGGTGTTATCGAGCTGGTCGGACTTCTTCATCACTGCCATTATCTGGGGACGTCTCTTTCCGAGCCGTCGATAAGCATGCAGCGCGGATTTTCAGAATGATCGACGGAAGGAATCGACGGCGCCCCAATGTGGGGACGTTCCTATGACAGAGTCTGGCTGCAGGAGTTAAGGCCAGGAACGAGGTTCAACAGACGGATTCTAAACGTGAAGGGGGATTACTGAAAAAAAGAAAGCAGAAACAAGGGCATGCATGGTCGCGTGCCACATTGCGTGGATAAATAGGGGAGGCATGCAAGGGAGGGTGGTGATAGTTCGAGAGCACGCAATTGCCGGTTGGGATGGTTCACAGTTTAGCGAAAACGCCATGAGAGACGCAAATTGTCGGTCGGGATGATCACTTCGTATAAAGCTGACCAACTCGAGAACCTGCCGAACCTGCCTATGGGACAACGTGAAGCAGCCTTTCTCGACCTCCCACGAATATCCGCACTATGGGCATCGATACTCAGTATACTGAAGTTATTGGACAATTCAGCTGGCGAATACTCCATACTTCCTTCGCCCACTTTCGGGCCGATTCAGCTCGAAGGTGTGGAGATGAAGCAATTAAGGACGCGTGCCGACTCCAAACTTATCCCAGAGAAGCAATGTCACGGGCGATCCCCTGATTACCGGCAGCCCTATCATAGCAGGTCTTCCTCAGAGCCAGGATGCAGTTATTCTACTTGAAACATATGACATATGTTGCCCTGAAGACGTTTAGCCTATTACATGCAGTATCAAATTGAATTTCCAGTTTCTAGGAGACCGAACTTTATAGGATGTCGAAGTTTATAGACTAGCGAATTGTTTTCCTGCGGAAACTTTGGGACTATTGAACAGCGGTTTTGTGATATTGATATTGGAGAATAAACCATTTTCTAAGGAACATTCGAGCGTGAAGTTCACCGCCGGAGAATGCTTAATATTTGTCCGATACTTCTTTCTAATGTGGAGATCTACCAACATCCCTTGTCCACAGCCTTGTATACCCATCAAGTAACCCTTCATTCATCGTCGTCTTCATCATCATTGTCATCATCATTATTATCATCCACATTACCATGATAGACAGTGACAACCATACAATACTTCCACCAGGTATTGACTGCCATAACATCATTGCTTTTGGGACAACAGGTGTCGTCGCACGCCATCCTGATATTCTGAAGGTCGCCAAAATCCCCCATGGTGGTGATCCAGATGCGCAGGATCGTAGCTCTATAGAGTTAATGATTTACGAACATTTCAATCAGCTGCAAGATAAACCTTCCACTATCTTACAATACTTTGGTTCTTCAAATGGAAGCATTATTCTAGAGTTCGCCGAGAATGGGGATGTCCGGCGGTTTCTACGCAAAGGAAACGTCCCGTCTGAGTATATGCTTCTTCAGTGGGCTTACCAGGCAGCGCAGTCACTGGCATTTTGCCACAGTCACGGTATATTACACAGGGATATAAATTGCGGCAACTTTTGTCTTGATCGCCATCTGAATATAAAGCTCAGCGATTTTGCCGGGTCATCGATTAACGGTTCACCTGCAAAGGTTTGCTACAGTACTAGCCACCAGCTTCCGGATAACTATTTTTCGACCTCCAATGGGGCTATAATTTCAGAGAAGACAGAGATATTTGCATTTGGCTCAGCGTTGTATGAAATGGTAACCGGTAATGAACCTTATAGCGACAAGGAAGAATCTGAGATTGAGGATCTATATCGACATCATAGTTTTCCCGATGTTATCGGTCTTGGTCCACTAGGGCCCGTGATTCATAGATGCTGGACCTCAGATTTCCACTGTATGAGTGAGATTGTTGAATATATTGAAGCAAAATGTGAGTTACCGCTGTATTATACTATATGTTCTGTATTAATCGCTGATAATAAATACAGTACAAAGCTGTTGTCGGCGTAATATGCTTGCACTTTCTTTTGCATTCGTCTTGAGTGTATCTGTTCTCCAGAGTGTTGTCCGATAAAGGTATGTCTTTCTCCTTGCTAATTATATAGAAGGCAAAGAAGTATAGAATCATACTAGAAAATGCGTCTTTCTCAAACCATTCCGGGCTAGCCATCCATAGTGTTCTTCATATTTGGCCATCTTCAATAATAGAGATGGGTGGAGTAGCATATATCCCACACTCTCAGATAGGGTCGGCTCAGGGTCTAGGCAATAAGGGCACCGGGTTCACTAGTAGTTGTGGTGATACGAAGCATCACCGTATGCATGTAGCGAATACAAAGGCGTTTGTTTCCAATGCAGGAGATATAATCCCACTTAGGATGAACATACCGCTTATAAAGGCGATACTTATTATCTTATAAACATATGATCGCTTTATGTCTTGAACGACACCTTTTGAAGGGCTAGCAAGGAGTTCCTACTGGAAAATGAAAGCTAATATATAGGGATTATAGTAACCCTTGGAAGCAGGTTCTTGACACCTTGCTCCTATCCCATATGATTGCGCGATCTGCTTTTGAACCCTGGTGATGGCGAGCTCGGGGTAGACGTTCGAAAGCACGGTGCCGTCATGAGGCGACCATTTCAGCAACGATTGGCAGTAGACCAATAAACCGCGTGCTGGATCGTCGATTAACTGTCCTGAGCCTAGCCCCGATATCACCGCCGATCAACTACGATATGGTCCTAGCGGGGACAGATGACCCGAATCCTGTTCATTTGCCAAGTCGACAGGTAGGAGGTCTAGACTTGAGAATTATTCCAACCGATGGACCCCCTAACGTTTCATTCCACTCGCTAGGTCTGCGTGTGGGATGCCGAAATAAATCTCGATTGATTGACGACGGGAATGCTGCTCTAGGGTTTCTGATTTAAAGAGCTGTTCTCTTCGCCTCCAGATGGTCGGAAATGGGTATTCCAGTGCCGGACCAAGGACAAGTTGATGTGGCATAATGAAACGAGGACATGGAAGCAAAGTTTCTCCATTTATCGTGGCAGGTTCACGGCAGTTGAAAGCAAACCCGATCAATAAAGAGATCATAGAGCGAACGACAAATCGGCAGGAAATACCTACAGCTCACCTTATCACACAGCAAACAGACCACAGCAGAGGATTAATCTTCCACCTCAATTCCTAGTTGTTTGCACATGGCGTCCAACCCTTCTTGTGATTGGCATTTCGCAGGAGATGTCTCAGCCCATATGCCACAATCGAATGGAGCTGACGCAAGCTCCTCCATGTCGAGTCACACAGAAGGATATCCTGGATTGGAATTTGGCACTGTACGACCAGCCTGTTAAGCGTAAGCCTAAATGGAGGTCGAGATAAACCCTCCCTCGGAGCTTACCCAACTACTCAAGCGGATCACAAGGGGACCAAAGATAGCAACGCTGTGATACAACCCAGCCACTTGAAAGCTTGCGTCGAGGAGGTCAATCAGGTACTCATTGGACACAGGCCGTCAGGGCCAGGTTACTCCAGGGTAAAAAGTTGACACGGCTGCCTACGCACTACCGGGCGGACGGACAAAGAATGGGAAATGGAGGGAATGGCAGCGAAGCGGGGGAAAAAACCAACAAAGAGGGCGAGTGAAGTTCAGGGTCCAGGGAAAAAAAAAAAAAAAAAAAAAAAAAAAAAAAAAAAAAAAAAAAAAAAAAAAAAAAAAAAAAAAAAAAAAAAAAAAAAAAAAAAAAAGGGAACCGGTTTGAAGTGAAGTGGTCTGGCGAGTGCATAAATACTCGTCGTCTTCCCCTCATGCTGGTGACACAGGAGAATCATCCGACCTTATTTTATTTCCTCATTATCCTCTGCATCTCCTGTCGCTATCATCTTGTTGACCACTGTGACGACCTGTTCTGCTTTGAATACCATAATCAAGCATACCCAACCTTCACGCAAACATGCAGATCTCCTGGTTCGCCGTGATGGCGGTTCTGTTCACTGCCGTCGCAGCCAAATCGACCGCCACTAGTACTACGACTAGCGCTGCGACGTCGGCCAAGGAAAGCTCTACTTCGGCTTCTACCAAACCGACCAAGAATGCGGCTGCCGGAAACGCCCTGAATAACCCTTTTGCATTCCTGCGAGAGTTGTAAGCAGATATGGCCGGTACGTCGAAGGCCAACGTGACTTCACTGTACCAAAGCGGCTGATCATCCTGCAGACGAGGCGTTGATGATATGGAATGTTACTCTGAGAAATACAGGGGATTAATGGTTGCGAATGAGAGAAGGAATAGCCCACGGCTTCTGGAACATGGATCCAGGTTGAGATCTGGCATACCTTGATTACTTCCTAGGGTCTATTGTTCCATACCGGCCGAGGCTGGTCAGATACCGGGAATTATCTTTTCTTTGATGAAACTCAAGTGGTGTGTATTGTACGTAGGATGGAGTATCTTAATTCAACTTGAGCTTGGCTTTTTGTCCATACACACTATGAGAGTGATTGTAGTTAGGCTCAGAAGGAATGGTTGTAGTATCCTCCCTTTATTGCTGATCCTTCTTGTCTCTTGGTGGTACCCTTATTCGCATCTAGAGACTGCACCCTAATATATACAATAACGTTATAAGACTAAGGAATAGTGCCAACACGAATAGCATACTGATCCTCAGGGGAGAAAGTTGTATCTATAACAAGCCTAACCAGCTACTAACCACACATAGATGTTTCTTTAGCTCATGTGTCCTACCATATATTTCCCTATGCTACACTCTGATCTTTACATTGCTGTATCCATCTGTAACAGGGATATAAATATTCAGGCATCAGCAGTGAGAGTAAGTTCACACAAGATCCCCAAGTCCCGACTCAACGATACAAGAACATAAGAAATAACAAAAGACTCATTCCAAAGAACTTAACGATCATCCAGCCATTTCCCACCTACCCATCCAAGTCAACCACTCTTTGATATACCACATCTAAAGCACACAATAGAGCAGAAGAAACAATAAAAAACAAAGAACACACATAAACCAGCAACATAAATCACTCAACTGAAGACCAAAACCTAAAATAAAGATAACACAAAACCATGTCCCTTCTCTCCCCAGAAAAGATAAAAGCAATCTCCAATCCCTCGACTCTACAAAGCAACGAGACCAACCACAACCCCCATATCCAAAGCTACCACCTTACCTCCTGGATTCTCACTAAATATAGAACCGACATGCATTTCTGGACCATGGTCATACTCGGAGCTCTGTTATTTGCAACCGCGCTAGCAGTTCCCAAGGATATACGAGGGTACATGTCTATGTGCACTGAGGGTGGATGCGATCCGGCGTTCTTTGTTTGCAAGGTATATTGCTTTGGTTTGTTAGAGGGTCTAATACTGGAGTTTGGGCCCTGCTGACCGGTGTTTAGATACCAGAGGGCGAAAACCAGGGTCGATGTTGTTATCTTCGCAATGGGCTACGTGGACAGTGTTGATCATTTGTATTTGGATCTTGTATCTGCTGTTAAGGGGCGTTTCTAAGTTAACATACAGTATCGATGGATGGATGTATTATTGGCCTGTTGGACGGGGTTTGCATATGATTTATCTAGATAGGAAAATAGACCTGAGAATGATGCTCATCAGTGTTACTATATTCGGTTGCTACGTTAGTGAATCAGAGGAAAGAGATCAAGGTACATCTACGAATAACTACAACACAGTTCTTACATTGAGAACCCAATTAAGAAGATCATTCATCAATCATCATTCTCGTCTATAGCACAAAAGCCAACAGACGACTCAATTAAAATATTAGGCAAACCGAAACGAGTCCACGCCAGACCCAAGCTAAAAAGGTATCCTTAAAACCAAAAACCACGCAGAATTGAGGACGATTACTTTTCTATCCGTACTGTACGCCACCGCAGACCAGCAACTGGATCCAACCAGACTATGCGGAAAGTCCGCTTCTGGCCCGGATCCGAGCGCCAAAGATGTACAGCAGGAGGGGGATAGGGATGAGCAGTGCGCCGACACAGCCAAGAAGGGTGCATGTCCACTCGACTCCGAGTCCGTCGAACTATATTCAGGGATGGTTAGTGAACTGTTCGATGATAATCTGGGTAGAGTGTGTAGGACTAACCATTTGGGTTGCGAATAGCGGGAATGCGCCTCCGGCTGCTGATCGCAGGAAGGTATGTGCTGCGATGGCCGATGCTGACCTGACGGGGTTGTCAATCTTTATGTCCATCTAGATAACACAAATGGTAGGGCAGTGTACTTACTTGTCACCACTGGCTTCTACGAGATAAGCCAACGACGGCAGAAACATCGTGAGCAATCCAAAGCCCGTGAAGAGTCCAGATGCCGTCGGGACAATCCAGTGAATGCTGCCCTTATATCCGGACCATCCCAACCAGAACAGCCCACCTGTAAACAGAACGGCCCCGGGAATCGCAACGGGAAGACGCCATTCGGGCATCATCTCGCCGTTGTTCTGCTGCAGCTTTCGCAGCACCCAAGGCTGGGTGGCAGCGGTGGCAGCAGCGCCGAAGAGCGTTCCGATAATAACACCGATGTAGGGTAGCCCACCCACTCCCGGGTTCATTCCACGGGCGATCTGGAAGACGTACGGGTAGGCAGTGAGGAAGAGGTAGAGGAGACCGTAGACAAAGGCACCGAAGGTGCACATGCACAGGACAATCGGTTCCTTGACCAGCATCTTCAGGGGCAAGCTCAAGTTGTCTCGGACGATGGAATGGAAGTCGAGGTGGATTTCCTCTTGCTCGGAGTGGAGGGACCAGTCACCCGTTTGCCGGCGCAGACGTTCTGCTTTCCGGGTCAGGATGACGGGCTGGAATGTTTCCTCGAGGAGCAGAGTCATGACGACGAGGGCGGCGGCTCCTAGGATTCCCGGGATGTACGCTGTCCAGCGCCAGCCTAGAGAATGATTCATGATGATGAAGCCCCCGGTGAACGGGCCAGCCAGAGGGCCGATGAACACCATCAGGCAGAACATCACGATGGGGACACCACGTTGCTGGGGCGAGAACATATCGGCAAATGCTGGACCGGCTAGCGTAAGGGGACCGGACCCAAAGAATCCGGTGAAGAATCGCAGAATGAACAACGATTGGACATCTTTGGAGACGGCGGTGGCGAATGAGAAGATCGTGAAACCGAACATGGACAAAACGAGAGGGACATATCGTCCTTTGAGCTCTGAAAAGGGACCGAAGACTAGAGGACCAAAGGCAAACCCAAAGACATACAGGGAGACACCCAGGGTGGCTACTTCCTTGCTGACACCATAAAGATGCACCACGACTGGGATGGCTGGGGCAAATATGCTACTGGCAAAGGCCACGATCATCGTGCTGAGACCCAAGATGGCACAGATATACCCCCTAGATTTGATAGCTGCTGGTTAGCCTCTCTGGCCCGAGTTAGGGCTTTCATGGAGAGCACACATACTTCTTCTTGTTCGGCCAGTTGAGTGGATTAAGGGGATCATCAGGGCCGTCGAAGTCCACATGATGTTGGACGGTCTTGGTGACCCCTGAACTAGCAGAGCTGACAACTTTGTGCTCTTGCATGGTGCATCAATAGAGCTTTCAAGATGCCGTATATTATAGTCGGAGGGGATGCGTAATATTCCAACTGGTAAGACCTGTAATGTGTATATGAACAAAAGGACAACGAAAGCAGTGCGGAGGGGACCAAGATGAAAGGCTTCTTGAGGACAAGTTATTGTATTAGGGTTATCAATGAAAAATTATAGCACAGAACAACAAAAGGCAGGGCCAAGGCATAGATAAGTACCGCCCCCTCTAGCTATTCATTGTCTAGCGAAAAGACCCATCACCCTTTTTTATTCACTAATGACAGTATACCCACTCAATCATGCGGAAACCTGATCCTTCCACCTCGCACCACCAGGGAAACCAAGCCAGGAGCACCAAGATATGCCAAGCCAAGACAGCGCTGAAGAAAAAGATAGGGCCGGTGGTCGACCCATTTCCGTCCGAGTGGATACATCGGTTTTCGCCGCGCCTAGCGTTGAACCACGCAGCGACGAGGCGGATCTCAGGGTCGATATGCTGGAGCATTCCCAAATTAGGTTACAATCCATAAGGCTACCAGATATCTAAGCATTTCTCTCGGCGGAGGTTCGGAATGCCGGGCGCTTGACACTTGACCAGGGCTGTCGGACAATCCGGACGCCCAACTGAACGGTTCCTATTCTACACGACATCGGAGAAGGCGATAGGGGGCGTCAGTCACTCGGGTGGGATCAGAAAGAGGATTGGGTAGAAGTGCGGTGATATTCTAATCAAGCGGATATCATGATCCGGCTTCGACTCGCGTCAGCAGTTCAGTGAGTCAGGCGTGCAATTTATGCTTGGTTTAGGCATACAAATGTCCTAGTCCGGTAGGGCCACGAATCGAACTACACGAATCGAACGAAATGTAGGGCATTATTTTAACCTCATGTAGGTCCGCAGTCGGTTTAACATTATGATCAGAATTGTTCCAGAACGGCGCTTCGTGCGGACCCTGAGTAAGTGTCCTTCACATGAATGTATCCTTTATGAACACTTTTTGACTAACATTAGGTAAGAAAATTATGAACCGTCACGGGTTCAGAACTTAAGATTGGCCTTGAGCAAAAGAAAAACAAAAAAGTAGAAGAAAAGACCCACCGCCCGATGGAATGATTCACGGCTCGGCGTGATTAGAATGGACTTCAAAGTAGGCCTGTAGCAATCGGCCCGATCAACGGCAACCCGAGTTCGGAACCATGCCTCCAGTCCACCTCTGTTGTATGCATCGATGCAGGGGTTACGAACCTTGATCATAGTCTCCAATTGTCGATCAAATACTGGTAGACCAGATAATACAGGAAGCCACAGAGAATTACTGAACGGTAGAATTAGAAGTTAGGGCTCAGAGAAGGAAAGTCGGTATCAAACGGGAGGCTTCCGACACCGCTGACGTCAGGTCCACAATCACATGCTGGACCTGTGACTTTCACATGCAATATCAGATGTCTTTTTTCTTTTATTTATTTTTACATTATTTCCATTATTTGCATTATCCATCCTCAAGTCTTTGTTTCTGTTGATTCACAATAAAGTCATCCGTGATGAGTTGGCAGACCACCTGGCTTTGGGGCCATCTTCGATAGGGTCCAATCTGAGCCTCGAAGGGTATGTTCCATGCCCCGTCTGCAAGAGCCAGGACAAAGCGGTGCATTTCTGTAGACGTCTGGGCATAAGAGGATATGCTATACTCCGTACATCGATTCACTATGCGCCTTTCTCCAGCTGTAACGGTACACATCGCCCTTATCTTCGCCTTTGCGTGACGGAAAGTTTCAACCACTGAATGACCTCGCACGAATCATGAGCAAAGTTGGCAATACTTGATGCCATCAGCCTGGACCGAAGATTAGATGTTAGGTAAAAGGGCTCCTGACTGGAGCTGGTGTCTCCGATAATAGAGAGGAGCCCGGAGCCATCCATTCTTGGCTTGGGTATCAATCGACTGGATTCTCCACAGCAAAGGGGGCAGGGGGGGATTGCGTCTTCAAGGCTTCCTGTGGTCAATGTAGGGATGATTCATCAATTTCAAAATTTCTGAAAGTTTGACATCTATCGGGTCTGAATTAAAATCTAGATCCGGTCTTTCTTGAAAGGAGTTTTTGTACTAGTCCTTTAAGATGGCTTGGTCCGGATCTACCGAATTTTCTATAGAGATAGATAGAAATTATTACCGCAGGCTCTCCCTAGGCTCTCCTTTCCTCGGCCTGCATCCACGGGTTCTAATCGAAATGGTACGACGGATCTAACAGATCCAGCATAGCCCATCTGGGAGTACCGTCCCTGGGATCGACAGTAACATCAACTCGTCTTAAGACTACTTTACCTGGCGCCATTGTTGGAGTCCCCAGGCAGCCACATATCAGCGGATCGAGTACCTCGAGACTCATTCCCGGTCAGACTGGATTTGATTTTAAGTATTACATTACTATGTTCTGTACCCAACGCCGTGAAAGTGATCTCAATACTGTGCGTCTGAACTAGTAGAGAGAAACACAGAAGCCTTGCTGGCCCCTGGATCTGTGCTCCAGGCCTGCCAGTCAATGGTGGGTATGGATAGCCTTTCAATTAATCACCAGATGCCTCCAACGCAATAGTGGGTTGGTAGTCGGGCACGCCTTGATAGAGGCACGCTCGTTTGTGCTGACCAAAGGGTACTTTCTTCTGATCAAGGCCGCTCCGTACATACATGGAGATATGGAATATTGAAGGAGACTGGCTGGAAATGATCCGTAAACAAACATAACCCATATCCAAGATAAATGTTGGCATAACAAATACGTCACGGCTAGAGAATTAGCTGTGCACACGAAGACGCTTATGAACGAAAGAGCCTATGCGATGGAAAGTAACGAAAGCAGAAAGGAAAGCGGCCAAGGGGTAACCTTGGGCACAATCCCTGAGCGAACCAGTGACAATCATTTTGATGAAATGGTTCAAAACGACTTGGGGAAAGAGTTCTCTTCGACAAGAGAATTTTTGCCAGGACCTGGAACAACGTGGGCTTCTTCGCCTGCTTTCTTCAGGGGAGCCTGAGCAAATTGGATTCACCTTTGAGTGGTATAGGCACAGTCTCTGAGGTTATGTAAAACCCTGGAAATGATTCCTTGACGTCTTGCACACTATATTCCTATTCTTTCGATCATGTTGATCTAAATGTTCCCTCATTTCAAAATACTTCTGGATGAACATCCCACCATCCTCCACCAATTCGCCCTGGCCTACTTACTAGCGAGAGTGTCTGGAAGGCAAAATACTATCCTCCTTGTCCTATAATCCCTTCCTAAGTGATGTACTCCAATGTTCTGGGATAGAGACTTGACTTCTTTCTGGATATTGATTCGAAATGATCCTTATTACTTTAGATTACGGTAGCTTCTAAACTCGAGTGAAAGATCAGTCTTCTCTGGTAACTACTGTAATATTTTGCTAGATTCTTTTGAATATTTATCATTATTATCCCGAAATTTTGTAAGATATGGAGGCTGGCTGAGTCTAATACTCCGGGGAACACGAATTGCTTTCAAGGATAACAAGACACGACAAGCATCATAGAATATCCAGCAACACAAAATACGTACAGCGCTACTTTCCCTCACTAATAATCGTCATGGTGTCAATATGCACTTTTCAGAGAAGCCCGCCTCCCCCTCTGGTCGAAATATCTTCCAGACACGCGCTTAAATTCTGCTCCTCCAGCAGAAGCACGTTAGGATCGTCGCATTTCCTCGCCGTGTCAAAATCGATCAACACGGCCTTCGAATTGCAGATGAGGAAATTAAACCGATTGGTATCTCCATGTCGAACCCCCAAGCCATGTAGCCGAGACAATACCTCCCTACAGGACTGAACATCCTCAGCCCCAGCATGCCGTGCATTAGGTATATATTCCATCAAGAACCCAATGACCCGGCCGTGTTCAGTCAAGTGACCCAGAAATCGTGGCCCAATATCATGGCCAGATATCCATTGATACGCGGTCGTCTCGTTTTCGATGTATTGGATCTCCCAGGGGAAACGGGCGAATTTGGCGACGACGACATTGTCAAATGATGAACACTTGACTTCGTAAATTCCCATCCGGAGTTTCCGGCCGATCGAAAGATCCATGTAATCGACGTACGTCCCATGCCACGTATTTCGAACGCCGGGGAATTGAGTCCGCCTCGCGTATGCGAACTGCGGTTGACCGTCGTTGGCGTCCCTGGCAACTAAACCGTCGTTCCAGTCTCCCGGGGGAAGTTCGGGCAAGATGGAGATGAGTGAAGGGCCGAAGCACATATCTTCGACGCTGTAGAGGCCAGGTTCAACGGTGATGTATTTGACGGCCCGACCGTCAACTAACAGGCGGAAAAAGCTTTGGTCGTTCTCGTCGACCTCGGCCTGGAGTACGTCGATTTTCGGTTGATTGCCCATTTTGAGACGAAAGATTAGAGTCGAAGATGGAGTGCAAGCTGATGACGAAGGTAAAATCCAATTTGCACCCTTTGTGCGATTTATGTGTTGGTGGTGCGTCAGAACTGAACAGAGTCAGTGAATGGCTGCATCGTGCTCGGATCTTCATGAGACATGCGCCAAGTCTGAAATCTTGCATCAGAGCCTACATTCATAGATGCCTATTGGGAGCAAGCAGCGCCCTCTTGTTTTGGAGCCAAACCATGGCGTCTCACTTGTTTTTGGAGGGAGTGACATCTAGGGTCATACACAAGCATTAATCACGCTATATGATTGTTATATATATATATAGTCTTCGTATTGCTTATGACATGTCAATGCGTAGTCGATACGCGATCTATCCTGATAATCAACGTGTATATTCATGAACATCATTCAAACACTCTCCAGCCACTCTCACGGCGTCCGGGCTCCCTCTCCTATCCCCATCAACCCTCCAGCCAAACCATTCATCCTGCGATCCAAGAGATCCTCCTCGCTAGGAAGGCTGCCAATGCTTCTATCCCTACGTTTGGGCGGAGGGGTCTGCAGGGCGTCTGAGATATAGTCATGGGCCGGAGGCATAGTGAGTTTCGTGGGCGCATCGCGTCGTCTTCTGCTGAGCCCCTTGGGCCGGGAACGGCGACCTCGGGATGCACTTGGACCCTGGCTGCCACTTGCAGTCTGAGGGTCATTGTCAATCGACGCAGAGCCTTGGAGTCGGACATGACTCGTCCCGTGGGACGGCTTGCCGCGCATTTGACTGGTACTATCATCCGGGTTCAATGGGGTCATCCTGCCGAGGCTCATCTCCAAGGGTCTATCCTCGTCACCTGACGATTCGCCCGTGAGGCTGCGTTTATGGTGACGTGGGCTGCCGCTATTGGCGTCCGCCTTCGGCACCTGGTAGTATGGTGCGCTGTCGTGCAGTGACTGGAGCAAACTGGACGATGACTTCCGTCTCTCGGCGGCCTCGAACAAGTCCTGGATCCAGGCTGCGCACTTGTTGATATGTTTCCAGCTATCGGGAAAGAAGCCTGCCATTTGCAGGAATCCGTGAGAGATCCCGGGGAGTAATGACACCTCCACGTGGTCCTTTTCATTAAATGCTCGGTGAGACTTCTCAAGCCCCAGCTCCTGTCTTTCCCGGAATTGGTGTAGCTTGGCCTGTCGCAGTCTCCCAGCGAAGATTACCGTGTCGTCCACTAGTGGGTCACGCTCGCCTGTGACGATGTATGTTTTGGGGAACCGTGCGAGAAGGGCCTCGGGGGTGAGCACGGGAGAGAGCAGGAAGTCCGTGCTGAAGTCAGGGCGATTATGAGGCCCAATATAGAGGATGATCATTGCCCTCATCATCTCGGGGGTCAGGATCCGATCATGGACATACGAGATCATCGAGGAAACGGCCAGACGGGTACGGATTTGTTTCGGGTGGTGGCTCTGCGCAATGGCAGCGGTCTGAGTGGCCAGGTTGTCCGCCTTGAGTTTTTCTTCAAGTTTCTTGGAAGCACCCTGAGCTACATCCTCAGCTTCCAGGTCCAGGTCAGAAGACGAGTCGCGGAGAAGGTCTTCTGTGGAAGGGCCGGGCGATGTGAATGGCGTCAAACGCTGGTAGTCCATGTTTTTCTGTCGGAGGACGCTCTCGTTCGTCCGCCGCGCGCTCTTATCTTGTATAAGTGACATTTGCTCCTCCGTCATCCAGCTTTCGACTCTCATATTCAACGCCGGATATGCTAAAACAAGCCCATCTGGACAAGGGAGCATGTGGTCACCTTGCCAACGGGGAGCATCTGAGCTGCCGGATTGGAGGGCCATCAGGGTAGTGCCCACTGCCAGGTTTCCACCAGCACTATCTCCTGCAAGCACAATACGTGGCCGCACGTTCCCGCTTAATCCCAAGCAACGCCCGCGTGTAGTGACGATGGTATGATAGACATCATAACATTCATTGAGCGCATACGGGTAGGGATACTCTGGTGCCTTTTTGTAATCAAGACTAAGGATCGGCACCTTTGTTTTCCCAGCCCAGGCAAGCAGTCGATCCTCTGAGGTGCGGGGGCTCATGGCGACATATCCGCCCCCGGGGATATCCAGGATAATACAGGTCTGGTCGCGTAACGCACTCAGAGGACCATCAAAGTAAAGCCATGCATTGGTTGGCTCTGTATAGCTGGACTGCGGAGGACGAGGAATCCGTATTGCACGAGGCGAATATTTTGTAAGTCGGGGCCGAAGCAGACTGGCGAGTGCCCACAGGTACGGCGTGGTGCCTTTGTTCCACGAGACTCGCAGGTGCTCTACGGTTAGGGTTGCTCGAACCCGGCGAACCTTTTCATCTGCCTGCTCCGCGGCGAAAAGGTAGTAAACTGTAAACGCCAAAGACGCGATATCTCGTAGCCACTTCGGCTTGACTTTCATTGCGGTCCAGAAGCCAGCGTCGAGGGCCGTGGCGATCCATGTTGCCCGGAAGAAAGAGCGTGAATACAAATTGGCTAGTGGTTCCGGACACTCTAAGCCAACAATCTCTGCAAAGTTGCGGCAGAGGTACAGCCACAGGAAAACGCCCACGGTAGTTTGCCAAACACTTAGCTTTGCCGATAGGCGAGCTGAGACGTTGCGAAAGATAGGAGGGCCATGTTTGTTTCCTCTGCACAAAGCTACTTAGCTACGGTTCTGACTACTTCTTAGGGCACCATACCTGAGGAGATAGGTAGACCAGAAAAGGAAGACGGCAAGGACCTGAATCTTTCGGAATTTGGTCGATGGTCTTCCTAGCACATGGTCTGGGGTTTCCATCAGCGGCTGCTGAGCTCATTGGTGCCATTATAGAGCTTACCTATCATTGCCACGGGCTCACTGGATAGCGTAAGGGCTTATCTTTCCGTGTATGGCCTCTTCCTCGGCAAGATCCAAGTTGGCGGAATGTTGCAATATAGAGATACGAGTCACGAGCACGGAGGGATAGTGGCAATGGTTGACAAACTGAGGTCTATCCTATATGAATAAATAGCATGTACAAAGACCGGAGCGAATGCGAGTGTGTCTGCAGTCAATTTCCAACTCAATTGTATGCCATTCAATGCGACCAGACAAAGAAATTTCAAAACGCCGATATGGGAGACACCAAGAAAGAACTGAAGGAGGGAGTCAGTCAAAGACGCCACAGTCTGGCCAACTGGAAAAGTAAACAAGCAAGAGTGAAGAAAGGTGAAAGATTCCACTCGATTTTGGGACTCCCTGGCGTGAAGAAGCCATGGATATAAGCTGGCGGATGACGGGGTCAAAGCATGTGAAAGTCCCCACTACTCCCCACAGTGCTGATTGGAGAAGAGCATGGGGGGGGCTGAGGAATATGGAGTAGTAGTTGGTCCAGTGATCCGGGGCAGAGTCGCCAGAAACATTGATCGACCAGAAGACGACCATTATTAGGGTTCTTCGTTGGTGCCTCTGGAAGGGGATCCTGTCTTGTCACGTTGCCGCCCTGTCACATGTTAGCCCCGTGACGCCATCACCGACTCATCAATCATAATCAAGTGACTGGGCTTCAGCCCTATCGTATATTAATCGCTTACACAGGCTTATCTCCGGTTCAAGTTGCAGAAGCTGGTCCATTGATTATCATATACCGAGCAGTGTAAACTAAAGGCCAGAATTAACTATAGCTTACGACAATAATCCCTTCCGTGCGCGTCTTGCCAGTCACACAACCAAACCTCAAAGATCATACTGAGGAAACCCGCGATACAAATACCCCCAGAGTCGCTGACGGTTGTCGCGCCCAGGGAAAATTCCCGATCCTCTGGGGGCACGCGCTCCCCTATCTCAGCGAACGTATTGACATAAACCAAGCCACCGAGGAGTCCCTCCCAGAAAATGATCGCAAAGATGATGTACACGCTAGGAATGAAGTTGAACAAAGAATGAAGAGTCAAAATAGCCAGATTCACAACCTGTAAGCATGATGGAAAATACAGATCATGGATGCGGAAGAAGGGAGTCGATGAACGTGAGATGAACACGCCGACCTGGTAAATCGCATTATACGCAGGATAGAATGCACGGAAATGGGCGAACGGAGTCTCGCTCAGCGGAAAGAGTAGTGTGGGGGCCACTCCTTGGTTGATGGTATACTCTGCGACGTAGACTAACAGTAATGGAAGCATGCTAGATGGAAAACTTGTGAGCCAAGTCTCAGTCATCTTGTTCCGGGATGTGCTTACAAAGGGAAGAAAAGCCCTCTTGCGCGCTGCAGATTTGCTTTGATATGTTCCCATCGGAGACTTCCACTCCCAGTCTGAGTTGCTTTTGGGTCCTCAGCGGAGTGTATGGAAGAAGCGAGAAGGCCATCAGCCTCACTGTTGGCTTCATCACGCTCGTAGCTAAATGCCCGTTCTTCCGCAAGCCTATTATGGGTCCCAACAGCGCGATAGCCAGCTTGTACGGCCGACAGAGGATGGTGCATAAGGGATCTCGGCAGGATGGTAAAGAAGCTTACCACCATGACCGCTGGTAGACAAGCAGATGCTAGAAGGGTTGTCTTCACACTGAGGCCGAAGGACGTAGTCGCGAGTGCATAAGCACCAGCACCGACCAGCCCGGCAGCTCCAGTACCGCTTCCCCAAGCTGCCAGACTAAATGGGCCGTAGAAGTGCGTCAACCCGAGAAAGCTTAACTCACCACCTCCGCTAGATAAACTGGCTAGGATAATCCCGGCAATCTTCGTAGAGATCGTGCCACCATCCGTGTAGCCAGGGCTCAACGCAACAAGAAGCATTCCGATGGCGGAGAGGAGCACGAATATCACCACCCGTACCGAATATGGTACTACATGGATAAAGTACGGCGCAATGAGCTTAGTCCCAAACGAAGGGATGACATCTGCGAGAAGAACGACGCCTTTGGGCACACCAGGTCCGACTAAATCAAGAGCAGCTGATAGGATGATGACATAAAGAACATTGTTGATCAAGCCTAGTTTCTCAAAGGAGTAAACACAGCAGGTTAGTAACTATATATTCTGCTTCTTGCTCTACTTCAGTGCCAATGGCTCACCAAACAGCCAGAACGCAATACAGACCCGGGGGTCCGCGCCACTGAATAAAGCATTTAGTCGCTCTCGGAATCTAGCCCAGGAGGAAGAAGGGGCTCCAGGGAGAGGTAACATTGGTGTTTCCTCTGATGTAGAGGTTCTAGGCATAGTAGAAAAAGGCGCGAGGGGGAATTGGATAGATGATTTGTCAATGCTCTACTAAGCGGAGTGAAAGATCATACAGGCCATCAACTTCGATATGGACATAGGATCGGCATCACTGCTGAATTGCGCACCGTAGTCTGCTCTATAGGATGTCAAATGGGAAGAGTGTCGAGGTGACGGGAAGCGGTCTGCCGCGAACTGATAAGGATGGCAAGTGAGCGCGTGACTGGTAGCCTTGATGCCTTACTGCCTGGATTCTCTGCCTTAGGATACTTTTACAGATATGCCTTGATCAAGAGTAATTCGAACACTTCGAAATCTCCTAGTCTATATTTAGGATGCACCGAGCTAGCTGCCTTCTATCGTTACTCAAGATGAACAGAGGAAAACACAGGAAGAGCACATGGTATATGAACAGCTAACATTCATCAGTCAGTGAATGTGACGTATACTGAAATGTCGAACTTTTTGGCACGCAAGAAGACTCCGTCATTTATGCCTTAGTGATGACGGCATCCAGAGCCTGCTCCAAGATCTTCAAGGCTGTCTTGATCTGATCCTCAGTGATGGTCAGAGGAGGGACAAAGCGGAGGCAGCCATCACCAGCAGTGATGATCAACAAACCGCGTTCCCGCGCGGCAGTGATCAAGTCGGATGCCTTAGATGTGAATTCCTGGGAGAGCTGGGCTCCCAAAATCAAACCGCGACCACGGATCTCCGAGATAACACCAGGATACTTCTTCTGGAGATCCTTAAGCCCCGAGATGAGTGCCGCCGATTTAGTCTCGACAGAGGTTTGCAGCTCCGAAGTTGCGAGGCGCTCAACAATGTGGTGTGCCACGCGGCATACCAATGGGTTTCCACCGAAGGTGGTTCCGTGGTCACCAGCCTTGATATGCTCCGCAACAGTCTTTCCTGAGACAATGGTCGCGCCGATAGGGACACCGTTGCCCAGCGCCTTAGCCGAGGTCAGGATATCCGGGTGTGCAGCTTCGCCCGACGCGGGGGCAAGGGAAGGGTGGGCATGAGCCCAGAAAGTACCGGTACGAGAAAGACCACATTGGATCTCGTCGAAAATCAAAACGGCCCCGACCTCGTCGCAGCGTTTGCGGAGAGCTGCGAGGAACTCGGGAGTAGCAACGTTGACACCACCCTCGCCCTGGATCGGCTCCACAATAACACCACAGGTCTTGTCCGTGATAAGAGTCTGAAGTTGTTCTACATCGTTGTAGTTACCGTACTTGAAGCCCGGGAGCATGGGGGAGAAAGGTGTCTGGTACTTTGGGTTGGGGGTAGCGGAGAGAGCGCCCATCGTACGGCCGTGGAACGAGTTGTGGAAGGAAACGAATTCATGCTTTGCGCCCGAGGGGTCGAGAGACTTGCCAACCTTACGAGCGAACTTGATGGCTGCCTCGTTCGCCTCTGTTCCCGAGTTGGAAATGAACACCTGGGATGCATCGCGCATGGCGCCAGACTCCCGTGTCTTTGTGATCAACAGCTTGCTGAGAGCGCCGGTCCATGCATTGTGGTAAAGGTTCGAGGCGTGGATGAGGGTCTCGGCCTAAGGCAAATTGGTCTTAAATCAACAACTGACCCTATGTTGTATCGCGCCGTAGCATATACGCACCTGCTCAGCAATAATCTGTGCGATCTCGGGGTCACAGTGACCGAGAGAGTTCACGGCAATACCAGCTGTGAGATCAAGGTACCGTCTGTTCTCCATATCCCATAAGTAGCATCCTTGACCTTTCACCATCATCGGAGCAGGGCGAACGTAGGTGGGGACCATAAAGGGCGCTCGCTCTTCCACGAAGGACATTGTTGCGGAATCGGCAGCCGGGTCGGGATTGGGCAGAGATGTCTGTCACGAGCTTTATGAGTTTTGTGTATCAGGCACCTTCAGGTCTCAGCATACCTTTGTCTGAGACTTCGCATTTGGACCTGTTGCGGAGGATGCGAACCGTCGCTGAAGTGGTGACTCAATGACAGGGACCAGCTTCCTTGCGAGCGGCAGTCGCCGCGAGGCCACACGTACGAAGGCCATTCGGATGGCAGTAAATGGAATGAAATATGAATAGATGCAAGCAATTGAGACTAGGAGAGGAGTATTTAAGGAGAAAAGAGAGATTTGCGGTGAGTCACCGAAAGGAGAGAAAAACGAAAGGACGAAATGTACGGGTCAAACAAATCCCGCGATATCGGGATGGGGGCCCATACCGGCTTATCTGATCACAAACTGTATTGTGATTTGCTCTCCGCCACTCCGCAATTAAAATCATTTACCTAAGGACACTGACTGTCTCTGACTCTGCAGTCTTCTTGGACAACAATTCTTCCACCCCACTCGTGGCCGTCACAGCACTTTAAAAAGAAAGATACTCCCACGCCAAGCATGGCTCTCTCACTTGCTGCTCGCCGGGTATTCAGTCCCGTCAAGACAATGCGCATCTCCACCCGGACCTTCTCGAGCCATCCGGTTCTCCGCAGCTCCGACGACAATCCCGCCTTCGCATTTGGACGCGGCCCAGCTCCTCCTCGTCTACCCAAGGAAGAACAAGAGATCTTCGAAGAACTTCAAAAGAAATCTACCGGTGCCTTCAGTACCCCACGGACAACCCCTCAAATTAACCAATCACCCCATTCCGAACCCGCCAACGAAAATCCCGAGTTTAAGGCGTCAGGAAACGGGGAGGAACTTCACCCAGATCTGCGAGGCGGTCTTCAGCCTGAATTTGAGGGGGAGCAGAACCCTAAGACAGGCGAGGTCGGTGGACCGAAGAACGAGCCACTGCGTTGGGGCGCTGAGGGTGATTGGAGCTATGGAGGTCGCGTCACCGATTTCTAAGTAGCGATGCATCCTATCGATTCGTTGTCGGCGAACAATTAGTTGAATATGCAGAAGTTGTGAATTTCGGTCATTGCATCAGTCGGCGTTGGGTACTATGATATCAGATGTATATATCATTTAGGCTATGGAAGCCTCTCCTCTCATATTTCCCTGTTACTTTGTGATATCTCCAGAGCAATGTACAATATCGTCGACAAAGTAAGTAGTTAGATGTCTTCGACAGTAGTATGCAACTTACAATACTAGCTCACACGTCAAGGGGGATTTGGTGGTGTACCAAGATAGATCGCCTATTGGCTGGACGAAGTTTACCGTTACAACCTATAGCTCTGATGCATTTTACATGATACAACGCGATTTACGTTCAAGTCATCCGAATCAGGTATTCCATGCGATAGTGGATGCAAATATTTGGAAGCTATACTAGCCTTGTATGTTATGACGGAGACACAGTATTTGCATGAGCAGCGGAGCTTGCAGAGCCCGTAATGCGCAGCATGAGTTTTATATGATGACAAAAGATGACAGCCCCCCAAACACATGTTTAATCGACGAAGATATTAGGTTCTCCATACGAAAGACTGGTCCTCACTCTTGAATCCTTGCCAGGGTTGCTTTCCCGGCTCTACTTTCGTTAGCCCGATCCAGCTCGCCGCTGATCCAACCGCCGATCTTAGCCATCTCCTCCAGATTGATTCCAGTGTGCATTCCAAGACTATGAATCGTATGAACCAAGTCTTCTGTCGAGATATTGCCAGTGGCGCCCTTGGAGTAGGGACAGCCACCGAGTCCGCCCACACTGCTGTCGAAAATCCGAATGCCATGCTCCAATCCCACGACGGTGTTAACCAGGGCCTGTCCATATGTATCATGGAAATGAAGTGCAAGATCATTGTTCGCGATTCCCGCCGCTTTGAGCGCTTGTAGGAGCTCCATTGTACGTGGGGCTGTTCCCATACCCGTGGTGTCAGCTACCGACACTTCATCGGCACCCATCTCGAGTAGGGTGGCCGTAATGTCGGCCACCTTTGACGGTGAGACATCAGGTCCTTCGTACGGACAGCCCAGAGCAACGGAAACGTAACCTCGGACACGAATGTTTTTCGTTTTGGCCAACTCTACAATGGGCCGAATGCGCTCCAACGACTCCGCGATGGTGCAATTGGTATTTGCTTTGGAGAACGCCTCCGTCGCCGCAGCAAAGAGTGAAATTTCGGTTGATGTGGATGTCTTAGTATTCTCTGCAGGGACACCCGCAGTGTCCATGATCTTGACAAGATTCTCAAGCCCCTTGATATTAGGAACCAAGTAGTTATATGCAATAGCATTCTGCGACTGCGGCGGGGATGTGAGAAGCTTTTCACATATTTCCGTCGTGCTTGCCATCTAATTTATGATAAATAACATTAGTTCACCATATTTTAAACAAGGATGCCAGCCGTTTCGCATCCAGTCAAGATGACTGGGCATACGTCGTAGAGCCGGGGATATATACCTGAGGCACCCATTTTGCAGGAACAAACGATCCAGCTTCAATTGTTGTCACACCAGTTTTTGACAGCTTCTCAATTAACTGAAGCTTGGTTTCGAGTGGTATGGACTTTTTCTCATTCTGCAATCCATCTCGTGCCCCTACTTCAACAATGCGAACATGGTCCGAAGTTAACCGCGCCTCTGTCGCAAAGCGTCGAGTGGGTGGAGCAGCTCGAAGGGCAGTGAATAGGCCGAGTCTGGGCCGGAACTTCATCATCGTGGAGGTGGCAGATTACTAGGTTAAGAGGGAAGGAAAGTATTGTCTAGAAGACAATGACAAAAAGGAAAATGAGGAGAAAATGGAAGGGTAGAGAAAATCGTCCGATCAGAGAGCTTTTGGAGATCAACCGACGAAATGCGGAGAAGCGGCCACGGGTTAGAGTCGGCGCAACCCCCACCTGACCTCACTAAACCCGATCCATGCCACTTTCCTTAGTCAGGCCGACTAGACCAAATTCTGCAAGGTAATTAATTTGCATCGAATTTCATCCCACTTCCAGATTGTCCCACGCACGTACACACGGAGTGCGCGACACTCACAATTGGGCAAGGACAAAATGGAGGACACAACCGCAAATGGATCGCCTGCCAACGGCACTTTGCGACAACCCAAGAAAAGATTTGTCGGACGACGCACGGCGGACGCCCAGGCGCAGAAAGAACAATCGCCAAGTCAAAATGATGTCGAGTCAACAAGCATCCAGAGAGGTTGGTGACATAACCTCTATGGTCCTAACTCCTTCGAAACATGAGCTGACAAGTCACTCAAGCTGCTCCCAGAAGGACCCCTCGAACCCTGAATCAAGTCCCTCCGGAAATCCTCGAAGACCCCGAAATCCAAGCCGCAATCGACCTCCTGCCCAAGAACTACTCATTCGAAATCCCCAAGACAATTCACCGGATACGTTCATCCGGCGCAAAGAGGATAGCCTTACAGTTTCCCGAAGGTCTACTAATCTTCGCCACCACCATATCCGACATCATCACCCAGTTCTGCCCAGGCACAGAGACCCTCATCATGGGAGACGTCACATACGGCGCCTGCTGTATCGACGACTATACCGCGCGCGCCCTAGGCTGCGACCTCCTCGTCCACTACGCCCACAGCTGTCTCATCCCAGTAGACGTCACACAGATCAAAACCCTCTACATCTTCGTCGACATCAGCATCGACACCTCACACCTGATCGCAACCCTAGAGCGCAACTTCCAACCAGGCAAGACCATCGCAACCGTCGGAACCATCCAATTCAACGCCACCCTCCACGGTCTGAAACCCGTCCTCGAGCGCGCAGGCTACAAAGTCGCCATCCCACAAATCACACCCTTATCTAAAGGCGAAATCCTCGGCTGTACATCACCCCAGCTCTCCGACGAAATCGACATCCTTCTCTACCTCGGCGACGGCCGCTTCCACCTCGAATCCGCCATGATCCACAACCCCTCCATCCCCGCCTACCGTTACGACCCTTACTCGCGCATCCTCTCCCGTGAAACCTACGTGCACGATGAAATGCACACTCTCCGCCGCGACGCAATCAACACCGCCAAGTCTGCCAAAAAATGGGGTCTCATTCTCGGATCCCTCGGTCGACAGGGTAACCCCAATACCATGGCTATGATTGAGAACCACCTTAACGAGCGCGGAATCCCGTTCGTCAATCTGCTTCTCAGCGAGATCTTTCCGGGAAAGTTGGCGTCCATGTCAGATGTTGAATGCTGGGTGCAGATTGCTTGTCCGAGGTTGAGTATTGACTGGGGTTATGCGTTCCCGCGGCCACTGTTGACGCCGTATGAGGCGCTGATTGCTTTGGGAGTGAGGGAGAGTTGGGACACTGCCAATAAGGGCGTCTATCCGATGGACTTCTATGCCAAGGAAGGCCTTGGAAGGACGAAGCCTAGCCAGGCGATACCCGGCGCTGCCTAAAAGACAAGAAAGAAAAAGAAAATAAGTTGAAATAAGTTGTGGGGTCACGATATAAGATCCCACGCTCAGAATTATGATTTTGCATGACATGTCCATATGAATAACGCAGAAAAGTCGTCATATATAGCTTGTTCACTCGGTTAAAATATCTTACGTCCTCAGATAGATAAGGCAGAAAGTAGGTTTCTTCCTAATGGTTACTAGTATTACATACAATATCCTGAATCGTTACATCGACCGTTTCATCATCCCTTAACTTCGTCGGCGCTATCCGTGTTAAGGTCACTTGCGCTTCCCCTGCGAAGCGACAGAATGCTCTTGCTCGCCAGTTCATCGGCAGTTCGTTCGGCCGCGCGCCATCGCGTGACCGCCTGCTCAACATCTTCGAACATCTCTATCGTGTCGTTGATGATACCTCCTTCATCCAACTCCGGAACCTGGGTGCTCTCTCTCGACCCGCTGTCGCTGGTCATCGGAAAGGCGGGCCCAAATCCGCGCTGAGGGAGGGGGTTAAACATGACGGCATTGGTAAACATCCGGATTAATTCCTTCTCCAGTTGCGCCGAGTTGACTATTCCTTTGGGAGGAATAACGTCCTCGGTTTTCTGCAGCATAAGAACCGCATTCTTCGATGGTGTTCCGGCATTCGGGGCCGGAGATTCACCGTCCGCGACGGGGGTATTTGCGGCTTCTGTAGCAGCAGCTACAGCCTTGCTACCTTGATGAATGGATGATTTGATGGACTTCAGATCCTGTGGCCGGTAGATGAGATCTCGATACCCTGGGGCATCGCGTTCGGTTAACGGCTTGGTAAAGATCGATGCGTGTTTATGAGTAGTCACATCATTCATGATCGGAGCACCCGTCCTAGGGAAGTTACGAGCACAGAGAACATAAGATGTCGTTTGGTTCGGGTCAATACGGCTGATGTGGTTAATCTCAGAGGGTAGGGTTTCTGCTTCCAACGCTTCACTGGCACCGCGCTTACGTTTCGGTCTGCCTCTACCTGGGCGGTCCTCTGAAGCAGCAGTACCTTTGCGGCCACTAGAAGGACGAGGTTCGGGTTCGGCAGCCTCCGAGATACCAGCTGGCGTGCTGGGCATCTCATGCTTGATCTTTCCTGGGTATACAGATTCAGACTCCTCGTCGCGGGACAATACAGAACGCCCCCGACTTCTAGACGAAGCTGCACTCCTATCACGGCGCTTGCCGGGTTGCTTCTCTGGCTTCGGCTTCAGCCCTCCCTTGCCGTCTACATCAGGCCCTGCCATTTCTGAATCCCTGCCTCGCCCGGCGCCCTTCCTTTCATTTCGCCCGCGCTTCCGAGGTGGAGCGACAGGTTCCTCCGGCGTCGCTTCGCGAGAACCCATCAATGAAGGCGCCTTCTCGCTAATGGGACTTACATCCTCCCGTCGCGGCCGTTCTGGCGAACGAGGAGATTTTGGTATGCTCAGTCGAGGAGTCTTCTTCCAAGGTGTAAGAGAGCCAGGAGTGGCGATGGTCAGACGGGGGCGCGCATTTCTGGACTCTGAGTACAACAGCGCTTGTGCGGCTCCAGCTGGCGTCTCATAGCCAGTACCAATACCGCTAAGCGCTGGCGACTGCACAGCGGTAGAGATGGGCCGGGGAGTTGATGGGATGGTGGGTTGAGGTGTCTGGTAGGCGGCCTTTGTCTCTGCCTTCGGTAATGGTTGAGGCGGATGCGATTGGAAAGGTTTTCCAGTAGTGGTCTGACCAGAGGGCTCTGGAGTCGGGTGCGAAGGAGCGGGTCGTGGTGTCTGAGGAGGTGGGTTCAACGACCACTGCTGGAAACTCGGTTGAGGTGGAGGGCGAGCAGCCGTAGCAGCTAGAGTCATTGGTGGGCCTTCCTTGCCAGCTGGTCTGCCGGTGGAGACTGGTTTCTGAAGGGCGGGAGCAATTGCTGGGGCATTTGCATTGTGCGGGGCTTGCGAGGGAGTTGCTGGCGGGGCGGGTACAGAGCCAATGCCCGGTGCTGGGGTAGCGGACGGTGGTATAGGTTTCTGTACTGCAGGAACATTCGTTGGCGTTTGACTGACAGGAGTATCTCGGGGTGCCAGGGGAGGTTGTTTGGGTGTTGCAGGTGGCTTTCCGCTGAGGGCCTGTGGTTGAGATGGTTTGGGCGTTGTTTGTGGAATGGGCTGGGGACCAGCGGGCTGTTGCTGCGGTGGTCGCGGCGGCGGCGGAGGTAATTGTGACTGGACTTCTGTGGACACCGGCCTTTTCTGCGGTTCTCCAACCGGTTGTGTAGGAACGCGTTGCTCCTCCACTGGTGTTGGATGCGGCGCTGACACCGGGGGTTGTTTCGGGATATCCACCTCTTTGCCTTGCGGTTCCATCCGGGGTTGCTTGGTATCGATTCCGGGCGCTAGTTCTACAGAAGGCTTGTTCGCATCCTTGGGTTGTATTTGAGCGGGCATCTCCTCCTTGGTATCCACGTCCATCGGCTCTGGTTCCGGCTCGAGTTTCAGTTCGGGCGCTTGCAGCGTAGGTTTCTGGATAACTGGCGTTGGCACGGGCTCCTTGGGTGTTTCGCGCTCTTCCTTCTGTAGTCGCTCGATCTCATCCTTGATCTCTTTATATCTCACCTCCTCGTTCCTAAGTTCCCGGGTTACTAACTCTTTGTATCGGGCATACAGATGCGAAACCAGATCCGGTATGATCGCAGCATGGCTCATTCCCTTATCGGCTAACCCATCCGGCCGCGGACTCGTAATCTTCCGTTTCTTGGGGTTAGCACCGTTGCTTTCCACATGATGGCCGTTGGGTTCGAGGGAGGAGATGATGTCGGCGGAGTTTCCACCATCCCGCATCAGGGTTGTATACAATTCCTCGAGAGCCTCCGGGGCAAGTCGCCCCGCATCGAACGCACCATTCTGGCGGATAAATGGGTTGTTGCGCAGTACATCGGAGATGGAAACGAAACTGGTGGGGCGGCTATCGAGGGCGGCGAGGGACTGAAAGAAGAGGAGCGACTCAAACGGAGTGTAGGCCGACAGAGGAGGCATCCCCCATTGCCCGTTTGATCGGCCACTGGGGGGAGAGGGTCTGGGGATGGGGGCCACGGTGATAAAGGTTGCACGATGGTTGGCCCGTCAGAGAGTTCAAATTGGGACAACCAATGGGTCAAGAACAACACAGCAGTGGTCCAGGTCCAAGAGTCCAGGTCCAGACCTCAGAAACGGGCAGAAAGCAGGTGATCGGAGGATTACGTGGAACCAGTCAGACCATCTGCGCAGAAAAATGGACGACGGCCGAAAACGGGAACAGGGAACAGAAAAATTAAATCCAGGAGCAAGACGCGACCGTGTCTCGTCCACGGGGTTTCGAGGGCTTCAAAAAATTCTCAGAAAAATCGTAGAAATTTGAGACAGTAAAATTAAGGGTGCGGGTGGGATGAAAAGGATGACGATCCGGATGGGGGAGGGAAGATGACAAGTAGACGATATGAAGGGGAACTGAAGATGGGAAGGGTTAACTAGTGAGTGTTTGTCTGGATGAGCGCAATCGTTCAACTTTTGGTGGTCGTCCGCCTGCCCCGACGGAAAGAGAATCCAAGAGACCAACTTTTCCCGGCCTCCCCAGCGATCACGTGCGTATAGGAGATCGCCCGCCAAGGTGATGTTATGGTACTGTATGGGGCATCGGTGCCCAGTGGTATGGATCCGTATTACCTGCTAGTCATGCATAATGACGACAGCCATTTCTGGTTGCTGGGCGGCCATGACGACGGTGGTATTACATAGTACCGATACTCCTGGATTGGAAGCTTCCTCCAACCGCAGGTCCTGTACATTCCAAAGTCAATACGAGAGGTAAAATATGACTCCCCAAATTACATCCCTCGCGGAGAATTCTAGACGCAGAATTAACATCGGAAATTGCTCAGGAACCGTTAACTGCCAAGGTATAAAAGAGAATGATATGTAGTAGGACTCTGTACTATGAGTATAAGGAGTATACGTACCACACAGTACATCAATACAATACAGGACTACCAACCTCGAACCCCACGCTGTCAGGGGTAAGGCCAAATATAAAGAAGAAAAAAAAAAAAAAAAAAAAATCAACATTAACCCCTTTCTCGCTCTTTCTTACTGGTGGACACTTACGATTCTTCAGCCTCCATGGATTCAGGAGGTCTTCCCCCCATTAAGCAGCGTCATAGCTACAGACTCGTACTACATCCATACAGGAGCATATCTGCATATTGACATGAGCACTAAGAACGTGCCTTGGCATTTGAGTGATGTGGTCGAGTCTACCTAGGTATCTGCGTCATTGACTTTTTAGTCCCTTTGGCTCCTTGCTCGGTGTCAGACTTTAATTGCAAAACGTTCCCTAGTCGGGCAACCCTTTGATTGTGATGGAGGGCAGGATTGATTGGATCTGACATCCTGGTATTATTACTGGATTTTATTTAGATTTTCATGAATTGTCAATTACGATGGAGTCTGGTGGAGAGGCCTGTGACTATTGACCCGGCTAACTGGCCTTACCTAAACTACCTCATTTTATTAGTTGAGTCGCTAGTATCACCCTCTCCAACCCTTTTTCTCTTCGTGTTTTGTGTCTCTTCTGTTCTCGGAGATCACTTCCTTTAGGTACTACAGTGACAAAAACAACGGGGAGCTCGTATAGACGGCTGACTCGTCATCGTGGTGCCCGGGGATATACTCTGTGATCCCAACCCTTCGAACGAAGAACTACTTATACCTCTCTGTAAAACCAACTGATCTTCCCTCCCCCGAGCGTGCATTGCCCCTATCACCCCCGTCCGGGCTTTGATAACTACCCACTAAAAGTGGTCCCTCCTTGGCCCTTACCCATTCATTAGTGTGACAAGTTTCGATCTTCGGCCTCCTCAGTCCTGCGATCGATCAAAACCCCCCCCTACATTTTCCCATAGATTGCTCTCAGCTGGTTCTGATCTTCTCGCCATCATATATACCTTTAACCCTAATAACTTAATCATCCGCAATTTGACTCCCTTCTGATTCTTCTGGAACTGTACTTCAAGTTCCACATCAACCTTGCCTTATACCCACCAGTTCACTGACGCACGCGCGCGCTTGGGAACACTCCTTTTTTCCCCCCCTCAACACCACGAACGAGCGACTCCTTACCTTTCTTCGACTTTGAACTGTTGCTTTGCCACATCGTACCTCTTCACCTCCACACACTCAACTAAAAAGATAAAAATGTCGGACGCGGATCAGGGCTGGAAACCAAACGGTCGTCCTCAGTCGTTCGTACCCACCATTTGCGCTCCGTGCGATACCTGAACGTTGACATTAACCGGTACATGACAGGACCATGGCACAGGCCTTCTCAAGCACACTGGATAGCCTCTTCGCACTGGACTCGGATGTCCATCACCTTGAACAGACTGTCGATGAGAGGTATGTCGTGTAACCCTTGCGAACCCCACCCGTTTACCCCCAAATTGCGCCGAGTTTGAAACAACCTGGGAGGCTGACCGTAGAAATTTATCGCTAGGAAATTTCAAATGATGATTCAAAGCCGAGAACTGGAAGAACTTCAGGCGAAAATTCGCGCGACCGAAGCACGCTTGAAAGCACGGAAGTCCGTGATCTTGGATGGAAGCGGTCCCAGGGATGGGGGATACCAATCGACAGGTAAGGCGTTATCTTGTGTGCCGGAGTGTCTGGTGGAATAACTGTCGCTAAATCTTCTTGATACCTATAGAATCTGCGTCATCGGCAACATCTCCAACGGACACGACAGGCCACTATTCCAGCGGGGATGAGCAGCGGCAGCATAGCCAGACCCGCAATTCATGACTTGATACAACCGGCCAGAGTCGGCTGCAATGGACACGTTTGGGTATGGAATGGGGTTATGGCTTTAATTTCTCTTCTATTGTTATTCCAAGGCGGGCATGTCTGGAGAATTTGGTTTATTCGATTTGTCTTCCCTTCTTCATCTTCCAGCGCTGTATCAACCGTGCGTTAATGGGAGACGAGCCTTTCTTTGTAATAGCTGACGTTCTTATGCATTTTTGGCGTCTCTCGCACACGTTGATGCACATGATTGAGTCCGTGTATGCATGTGCCATGTCTCGAACGCGTGGGTCAAGAGACTTGATTCTTTTTTGTTGCTGTGGTTTAATATATCACTTTTACCCGTTGAATAGTCCATGTGTTGAATGTCCACTGAAGGGAGGGGGGAAGAAGTATTTATGGGCGGTGGTTTTGTTTCATTTAAATTCCTGCATGTCGCGGGCACACATTTTGCGTGGCCCACAATGGGATGGTCACACTGCAGTCCAGATGAGGCATAGCTGCATCGATCATGAGACCCCCTGGGATCTTCTGCATTCTTTCTTTCTTCTTTCTTCTTCTTTCTGCGACTTTTTCTACGACGTCCATGCTACATGCTAACATCACGCATGTGGGAAAATGACATTGCACTCCAATGATAATTCCAGGGGACCTTTTAGTCCTTAGTATCCAGTTAACCCAATCCCACCACTCACACAGCTCCCTCAGAGCCTATTTCTATCGACCCAAAGTCGGTGTCACGCGACCTTGAATCCTCCCGGCATCTGATCGGTAAATATTCTGTCCGGGTCATATTTAGACCGGATGCTCTTGAGTCGCTCAAGGTTCTCTGGGGGGAATGTGCTAAATACATCCTGGGAGGGATTCGCATCATTCAGATAGATAAAGTTGGCCAGTTCGATCCCCGCGGCCTGGAGGTTCTTGACGATTTGACCATTAGCCTTTTCATAGAACGCGTCGACATCATCGTCGCTGACGATCGCTGCAGAAGTGATGCTCTCTTCCACCCAGATGTATGGCGCGCCATTGAGATCCAAGCCCTGCGGGTCTCCGCCGTTGACAGTTGATGCAGTGATAAATTTCTCGGTCACTGCTGGGAATGCTAAAGCTGCAACCAATACCCCAATAGGCAAGCTCTCTCGTGCCACATCCATGAAAGTGTCATGAACAATAGAGATTGCCTGCTTGTTGGAGGCGTGGATATTCAACACATAGAAGCGCTGTTTACTGCCCTTGACAAGCGATAGGGCTGGATCAAGCTCCTTAGACCAGTCACTCATGGATCGGCTGGAAAAGGTACTGCTGGTGGCGTTCAAATCGGAACCTAGGAAGTTCCCCAAAGCAGCAGGGTTCTCATTCTCGCCATTGTAGAAGAGAATGGCGCTATAGCTCGCCGTTCCTAAGGCCGGGATATACTCCGCCAAGGGAATCGTAGCCGCCTTAGGGTCTTTCGAACCATCCACAGTGAAAGCATGCACAGCATCGATAAACTTCTCAGCGACGTCGGATCCATACGATGCCATGCCAACCATTACCTTGGGGGCTTTGATTGTTTTCAGTTCAAAATTTGTCACAAGGGCGAATGAATTGGAACCTCCCCTTAATGCCCAGAATAGATCGGAGTACTCATTCTCTGGGGTCCCTTGGACTACTGTCCCGTCTGCCAGGACAACCTAATTTGTAAGGATCAGCGAGAATGCCTATGGATGACGAAACATTTACTAGGCTGTCTAACGCACCGTGATACTGGCAACATTTGCGGAGGCCCAACCATACTCATTGCTGAAATAGGAGACCCCGCCACCGAGGATGTACCCAGGAACGCCGACGTGACCGAGTCGGCCACCAACGACGGTCAGCCCGTTGGGCTCAAGATAGTCATAGATATTGGACCATCGGTTTCCTGGGCCGACATTGACCGTAGACTGGTCATCAGACAGGCTGAGCTGGGTAAGGCCGAAGCTGGAAAGCAAAACGCCGGACGAATTGATGTTCGCCGCATTGGCAATTGGCATATGGCCACCACCCCTAATTGCGAAGGGGGATTTAACTTCCTTGAGGATCTGTACAGCATCGCCCATCTGGGTGCTATTCGAGGGCTCAAAGACACAGGCTGGCCCCAGCCAGGCACTGGATGTGTAGTATTCTGGGAAAGGGTAAGTTGAAGGTTTTCTGCTCGAAGTCGCAAACACTCTCCCTCACCTGTATTAGCATTGATGTACCTCGGGTGGAGCTTAGAGTACGTGATATCAGGATATTTTTCCTTCAGCCTGCTGCAGGCAGTCGATGCAGCATCATCCTCGCGCGAGTTGAGTTGCTGAATATCGCCGAGGCCTCCGGGGAGGACAGCTAAAGCAATGAGTACATATTTGAGTACCATCTCCGTACTTCGTTGGTTTCGAATCGAGATGAATGCCAACCAGCCCGCAGGAGACGGCGAAGTATTTATCCTCCCCTAGGGCTCGAAAAAAGATTCACATGGGATTTAGTGCTCGAGCTGTCGACCATCTTTCTGTGAAGGCGGGTCATTATCCCACATGATTCAGACAACGGTAGATCAACTTTGCAGCGCGTTTGGATCCGGAGTAATTGCTGCATGTGGATTCTACAGAGGCCACTACTCCGTAAGCGTGGAACGGGCCTCCTGCCGATCATCTGAAGTACCGACCCGGGATTCAAATCTAGCTCTACTTCTTTCCCCGCATTAATGGCGCAAATTTGAACGTGGATAGCATATTGGGCCATATGTATGTAGACCATGTACATGAGGGTCTATTTGAAGCAATAGCCTACTCGAAAAACTCCGATGCCTCGGCTGTGAAACAAGCAATATGTGCTAGGTTCAGTCACGAGCTCAATTTAGTCCATGCATCAAAGCCGAAATATCACCCTTGGCTTGAAAATTCAGTTATCCCAGTCCCTGTAGAAGAGCTGTGGCCCATTTTTGGGGGGATCTGCAACGTCGTATAGCTTCGTATTTAGGGACCGGAGACACTCTACTTTTCTAGCCTGGAACTTTTCTATATTGTTGCACCAATCAAGTTCACTTTCAAGCAACGGACTAGGATAATAACGTATAGCTAAGGATTTAGTCTGGCAAAGTGATCTTTGTTGGAGACTGCACTGACCTAATTTCTCCTCGCTGGTTGCCAATCGCATACAAGGGAAGTCTTAGCAACTATCACAATGAAAAGAATTAATAAAGTCTGCTAGGTGTTTTAGACCCTCCAATTAGAGTCTCATCTAATTTCGATATCTCCCTATCTAACATTCCACAGTACTAAAAATGTAGCTTCGCGAACCACCACGCACGACCAAGATACCTCGCATTATGCGGTGCTTTTGCTCGGCTCCAATGCCTTTTTCCCTATGCAACCCCGTCCTTGTATCCTGAGTAGAATACTGGGCATGCGGAAAGAGACCGGTGAGCCAGGATACTTGTGCAGTTCTCTTATTCTCAAGGATACTACTAGCTGCATCAGAATGTGTCGTCGAGACAACATCTGCTCATACAGTTCATACTCCCACCGGTTGTACCCACATAAACATTCCACTTTTGGGAAGCTATCTAGTAGCAGATTTCAGGATGTCTACTTTCATAAACGGGAATCTTAACGTTATACGGTATATGGGCCGACGGATTGGATGAAGATGGCCCCCCCTGCTACCACTCACGAAAGATGTTTTTTTGCTGGTTTGAACATTACTTGGATATATATTGAGCCTGGTTAGCCCAGTATAAAAATACAATCCAAGTTTATTGCAAGTAAGGAGTCTATCTCGTCTCGGAGCTGTCTTTCTCTTGTTGTTGGTACATCGATATACAACATCTATCGGTATAGAACTTTTTTGGATAGTATTTATCACCAGTGCTCATGTAGTATTAGATAGCCCGGGTATATCGCTGCAGGAGGATCCTTCACCACTTCTCCCTCGGTATAGACAAGAAACTTTGGAATAGGGCTTGTTTGTAGCTCAGAGGCCGTTTTTTTTACTCAGTAATCGACTTTGGAGTATAGAAAAAGACAGATGTAGATATATATTTACTAAATACTCTGAGTGTTTGGAGGGTGCTAGTACTAGATCAGAGCCGGAGTCATCTAAAATTAATATTGAAGTAATCTAGAATTACCTAGCTCCAGTCTGAGCTGTCTTCTTATGATATCTATAAACTACTCCCATTTCTCAAGTTCCATACTCCAGATATGCAGTCGATGTAACATGGATTCTTTATCATTACTTAAATTGAAGCAGCCACACAATACTTGGGGCCTGTTATCTTATGTCTGGTGGAGAATGACAGTCGCAATCCATAATGGAAAGAGAAGCATCTTTTGTCTACTGGGATTCGCTCTTTACATGATATGATGCACAGCCTTCTACGTAATGGGTGAGGGGTCAGATATGTACAAGACAGAATTGATTCATTTGGCTTTGGAAAATGAGAGAGGCTCTTGTATAGCTAGACTTGACTGGCGTCGAATATTTTCTTCCCCCGATACCAAGTTTGGCATACCTTTGCTTCAAGAAGCGTTTCTGGTGCCCACTGCATGCCAACGACCAGAAAATCGGCCTGGAGTCCCGGTTGCAAACTCCCGGTCCATGACTCGGCAAAGCGTGCATAAGCTGCTCCTGCCGTCGCAGCGGTGGCCGCGTCAGCCAAGCTGATGCCGAAATGCGCGTTGACGGTGTTGGTGGTCTCAGGCTCGAGTGCTGATCGCCTGGTGGTCGCGTTGTAGAGGTTCGGGAAGGGCAAATGACGCGCCGTGGGGGCATCAGTCCCAACTGCAAGAGGTGCACCCCCATCTAGGAACTCTTTGTAGGCGAATGCGCGCTTGCATCGATCTGGTCCGACAAGGCTAGGCCATGCTTTGAACAAAGCTGGATCGGAATGAACCGGCTGAACGGAGGCTGTAATCCCCAGCTGACCCAAGCGCTTCGCGTCCTCGGACGTGGTTAGTTCGAGATGCTCGATTCGGTGTCTCCGGCCGGGCGTTCCAACTTGGGACAAAACATCGATGGCTTGATGGATTGCGCGGTCGCCAATAGCATGGATGGCGCACTGGATGCCCGCCGAATCTGCACGCTGGACTACTTCGCGAAGCTGATCTTCAGGCCAAATTGGTTCAACTCGATCGGCCTTTCCGCTGTATGGTTGCAGGAGAGCGGCAGTACATCCATCGACAACGCCGTCGCAAATGAGTTTGATGCCAACAATGCAGAAATCGGGGTCCTTGAACTGTTCGCGCAGGGTAATCGCGCGATCAACGGTGCGGAAATGGGTCTCTTGATCATTGACATAAGGCACGAGCCAGTGGGCTGCAATGTGGAATGGGATATGCTTGTCACGGCGATACTCGTTCAGAAGCTCCCAAGTGCCTTCATCCATAGCCATATCCACAATGCCGGTGTAGCCAGCGGCGGTGTAAGCGTGGACCGCTGCGTCCAACGCAACCAGCTTATCTTGCTTGGAATAGAGGCTCTCCACATAGGGCCATGCCAGGTTCGACAAGGCCGATTCATCCAAGAGACCAGAAGCTCGCCCATTCTGATCACGGTGAATGCAGCCACCAGGAAGATCTGGGGCAGTATGGGCCTTCATTCCGTCGAGGGCCGCCGAGTTGCACCACATTGAGTGCAGATCGAAGGAATCGATGAAAATCGGGCGCGGATCAAGATCGTCGAGCATGCTCGCAAGGGCAATTCCTTGGGTGGATGACTGGATCCAACCTCGACAAAAGATTTGCGGCACCGATGGATTAGCGTCGGCGTAGGCTTTGATCTTTGTACGGATTTGCTCGAGAGACGTGCATTCAATCAGATCAATCTTTTGCAGCGACTGGCCATAAGACAGAATGTGTACATGCGCATCGATAAAGCCAGGAATTACTACTTGATTCTCCAAATCAATGAGATTCGCATCGGCGGGGAATTGTGCATTGTCGAGGGAGCCAACGTATGCAATACGATCATCTTTGATGATCATGCATTCGGCGAACTCGTTACCACCCCTCGCCGAGGGCGATGAGGGTACAAAAATGCGACCATTTCGGAAGACGGAAGTCATTGCAGAGGAAGTGAATCAATTCAGTTGTGAATGGAGAGGCATCATAGGGTGCCTCCACGAGCTATTTAGGCAGTTGCCTGTCTCCTGAGCCTTTCCTTTTGCAGCTAAGTTTCCATTTTCAAGGATCCAGCTTCGAGGGCAATGTGTATACCTGATGGAGAAGTCTCATGCGAGCTGTATGAATCGTTCATACTGAGTGACCCACCAGGTATAGATTTTGTGGGGTAATTCGGTGCCCGCGGCAGTCCGGCGGTCTTCAACACCGTCCACCTCGGCCATCTATAGGGTATTTTCATTATCAACCGTTGCATCTACAATGAGTCTTGTTTGGCCCTCCCATAGATCTCATTCGCTGCTATGATTACTATCCACTAGTACTAGTATTCCTGTCGGCTGGCCCCCTCATCTGCCATCGCTTCAAGCTTCCCACTTTAGAACGCCACACTCTATCTGTGCTCAGATTAGGGTTTATGAACGCTCGAGCATCAACCCTCTACATTACATGCTGATAGGAACAATACGAGCACCGTATACAAACTAACAGTGAAGTTCTCGGTTGATATGAAGACGTGATACAGAAAGTAGATCTCTCAGTAAAATCAAAGGAAAATGAAGTGATTTCTAAACCAAGCCCATCTTGAGATCGAAACAACCCCATAGAAGGTCAAACAAGCCCGTTGCAACTCTCTCATATTGCAAATTGGATACAGAAGTGGACGAATCTAAATCCGAGTAAGCTCAGCGGCCATGTAGTGTGGCAGCCCATCGATGAATTGCCCCACTCGATATAAAGTCAACTAAAGTACCTAATCTCGACCTGGATTGGATATCGTGGACTGTGGTATAGGATCAACCCGCGTCCAGACACCAATCCATACGCGACAGGCAACCACGTTTGAATCCTGACTTCTGAACAATAGGAGCTGTCGATATATGTCTCATTTTCTAGCTGTGAAGAAATCCACCCACAGAGTTCATAGTCACAGCTATCATGATGGGCCACTTGCTATTTTTGTATGGGGGGAAATGTTTTCGTGTCCAGGCTGCTGGCACATATCTTCGCTACAGCGCAAAACAGCATCAATCGCTCTGACACTGATATCTCAACTGTTCCTGATAAGTATGTTAACACCACCCATAGGTTTTTCGGCGTATTCGGAACTAGTGAAATAAGTATAAGATCTGGTTTCATATTGCATCTCTCCGTGGTCACGGCAGTTACTATGATAGCAAGGGAGTAAAATTGTCGCTACCACCTCGAGTCCTATGCCAGGATCCCTGGGGTCCTGCAAATAGTGTATGAACGGAGGAATGACAATCTCAAAACTCCTATTGAACAAACTTCTCTGTTGATCATTTCTCGGCAGTCAAATGAGATTCCTCGATGGCTACCAGAATTTGCAGAAAGTAGAAGCCTGAAGGGCTTATTTGATCAGTCATACTACTTCTTCTGCATACATCCACGTCTTGCTGAATCGCTGCTTGGTGTTATTTTACCCAAAGGCCGGACGATACCTACTTTATACTATACTTGGCAAAGAAATTTAGATCTTGATTTTTATCACTCTGTCGAAGATCAAGACATTTCTGAGAACTATATTGAATACATGGAAATTGTTGTCGATTCAGCGCGTCACGTTCCTAGGCAACCCCACCAGCCTGTCCCTATCTTTTCTACCTAAACACATTCTTCAACCTGTTTGATGAACATATACTCCATCCCCCCCTTCTATACCCGATGCGAGTCGCGGACACTATAGTTCAAGTTATTGAACATTAGCTTGGGGACAAAGCTACGCAATGGAGATCTTCCACTCCACCTTTTGCGACGACAAACCGCAGACTACTCTTCCGACGCCGTCTGAAATTAGAGAAATCAGTAAGAAGACTGGCATAGGCCACATAAGTTTTTATCGCCCACCACCTGTCAAGATTCCATCATTGGGCCTTTTTGTCAAGTACGGAGCGGATGTCACTGTTGTTGAGGCCCAGACTCAAATGATGTTGCATGAGCACCTGAAAGATCAAGCTCCCATCCCGAAGGTTTTCGGCGGGGCTGAGGATGGGGGCCAGGTGTTTATATATATGTCATTGGTTGAGGGTGAAACTCTGCAGGAGAGATGGGGTGGCATGAATGAACCTGAGAGACTGTCTGTCTGTGAGGAACTGAAACATATGGTGAAGACCTGGAGGACCTTGGAGCAAGACAGCCATAGCCGGTATATCGGTAAGTTCTCTTAGTTGCAACATCCAAGAGAGACATAACTCAGAATTCATAGGGAGTCTGGGTGGGCTACCATTGAATGAGATCTTTCTTTCGAGCCATCCAGAAATCAGTGGGCCTTTCCAAGGCGCAAACGCTGTCCAGCAGTTTCAGGACGCATGTGGAATCGAAATCAGTGAGGATGTGCCTATTGTGTTCACCCATGATGATCTTGTTCCCCCCAACATCCTTTTGTCGCCAGGCCCGAATCCGAGGGTGGTGGCAGTCATTGACTGGGGCCAGGCTGGATGGTATCCCGCTTACTGGGAGTATTGTAAAGCGCGACGTGTGAGACTGGATCCAGAACTCTTCGATGATGCTATACAAGAACAATGGCGCACGAAATATTTGCCAATGATTCTGCATCCGGTAGATGAGGAGGCAATCTACCGCCCTTGGCTTTATTTTGTTCTGTCTAAGGGCATATAATTCTGGGATTATTTTACAATGTCCGATGTGCATCTATACAAATAAATAGAGTACGTCTGACTATATCCAGAGTTGTGATTAGGAATTAGTTGAGTAACTATCCCTCCACTAGAGTGATTCGGATTCCCTATAGATTATCATTAGCTCCACTCCAATGACAGTGGATGCCTGATAACAAGGGCAACAGGTGGTGGTCACATCTTGAATGGCTTCATTGAGATAGATTCGGTTTGCTACGTGGTGTTCATAGTAGGTCACAGTCTCGATCGATGGAGTCGTTTGACTGCTGCCGAGTTGGCATTAAGAAGGAACTGGACTAGCTATGGGTACTTGTAGTTTGAATTATATAAATATAGACATGATATAGCACCCTCCTGCCCGTAGTCACTCCAACATAATTATGATATGCAAACGGGTCACTGTTGATGGTTTCCTGTTTCGGCCTAGTGCTAGTGCGTCTCTTAGATAGTGAACTAACAATCTCCACACATCCCCTATCGCCTACCACGATATATCCACTTCTCCTGCCAATCTCTACCCCTGCTCCTCCGGAAAGATGTCTGACACGCCGGAAGGGATTGTCGAATACGCCTACGACAACATTACAGAATGGTATCTGCAGTGGGTCAAGAGCCAGAAGTCGCCGCGAGAAAGATACACCCAGATGCTGCTAGACACGCTACAACAACGCTCACCCTCCATTCTAGAGCTTGGTTGTGGACCCGGAGTTCCTATTGTGAAAATGCTCCTCGACCAAGGCGCCCAAGTAGTCGCAAATGACATCTCAGCCAAGCAGATCGCGATGGCCAAGGCCCGGTGTCCAGGGGCTAAGCTGCTTGCGGGTAACATGACTACCCTCGCTTTCGAGCCTGCGAGCTTCCATGGTGTCATCAGCTTCTATACGCTGTTCCACCTTCCACGCTCCCAGCTCAGGGCCATGCTTGCCAAGATCCATGGTTGGTTGAAGCCCGGGGGTGTCTTTGTTTTTAACCTGGCCACCCTCGATGAGGAAGAAATCCATGGCGAATTCCTGGGATACGGGATGTTCTGGAGCAGCTATGGTGTGGATGAGAATCGGGCATTGTTAGTAGAAATCGGGTTTGATGTCTTGCAGGTGGAGGTATTGCACGCTGGCGATGGGAAGTTGGAGGAGGGTGATCCAGACTTTGATGCCGAGTTTATGTGGGTGATGGTACAGAAGAAGGAATCTAAAAGGTAGATTTATAGATAGCTTTGTATTTATATTTAGAAGGTGCATGTCTCTTTGTATATAGTCACCTAGATAACACCTTAAGGTAGGTTCTTTCGACATAATATACTCCATATACAAATTCAGTAGCCCAAGGCGAAATTGGCGAATCGGTAACAATAGCTTAACCAACTATGGCTATACTTAAGCACAGCGGAAGCTCTCAGCCGCCGAGATATCCCCACCCACATACTTAGCCTTGGCGGGATAAGGACACACGATACGACGCAGCGGTCCACCCTCAGGCCTAGCATATTCCACGGGGAGGGTTTCTGGGGCAGTGCCGTTCTCGACCCACCGTCTCAGCGCATCGAAAATCGTCGTCGGCTGGCCGCCTTGTCCGCCTGCGCAATGCCCGAGTCCCGGTGACTCGAAGTAGCGATAGAAGTCCTGGACATCCGGGAATTGATCTTGGACGGACTTGTAGTAGAACTCGGTGCCCTTGGTGGGGATACTCTCGTCGGCCTGTGGTTTAGGTTAGTTGAAATTAAAAGATTGGGGCAGCTTAGGGCTATGAAGAGAGGAGAAGTAGCGAACCATGCCGTGATAAGTGAGGAGCTTTCCGCCCGCCTTGCGGAAGGCAGTCAGGTCTGGGTCGGCCGCGTTCATGGTGCTGCCGTATTCCTGGGTGCCGAGGTGGAAGAACTCCTCATACAGCTCGGGACTCATGTGCACGGTGTCGAAACTGGCGTTCTTGGCTACGAACAGGTTGAACCACATGTCGGACTGTGAGGCATTGACGCCAGGCACCGACCCGAACTGGCTGATGTCGGCCCCCGGGTTCACCCCATACCACAGCCGCTCGCCGTCCGTGGTCTGTGGTCCGGACCAGGCGGCGTCGGCGATGAGCGCGGCGCCAGGACTGAGCGCCATGGTTCTGTTCAGTGCATTACAGATAAAGGTCTTGTTGACAGAGGTGTATGGGCTGTAGTCGCACGCCGTGAGGTTGGAGATCAACCCGTCCACGACCCCGTCCTTTGCGTCACAGGCGGCGACGGCCTCGGTTGTCAGGAAATTCAACTCGCAGGCCAGCGGGCTGACTCCGTGCCACTGACGCATCAACAGGGGGTAGTACAGGGCGGACACAAATTTGGTCCATGATTGGGCCGGGGCCGAAGCGACGATGCCATCATATGCAGTAGGGTAGCGCTGTGCTAGCATGAGACCCTGTCGACCGCCCTGGGAACAACCACTCCAGTAGGAGTAGTCGGGGGCGCGGCCGTAGAAGGTATGGGTTAGGCTCTTGCCGATGATAGCTTGGTCATTCAAGGACCGGGAGCCTAGGTTGTTGAGCGCAATGTAGTCGACGTTGCCGGGGCTTCGGAGCGCCCACGAGCTGGGTCCGGCTTCTCCCAGGCCAGCATCGGTGGTGGTCGCCGCATAGCCCTCGCCGATTGCGCCGCTCATGAAGAACTGGGACAGCACGAAGCGCCCGGCGTTCCAGCCGCCACCGCCTGTGGCTTGGAGACGGCTGTTCCATTTGGTCTGCGGCGGAAGCCAGGTCTCCACTGTGATCTGGTCGTTGTATCCGGGGTGTGTGTAGGTGACGGTGATGTTGCAGAACTGCGCATTGCGCACATCGACGTCGCCGTGGTTGTAGTTGAAAGTGGCCGGGACGTCAAGGGTGTAGTTGGTGACCCATGAGGCCGACAGGGAGAGAATCTCTGCCCCGAAGACGGTGGGAGTTTGGATTGCTGCAGGCGAGCAGGATGTGACATTCATCTTGAGTAGAGGGATCGCTCCGCGTGGGACATTCGAGGGTGGAAATACTCTGATAAACAGCAGCACGCTTCTTCTTTAAATAAGTGCATTGCATCTGATACGAATGCGAACTTCCCTGTAGACAGTCTATCCACCTTGCAACTAACGGGGATTCTCAGGACTTACTACGGAGTATAGACTATGGATGAATGGCCCACTTGCGTACACTTTACCGGTTCGGGCAGTTCGCGTTCGGGTCCCACGGTCAGCAGTCGATCTGCAAGACGATCGCTGTAATGGTTCTCTAGACAGTGGCAAACGAAGAAAATAGATAGAGAAAAAGGGATAGAGTCAGTAGTTGCAGTTGCGGAAACTTACGTATCCTCCAAATTACCCGGATCATCCTCATTGAGTTCTTAATTTGTGAGAATAGTATGTAACACCTCTAAAAAAATATCTTCTCATCAGCGAGTCCTTTGAGATAGATAAAGACTATAGATATTAGTCTACAAATCTAAATTCTTTTCAATATTGAGCTATGTTAATTATATCATAATATAGTACTGCTTCTCTATCCTACTTTATTCTATATCCTATAGCTATAATATAAAGACCAGAAGAGGTGTCAAGGATAGGGTTTGTCAAATCAGGTGCCACCAGTTAGAGATCATACTAGTAAGTTAATTTATATCAAGGTAAAAATTTTTAATTCTAGGGAACCTGCTAATGTGCGCGTAATATATGCACAAGAGACTATACTCAGGTGATATAATATCTAGACCCTCTCCCATCATTTAATTAATATACGCCTTTGGACCCTCACAATCTACTGTTTACTTGCATACCCTTTTAGCAAATATGTCTGCACCATCTCGAAAAGATACATGTTACAAAGTATGGATGAGACAGAGACCTTGCCTCTGAGCTGGAGTTCCTAGAAGACCTGGCGCCTTCACCTCATGGCTACATATTCAAAGTACAAATTCAGGGTAACTATATGCTCTGAAGGTGGTAAGACTTCTTCAGCCTATTCTTTCGCTAGACTTGTCACTTACTCACCGTTTCAACCAGTTCATCATTGGCGAACCCCTTGGTCCCGATTCGAGAATATCGCATCATCACTGGACCATTTTATTGTCGAATGTCGAGTCTATGATCACATTAGAGAGAAAAAAGTTATCCGATGTGGCCGGACCCTATTATCATGGCTGGCTCACTATTAACGAAAAGCAAGAACATGACCTGGATAAGATATTTGACCTCACGGAGGACTATCAGTATCCAACACATCATTAAATACGAATTAAACTAGCAGGTTAACAAACATGGAAGAAGCTCGCCGGTTAACGGATAATTGAGCAGGTCCTGTTCGTGGTCTATTGAATTCGTCGATGATTTAAAAATCTGGATGGACGAGAAGATAGCTGAAGTACCACCTTTTCCGGCTCCAAACGGTTAGCAAAGACTTTTCGCCTCTATACCTCGATTTCTAGTTTGACTTATATGGAGTAGTGGAAACGACATCAACGTCTGAAAATAACTGACGCTCATGTTGGCGAGGATATCGTGAGGAAGTTCCGGGGGTCCATTAGGGCTTTTGATCAGGACTTTATTTAGTGAGCATGTTTGTTCTGCGCCCATGTATGGGGCCCCAGGAGAGGCTTAATGTGGCGGAAGTCAATTGAACTATTTTCAGGTCCTCAGTCTGTTTCAGTCTCAATTATTCATCGATCGTGAGAAAGAGATCTCCCATGATGTCAAGTCAGGTGGCATAATTTGAACCGATGACGGGAGCGAGTTTAGTATCCACCATGGCGATGGAACGTCCGAGCGACGAGTCCAGACCGTTGAGGCCAAGTCAAGAAATCATGTTTCTGGGTCCTTTCTGGTCCTCTGATAAGCCAGCGATCGGATCGCTGGTGAGTTGTACTGCAGCTCTGGGAACAGGGTTCAGGAACTGCCGTCCTTTATCTTTCGCCTCCCTTCTTTCTTTCTCTTCCCTCCTCTTCCCCTCCAGCTTCTTTCTCTTTCGTTTTTTGTCACCCAACCCCCGTTCATTACCTCGATTCTTCCTTCAGTTCATCTCACTTCTCCCCTCCTATCTCGTCCTCCGTCGATCCCGACTAGAATGGTCCTGATCGACAAGCACGTCCACACCTCGCGGGAGGAGGAGCGATTAAAGGAAGATCGGGATCGCATTCGGTACTGGAAAAAATGGGGTCCGTACGTAGCCGAGAGGCAATGGGCAACCGGTAAGTACCTCTTGAACGGTGTTTGGTTTCTTTCTTATTTTCCATCGCGCGTTCGGTGCGTGGTTGCGGTGATTTGCGATGAGGGGCCGCAGAACTAATGACCTCATTCTCGGATCCCCGCAGTTCGAGAGGATTATTCGTAAGTCCTTCCCACCCAGAATTTATGAACAAAACCAATTGACTCGGTGGCAAAGTGAAAACGGTGATGCGTGGAGCTGTAAGTTCGCTTTTCCTCGCCATTCTCTTTCTTTCTTATCCGTCGCGACCCGTTAACCCCAATCCGCGCCATAGACTTCTCCCATGAGCACGCTCGGTCGCGAACATACCGCTGGGGCGAAGATGGCATCGCCGGGGTCTCCGATACCCATACGCTGCAGAACGTTGCGTTTGCTTTCTGGAACGAGAAGGAGTATGTCTCCTTGGTCCTACCCTACCTTCCGACCACTGACTCACTGTGCAATAGCGATTTTCTGAAGGAGCGTCTATTTGGCTTGTCAAACCCTCAAGGAAACCATGGAGAGAGTATCAAAGAAGCTCACTTCCACCTTGATAACACACCGACGGTAGATCTATCCAAGAGGGACGCTGTTCATATTGCCCTTTCTAACCGCTTCATTCCAGCATTCCTACATGAAATACCTCTACAAGTACCCTCAGAAGAAGTTTCCTTACGAGGACCTCAGAGACGAGAACGCGCGCCGGTCGAGATTGGAACGCGAATACCAGATCCTCGACACCGGCGCTTTCGACGACAATCGGTACTGGGATATTTTCATTGAGACGGCCAAGGAAGACGATGACGAAGAGGAGCTCCTGTTTCGCGTTATTGCCTATAACCGAGGCCCTGAGCCGGCTCCCTTGCACATCATCCCCCATGTGTGGTTCCGGAACACCTGGGCCTGGGGCTACGAGGATCAATCTCATAAGCCTTCCATCGAAAAGGTCGCCCCGCTGACAGCCAAGTCCTACCACAAGAAGCTAGGCGAAAGATATGTACGATTCTCCCCCTCGCCAGCAGCGGGAAGCAACCAGGACGATATCCTGCCAAAGATGCTGTTTACGGAAAACGAGACGAACAACGAGCTGCTCTGGAAGTCTGAAAACGATCAGCCGTACGTGAAGGATGCATTCCATCGCTACATCGTCAACGGCGAAAAGGACGCGATTAACCCGGAGAACAAGGGTACCAAGTTTGCTGCCTGGTACGCTTTTAATGAGGGTGAGGGGATCCCCCCAGGCGAGTGTGCTGTTGTCCGTTTCAGGCTGTCCCGAAAGCTCCAGACCTTCGTTGACGAAGAGGAACTGGACGACACGATCGAACAGCGTATAGCAGAGGCCGACGACTTCTACTATCACATCAGCCCCCTACCCATGAGCGACGATCTCCGAAACATCCAGAGACAAGCATTTGCGGGTATGATGTGGACAAAGCAGTACTACCATTTTGTCTGGGATCAATGGGCAAATGGTGACCCCGCGATGATCGCGCCTCCCCCCGGTAGGAAGCATGTTCGAAACCAACAGTGGAAACACTTGTACATGGACGACATCCTCTCGATGCCCGACTCCTGGGAGTATCCGTTTTTCGCTGCGTGGGACACGGCTTTTCATTGCATACCTCTCGCGATGATAGATCCCGACTTTGCCAAAAAGCAACTGGATCTTCTCACTCGGGAATGGTATATGCATCCCAACGGACAGCTTGCTGCGTATGAATGGAACTTTGGCGATGTAAACCCACCCGTCCACGCATGGGCCACATTCCGGGTCTTCAAGATCGAGCGGAAGATGTACGGTCGGCAAGACCTAGACTTTCTCGAACGGGTATTCCAAAAGTTGCTCCTCAACTTCACATGGTGGGTTAACCGTAAAGACTCGGAGGGAAAGAATGTCTTCGAGGGAGGCTTCCTCGGCTTGGATAACATCGGGTTGTTCAATCGTTCCGAGCCTTTGCCCACCGGAGGTGTTTTGGAGCAAGCAGACAGCACTGGCTGGATGGCCTTCTATTGCTTATGCATGCTCAACATTGCCTTGGAATTAGCGAAACACCGACGGATCTATGAGGACAGTACGTTGAAACTCAGCACTTGTCGCATGAAGAAGTCGACTAACAGTTACAGTTGCGTCCAAGTTCTTCGAGCATTTCATCCTAATCAGTGATGCTATGACGTTCAAATCGGGAGGCCAGGAGGCCTCTTTGTGGAACGAAGAGGATGGGTAAGAGCTACACCTGAGGCCAACCCGATTATTATCTGATGTGATTTAGGTTTTACTACGATGCCATTTCCTACGGCGAACCATGGACTCAACAGCTCCCCGTGAGGTCCCTTGTTGGCCTGATTCCGTTATATGGAGTTCTCACACTTGAGCCCGAATTGATCAACCAATTCCCTTCCTTCAAGCGCCGATTGGAGTGGTTCATTGAGAATCGGCAGGATGTTGCCGAGCGCAACATCGCTAGCATGAAGCGTCGTGGGAAAGGCGAGCGTCTTCTGTTGGCACTGGTCAGCAGAGACCGCCTGGAAAAGATCTTGAAAAGGATGCTCGACGAAACCGAGTTTTTGTCGGAGCATGGTATCCGATCCATGTCTAAATATCATGGCGAGCATCCTTATTCTATGACGGTCAACGGTCAGGAGTTCCGTGTCAGCTATGTCCCTGGTGACTCGGACAGTGCTCTCTTCGGGGGAAATAGCAACTGGCGCGGACCGGTCTGGCTGTGCGTCAATTTCCTGCTGGTCGAGTCGTTGCTGCGCTTCTACATGTTCTACGGCGATAAATTCCAGATTGAGTGTCCTACAGGGTCCGGGGAATATATGCATTTGGGGCAAGTTGCCGAGGAAATCCAACATCGGTTACAGCATTTGTTTGCCCGTAACGATGAAGGACGTCGCGCGGTACACGACAACTCCGACCTTCTCGACTTTGACGAGCACTGGAAAGATTACATGTGGTTCCACGAATTCTTTGACGGTGATACCGGACGGGGCCTTGGAGCTTCTCACCAATGCGGCTGGACTGGCTTGATTGCCAAGATCATCCACGACACTGGGTAAGTAAACCAATGTAGCATGACTCACTGTCAATATAGTCTAACTATCGGTACAGAGTCAATTGCCGCATTCCGCAAACCCCCCGCTCCCCATACGCGGCGGCATCACACTACTTTGATGATATCTTCAGCCGCTCCCGCGCACGCGGCAGCCGTCGACCCAGCATCCGTCGCTCGTCCACGAGCCGCTCCATCGGGAACCGAAGCGACTTCGAGTCGTCCTTTGGCGACACTACCACCGCAGAAAGTGTTGTCGACGATGAAGAAAAAGACAACGGTGTGGATGATCATGTGTCACATTATGTCGAGAGTCAGTTGGAGCGGGTGAGAAGCCAGTTGTCGATGGGCGCATATGAGGACGAGTTCGAGACGCAAGCTGATCTGAAGTCAAATGGACATTGATTGGTATCTAGACAGGATGTGGGGGAGATATCCGCTGAGACTGTTGACGGGTAATTACTTACATGGGTTAATAACATTAGAACCATAGTCATAGTTATAGAAGCCTACATGGACTTTAGTTAGCAGTACGTACATTCACAGCCATATGCAGAGATTTATTCGTGACCATTTGCCATTTCTATTTGCTTGGGCTATATTACTTGGGTGGAAAGCCACATCACGAAAGACAATACTTGAGAAGAGATATATATAGGGATCCATGCCAAGCAACCAAGAAACAAATCCATATGGATACATCTCAGCACCCCAGAATGATTTTTTTTTTTTTTTTTCTAAAGAAACAGTGGACAAATTAAAAGTAAACCAAAATAAAAGAACCCGAAAAGAAACCTAACAAACACCTCCAATCCATGCATAAATTTATAGTTCTCTGATATACAACCCACACCACTGTATAACTCCACCACTACCTAGCATCCCTACAAACCCAACCCCAGTAATCAGACAGAAAGACAGAGAGACGGCGAGAGAACATAAATCCAAACCCCAAACCCCAAATCATCTCTCTATAACGAATGGACATTGATTGAATCTCCCTGTCTAAACACTCTCTTTCATTGAGTTGTATCAGAATCAGGATCATGAGTAGTTAGTATGTGGCCCTGACGGAAATACATGTATATTATATGCACATCTTCAGATCTTGTCCTTGCGGAATGATTATTAGAGATGGCATTGTGTTCTAGTTGAGGTGTGATTTAGTTTCTGGGTAGGAAGTGATGGGAGTGAGGTGTCGTTTGAGTATATAGTCACTGTGGAAGATATGGCGTGTAGTTCGAATGTGTAGTATTTACGGTGCGTTGATTCTTTCTGTCCCATTCACTTATTGATTGGTGGGATCATGGGTTCTTCGTTGGGATTGTATAAACTGTATAAGTCAGTTCGCCCGCTTTAATCAGGATGTTGAAGGTGTTTGTTTTATAAAGATGCCTTATTTGGCTACTGTATATAGACTACTGTAAATAGGCTACACAAACCGATTAATAAATATGTGCATGTCATGTCATGTTATCGGCAAATGCTACTCTCCATACATTGGCAAGGATGAAGGGAATAACTCAATTCTGTCTATCACTCAGATCGAGTCATGCGAAATGCCTCAGGTCCAAAAAGAAAAGGAAACAATATTCACTACTGGTCATGGTAGTAGTACGGTACATGGGTCGGAATCAGAGGTATATCTAATTTACAGGGCATCGGTGAGGGCCTTGTTGAGCTTGGCGATCTTGGAGGAGACGCTGAGGTCGATGGTGCGGTCACCGATCTCGACAACAAGTCCACCAACAAGGTCAGGGTTGACCTGGTTATGTTAGTACTGAAAGGTGGTCCACCATACTGGGAGGGCGAAAGTTAAATACCTTGGTGACAACCTTGAGCTTCTTGCCCTGGCTGAACTGGGAGCCGGAGACGGCCTTCTCGATACGGTTGATGCTCTTCTTGTCAAGCTCCTGGGATTCTCGTCAATACCGGGTCACGACGATATCATTCCGCACACACGGAAGCAGAAAAATGCATCGTATGGAGGGACATACCTGAGCGCTGGTGATGTTGAGGTCGATCTCACCACGGTGAGCACCCATCAGAGTCGCAAACTTCTCGCAGACACCCTCCAACAGACCCAGACGGTTGTTCTCGGCGAGGGTCTCGAGGAAGTTCTTGACAATGTCACCCTTGTCGCCGGTAAGCTTCTGAAGCTCCTGGACGATCTGGGACTTGTCGGAAGCAGTCAGGGTGGGAGCGGAGATGAGACCAGTCAACTTGCGGTCGGCCTTGAGGGTCTCGCCGAGAACGGAGAGGGCCTTGGAGGTCTGCTCAAGGTTGGCGGACTTGGCGGAGGCCGTGAACTGTTTGTTGTCATTCAGTTAGTGGCGGGCATCCCAGCTGAAAATGTGATGTTGAAGGGTTCGGTGCTTTCGGATTGAGGTGTAGTCTCCATGGCTCGGACGCGGTTTTGAGGGGATTTTCAACGCCTCGGGTCAATGGAAACCACAACAGAACCCAATCCCACCCAACCCATCCAACTCGATCGGTAAGACACATACCAGAGCAGTAGCGTAGGTACCATCAACACCGTACAGAGACACAGGAGGCTTGACCTCCTGGGCCGGGGTAGCGTAGGCCCTCAGGCCGTTGACAGCGGCAGTGCGAGGAACGGAGAACTGCTGGGTGGCACGGAGGCCGGCGCGGGCGAACCGAGTGGGCATCATTGTGACAGATATCTAAGAAGAACCTCGAGGGAGTGGAGGAGGGAGGGTAGTGGATGCGAGACGGTGCGAACGTCGGTCGGAGAGGGGAGCAAATGGCCGGTGGTCGTGCTGAGATGGAGTTGAGTTGATGTTCCGTCCAACAATTCTCGCCGGTCACGTGAGTATCCGCACACGCCGGGTTTTTCGGCTACACTACAAAACACTTCGACTAGAGATAAGATCCTCATTCCGAACATACTGAACACACTGAACACATTCAACGCAACGCCGCTCATCGTGATGGTGGGAACCATCTTTCTATTAAAGCCATGACAGAATGCTAAAAAAAAAACCCCCACCAAACGCCGTCATTCAGTGCATTGGTTGATTGGAAACCGACTATCACCGTCATGCCCAATCTAGATCCTCAATTTGCCAAGTCAACCGAACACCTCCGTTAATCGCTTCGCAACATGCTCTCAACCAGATCTCCCAGCGGACCCCAGAAGTCTTTCCCGCTCGCCAGCCGATGTTCGTCGATAAACAACACGTAGTGTTTGAAGCTTGTATTCAGATGCGGTTCGAGTCCCAGGTGCACGATGACCGGGTAATGATGGCAGTAGATGTGTGCGTATACCCGGTATAACCGCTTGAAAATCTGACGGATGAGGCTGGTGAACGCTTTGGGGAACGGAACGCCTAATTTGCATTAGCGAAGTCACACAGAGACTATGGCTATGGACATACCCAGTCGGCTGGGGAACATTTGTTCATTATCAATATTACTCTGAACCCAGCTCATCAGGTGTTCGATGTACTCTGGGGCAGACATCTTCGTCGGCCGCTTAAAGTGCTCCGAGTCTTGCCAAAGGTACTCAAATCTATTTCTCGTGTCAGCCGTAATCCGGATAATCCCCGGGAAGGTTACGCACTCATCTGTGGCTTTCATCTCCGGGCATGACTGAGGCGAACAAAACTCTGTAATAGAGCCATAGAGAAGATTGATCTGATTGTAGAAATCCACCACTGCCGAGGATAGTGTATTAGCGGCCTGCGACAACCACCCGGTCGCACTGGCGACGAGTCTGAGAGCTCACCATTAACTGCTAGCCACTCATTCAAGTCCTCCCCCTCAGGAAGGATCACGGCCTTTCTGAGACTCCCACTTCCCAACGTCGCCTCTGCGAACTGTCTCAACTGGTAACTGCTCGTGCCTTTGGCCGCGGACCGTGGCTTAAACGGCGCGCGTGTCCGCGCATTGCTGGGAGGGGTTAGTCCACATGTTTCATCTGTGAGCGCGCGCACAATCGGCGACAGGTAAGAAGGAGGTTGTGTGAGGGGGGCATCATTGTAATGAATCGAGGGACTCAATGGGCGGGGCAACGGGTGAGATGATTTTGAAAATGATGGCGGGGCAAAGGGAGTAGCAGGAGTAGTGGTAGAAGAAACAAGAACAGGGGTAATGGGAACCGACATGGTGGTGATGAATGAAGCCATTCTTCTTTCTTCTCTTGGTCCTCTTCTCTTTTATCAATCCTCCAGATCCAGCGCACAAAAAATGCCCCGCGATCTGACCTCCGAGCACTCAGATCTGTAGTAATTTGACTTTGTTGTGGTGGGTTGAAGCGTTGATGTGTGCGGCGTAGGTGACCGGGAATGCGCCTACATTCCAGAACCAAACAGGCAGGGGTTAGTTAATCGTGGGCAAAGTGCGTGAGAGATGCCGGGGGAATCATCTCACTTTTCACGAGCAATGCTATGGAATTGCGATCAATCAGGTGACGGTGCGGCTGAGGGTTCTCCAGGCTAAAGAAAATCAAGAAGCGGTGGGCAATGGAAAGATCTCCGATCAACACAAGCCCAATTCCGTCATCGATCGAGGTTCCCGTCTTGTCTCCACGATTTTAACCAGAGCGGAACCTCTAAGTGCATGTGTTCCATGGATGCTGAAGGCACCAGTCATCGCCCATCCATGGGTTGCCCCGGTGACCTCCACCGCTCCCCTTCCATGTAGCCACATTCAAGGGATTTGTGGCTGCAATTTATTTGGAATGAGTAATGGTCCATTTACATAGGTATTGCATTGAAATGAGAGAGCAAGGAGGAACACATAGACCAAAAAAAAAAAAAAAAGAGAGAGAGAGAAACCGAACTATCTTGATTGGGCCTCGTTAACAATGTCTTGCCAATAACATACATACATTTATTTACCCCGCGCATGGGGAGGATATCTATGAGAGTCATTAAGGTAAACAGTACTTCCTCCCATACAGATAGAGTCCGTAGGGACATGCCCATGCCCATCACAATATTATTTATATAGAGTATCCTTCATTCTCCTCAGGGAGTCTTTCTCGGACTGTCTCCCCATATACCGTGAGAGGGATCGCAATCTCAAACGACTCACACCCGATGTTCTCTAAAGCATTCATAATCCGTCCCCGGTCATCTTCATGCACGGTTTCGAGTAACGTAGCGCCCGACGGGCCGACCCCAGAGTCGGCATGCGTGGTTGGCGTCACAAACTCAAACCGTAATTCCCACTCATGGTTGACTCCAGTAGTTAGGATCGTAGGAGTGGCAGAGATGGGGATAGCAGGACTAAAGACGACTCGCGTGGAATACAGGGTGTTTTCGAAGAATGATGCATGTACTTTTCGAGTGGCACGTCGGATGCTTGCGCCAGACCGTACTGCTAATGACCCTGTCACTTTCTCCGACGTCTCTAGCGTGGCTCGAATTGCATAGCAGGGGAGCGCGGCGCCGGCAAAGTTCACCGTGGCAATGATAGTTTCCCCTAATCGATGAGCTGGTCGATTGAGCACCACAACGGCAATCCGACGCCCATTGCGTGCAATCTCAAATCGATTGGGGCTGCGCGACGAGTTAAGAGCCTGGTTGCTTCGGAGAATCGCGAGATCAATAGCATCCTTGCTGCACAGTGGGCCCAAGGACAGGTCGTGGCTTGGGCGCTTTTCTAGAGGTGTCTCAGGGGGCTGTAGAAGAGCGCCCTGGGAGCGTTGTTCGAGAATATCATCAACATAGCCTAAGAACTCAGGCGCTGAGTTCCACGTGGTACCGCTGATACTCTTAGTCTTGGTAGATGGCGGCGGACTTGGCCCAACCTTCTGTACTCTAGCTTCGTCTCGGAGAAGCACATAGGGGTTCATCAAGTCATGGCCAAGGATATCCCCTTGACCTACGATACATTAGTTGCGCCAGATAGAGAGGATATCATCAGCCAGAGGGAGCTACTTACCATCAACGCCGGAAAATACCCGGAATGGTATAGTAATGCGATTGACACGCTGGGGTTCATTACGGACACTCGGTCGTTGTGTGCCAATGACTAGGTTATAGGAAATTTTTATAGCCTTTCCTTTGTGGCTAGCAGGGAGGCCACGGGGCAAAGTGAAGGAAAATGAGTAGGATTGCTCTTCTCCGGGTGCTAGTCGGAGATCCACGAAGAGAAGCGATTGAGATGTGGACAGTAACGGTATCGATCGTGATGAGGTGACACCTCGCATATCGCGTAGGCCATCAAGTTCATTGTTGGAAAGTAGACCGTTGATGGATTCCTCTATCGCGTTCCATTTGAAAGCGCCCCAGAAACCACCTCCTTTACGATTTTTGTCGCCGCTTGCAGCGCTTCGTCCGTTGGACATGCCGGCAGCATTCCCTTGGTCACCCACTACGCCTTTCCTCTTGACTTCCTCAAACGCCGACTGGTTGATTAGTGAGCCATCCACAGTAAATGATGCACTGATCTGGGCATAACCCATGAGCAACGTCTGACCGTTGGGCAGCCAAGCCGCAGAGTCAACGCTGGACATGTGTCGCCCGTGTCGAGAAACAGGTGTTCGAGGTACTGTCATAGAGTAGTTCGTGTATTCCGACTGTAAAGTTTCCGAGGAATTGTTCCCCACAGAGTAGAATTCGCCGCTGCTTCTATGGCTACCACTCAGACTCGACGTCGACATAATCTTGGTGAGCTGCGGCAAGTGACCCGGCGCAGCTAACGCAGAGGCCTCTTTGCCATTCGACTTTGCTACCATTATTGTGTTGCCATGCTCCCCGGCCGGTATCGTTGGTGATGCGCCGGGTCGTGGATTGCTCGTCTCGCTCGTGGGAGGTGGGAATTTGAAGTCCATTGGAGGTAATTGCGGTCGACGCGCAGGCCCTCGCGGTGATTCGGCTGATTTAATCGGGCTCATCGTACCAGACCTAGAGCGACTAGTCCTGGCCGCCGCGTCCACATCGACTCGTAGACTTTGTGGAGAGGCATTCATGGGGGATTCAGGAGGTGGGACACCCCGCGCGGTATGACGCCCACCTAGGTTGCAGTCACTGTCAGTGCAAGTTACGAGATATCGAGCGCTGCTGCCAAAGCAAGAGACATACCCTTGGGAAATATGTCATCATAGCCTTCGAATCGCTTGGGTACCACCTGCAAACTCGCAGAACGCCCATGCCCTCTGGCTGGCCTCGAGCGGGTGAAGGGCGAAGACGTTTTCGGGGTCCTATCCCCGCCTCCTTCGCTATCGATTGATAATATCGAAATGGATCGCTTGTGCTTGTGGCCGGGGGGTGGGCCATTGCGAGGTGTCGAAGGAGGTGGAAAGCTATGGGAACCGACCAATGGTGAACTTAACGATGAAGAAACGCGATGGGATGGGCTTCTCCTCGAGAACGTCGTCGAGGATCGGCGATTTGGGTTGGAGAATAGATTCCTCGGCGATTTCAAGGAGAAGAAGGAGTCCGAGTGAGGCGTGCTACTGCCCGGCCGAGACGACTTCCTCTGAGGTGAGAGCTGTCTGCCATTGTTGCTCTCCACGTTTCCCTCCGCAACGTTCTTGAAGGTTATGGTACAATCCACATCTTCACCGGCGAATATTGTCTGATCTTTCCATTTCACAAAGACTTGAATGTCCGACGGCATGGCGAGGGTCGCAAGGTGACCATATGGGCGGAGAAAAGCAGCAGGAAGCAAGAAGCTTGGGGTAAACGGTGGATACCAACAGCCGCCACCAAAGGGTATCGGCTTCTTCTCCGTTTAACGCCGCCGATGTGATAAATGAATAGGACAGATGAGGGGAAACAAATTGACAATAGCCGGTTATGGCATGCTGTCAGATTGGATGAGCCATCGTAGAGAGAAGGACAAAACAAGAAATACCAGAAAAGAGAAAACGTGAATGAACGGGCCAGAGTCGCGTTGCATGCGCCTTGTCGGCCAAATCAACTGAGGGTAACCGTACCAAGTTAAGACACTTTAGAGTTAGCGTCCTTTCTAGCCCACTGGAGACTTTTCCATATCTTTAATCGTCTCGATTGGGGTTGATAAGGAAAGAGTTTATGAAATGCTCCGGATGAGGAGACTTATCTTATTATTTTGTTTTTTATTTTATAGCCGTAGCATGGAATACAATAGGGCTTGTTTGACGTGATACAGAAGAATCACTTGGTAAAACAAATCTCCGCAAAAGGAGACACATTAATTATGGAGCCAAGTAACTCAGGGTTTCAGCACAATACCAGCAATCTCAAAAGACCAAGAGGTAAGGAGGAAGAAGAGGAAGAAGAAAAGAAAAAGAACAAAAAACAGGAAATGAAGGGAGAGAGAGAGGAAGAGAATGAAAGAGAAACAGTAACAATGTAATTTCAAGTGTAAGTAATTATGTACTATTAACAGTATATATGTCTCCAATATGCACAATGCTTTCATGCTTCTTTGAAATACAACAGCAGATTACTCTGATGGTTTGTTGCCTTCTTCGCCCTTACCATACAGTATGTTTGAATCGTCTAAGGCCTCCGTGCGTTTTGTTTTCGGTCGGAGACCCAGCTCTGATAGATGACTCCAGATTCGATCATGCCGCTTTTCCCATCGTTTGCGCCGGTCCTCCATTTCTGTTTCGGAAGGACGCCATTTGCTTTTCAAAATACGTCTAATAGCTTCTGGAGATACCTGGAATTGCTCGGCAAGAACAGGAGTTGTAAATTTGTCCGGAGCTACGGCATGTAAGTGGCGAATACCCTCAAGAGCGTCGGGCGAAAGCTTTTTTGATGGGTTCCATCCCTCTTTGAATTTCTTCTTCAAGGCATCTTTTTGAATTTGCCAGTGCTCCTTTTTCTTGGGTTTGTATTCCGGGGAGGTTCGGTCACTGCGCACATGTTTCTTATCGCGGGAGGATTTGACTGAGTTTGCATCGGGTTCTGCTTGTGATGAGGAAAACTTCGTCTTCTTCGCCTTTCGAGCGGGTTTATTTGGGCCCCGTCGATCACGATGGATTGTCGTATCCTTTGCAGGGGTTTCACTAACAGAACCGTATACAGTGGCATCTAGTTGCTCTGAACTTGATTCTGTGATGGCCGGTTGCGAAGGCTGTTGCGAATTCGCATGCGATCCTGGCTGGGAGGCAAGTAGTCTCGAGACGGAAGCAAAACTCCGGCCATTGTTACAAAGCTGATGGGAGTGAGACGCCCGGCGCAGAGAGATGAGACGGGAGGAATGAAGCTCAGAGGCAAATTCGGAGCGATAAACGTTGCGGAGAAGTGTAGGTAGAGCTAGTCTAGCAGAGCTAGCACAGAAGGCTACCATAGTGAAGCCTCTTCAAGCAACTATGGAAAAACGATGTGCGAATGTTGCCGATCTCTGACCTGGAGAAATTCGATAGCAGAGGAATCTGGAAAAGATCCAGAACAGTTTCCACCTCAGACGACAGTGATAGTCACGTGATCTTATCGGAAGCGATAAGAATGACGTTGGATTTTGGGGAAAGAATATATTACTTAGGGAGTAGATATAAAAGGAGCCCTTTAGTGATTCTGTCTCAGAAATGGAGCCCAATCCCTCTAATAAATACAAGCGCAATGTATACGATTCACAAATGGAGCTCTCTGAAGGTCCAACCAAGGATTAGTCCCTAATTCATCCATAACATCAATCACTTTCCGCCGTGAAACCTGAAACCTATATTTCTATAGTTCAGCGCCCTGGATATAGTTGCTTGTCCTAGGTGAGCAGAGGAAATGATCCTATTGTAAACTTTCCAGTATTGCTTGAAAGCTCAACACCATCAAACACTTGCCAGCTGTTTATACAGCTGCTGTTCAGCCGTACTATAGTGAACCTATAGCTACGTCTTGTATACCCTATCACCATCCACCAGCTGTCTTGCACCAGAGAAGCGCTGAGGTGTTGCAATGGCCTATGGTGGAGAGAATTCTCCCTCCCCTTTTATATTCGAAGATTCGGACGGGGGGCTTTGTTTAAGGATTCTCTGGATTACCACTTTAGGAAGAATGATTGGCATCTCCACATCCGATATGAGACTAACTGGAAGACTAGACCGCTTGGTGCTCTGTGACTGATCCACAAGGGGAGTTCAACCGCTCGGTGCCCAGCCAAACATACTCCTTTTTTTTTTTTTTTTTTTTTCGTCTTTTCTGGTTTGTCTTTTCTGTTTTTCATTTTCCGACCCAGGTTCAAAACTGGCCAATTTCCCTCTACCTCCCGGAAGATTTGCCGTATGTATGGAGGTGACCCTTCATTTAATTTGCTTCTGCCCAGATAAACTTAAAATTGGCGGTGCTCGCCCAAAGGAGTTTAGGGTTATCAACTCCCAAATAAAGAACAAAAGGAAGCTCTCGTTCAAGTAAATGATCTCCCTTTTAGTTGATGGATCTTAAGATACCCTTAGCTTGAGAGCTAAAAGGTTCGTTTCTTCCCTCTGTCAGATCCTCTCTCTGCGCCAAGGGTTAAGGGCTGAGAGAGGTTCGCCAATCCTTCATTCACTCATTTATTCCTTCGTCATTCGTCTCGTAAGTTGGTTTCCTGAGGATTTTCTCCGCCCGCTGGAATGCCGCAAAAACCCTTGTTTACTGACTGACAGACACAGTTGTGCTCCTTGGATTCATGTTAGCTTCACCCTCTACTTTCAATCTCTCGTTCCTTTGCTAGTTCTCTCTTTATTTTTACTTCCCTTCACTCTTTCGCCCTTCCCACCACAACCTATTGGACGCTCCTTGTTACCCGGTCCACATCGACTGAGCTTCTCTCAGGGCTCCCCGAGCTCGGCCATTCCTTCACCCCTCCCACATTTGTGCTATCCCACAAAACGCCTCTCCTACCGAATTCAGTCTATCATTACTATAATCTAGAAGCTTGTTACCACAAAGCACGGACACATATCCTTACCTATTGTTTTTTTCTCCAGCTTCTTCCGGTTACAAATCACTGAATGGCACCGAAAGCTTGTTAAAGCTACCACCCGAAAGTGCGAGTAAAACTCCAGTCGAGATATACGTTTACGATTGCAGTCTTTCTTCATAAAGTTCTTGAATGATTGTGATCAGACTCAGCCAGAACTGGCCATGGCATACAATTCATTGAATGTGAAAAACAAGGCAGTTGGCGCAGGCTCGTCCCTCAGAATCACTCCCACCAATTCTCCGGGTTTAAGACCCCCGCGGACTCCCAACAAGGCACCGCAACATCAGGCGACCTTGTCCCTACAGACCGTGATCGGTACGACTACAACTTCTCCCCACGGATTTTCCAGTCACGACCAGAGCAAGTCCTTTGCCCTTTGCGCCGGTTCAGCAGCCATCCTAGCTGAATTAGACGAGGCGGGCAATGTGAATCAACGTTTCTTCCGAGCACGCCCCTCCGCCTCGAGTGTCCACCCCGTCACTCCATTCTACCATCAATCTACCCCTCCAACCACACCAGATACTCGCGCTAGGCCATCATCGGGCGTTAAGTCCACAGCGCATAGCGCCATTCTCAACGGCTCCCCGGCGAATGAATTGGCAGAAAGTAACAGCAGCCGTGCCTGGTCTTCACGAGAAAGAGTAAAAGCAGTCACAAGCGTCTCAATCAGCCCAAATGGGAGATTCCTTGCTGTGGGCGAGGTGCGTGGCACAAATCCCCAATCTGACTAATAGTATAGGGTTTACTGATTTCCTTCTAGACTGGCTATGGCCCCAGAGTGTTGATCTACTCAACTGCAAAAGACGCCCCTTCCGATGTTCCACTATCCATTCTTACTGACCATACCTTCGGGGTCCGCGGGCTTGCTTTTAGCAGTGACTCCCAGTACCTGGCTACGCTTGGTGACACCAATGACGGCTTTCTGTTTGTTTGGTCGGTCAGTCTGAAAAGCGGAGCTGCAAAGCTCCATTCAACCAACAAATGCACGTCTTCGATACGGGACATGTGTTTCATGGGCCAAACTTTGATCACGTAGGTCTTTCCAGACGATCGATGATATGATGGGTGGACTAAATCATATATAGGGTGGGAGTTCGACATGTCAAAGTCTGGAGACTGCCAGAAGCTAGACCAGCATCGCCTACCAAGACTCGTCACAACATGGAATGCGCCCCTAGCTCGCCTAGTTTTGCTCCGCGAGCGCTGTCTGGAAGAAACTGTTTACTGGGTTCTTTAGCAGAGAGCACGTTTACAAGCGTGGCAATGGTTTCTGATCGTGAGGCCGTGGTAGGCACGGATACGGGTGCACTGTGTTTTCTCAGTGACACAGGGGGCTCCCAGAAGATAACCCTGGTGGAGAATGTGGGTTTCAGCATCACCTCCTTGATGGCGGACTCGGATCGTTCCTGTGTATGGGTTGGCGGTCGAGGCAGGCGAATGCAGAGGTTCCCAACTGAGATTCTACGATCATCTGCTGCTCCCTTGCCGCCCAGCCTTTCTGAAACTTCCTCCGAGGAACATAAATGTAAGGGGCCTGCTATCACATGCATGGGTTCCCTGACAACCCACATGGTTACAGTTGATACGACTAGAGCCATCCATATCTACCCATTTGATGCCATGGAGGATGAACAGAGCCATGTGGAGACCACCATGCCTGCTCATCAAGATGCTGTGCTTGGGATCGGCCCATTGAAAGTACCGAATGACCTCGAGGCCGACTTCTTCACGTGGTCATGCAGGGGCACAGTGAACTTCTGGGACACTCATGGCAAGTGCCGGGCTTCCCATGTCATCCCTTTGGAGGAAGTTCCAGGCGTAGATGAAGAGACCTCGAATGAATTGAGGGTAGTGAGGGCCAGCGATAGCATGGATTTGTTCGTTTCTGGCGATAAATTCGGTGTGTTGCGAGTTCTAGAAGGACAGTCTTGGAAGTGCATGGATCAAGTCCGAGCTCATGGAGCCGAGGTCACTGATATTGCGTTGAGCGCAGCTTTCGACTCTTGTCTCGTCGCCACTTGCGGTCGTGACCGCATGGTTCAGCTTTTTCAAATAACAGAAGACAGCCTAAAGTTAGTCCAAACGATGGATGACCACGTAGGCGCTGTGGGGCAGGTTCTTTTCATTAACGACGGAGAAAACCTTCTCTCATGCTCTGCTGATCGCACAGTGCTAATCAGGGAGCGTGTGACCAGAGAGGCCGATGGCGGTGTTTCTATTGCTTACATGATCTCCAAAGTCATAACATTGAAATCGTCCCCGGTGTCTATGACCTTGTCCGCAGATGACACAGACATCCTTATCATATCCACCACAGACCGATGTGTACACCAGTATGAGATACCGTCCGGTCGCCATCTGAATTCTATCCGAGCTGTCGATTCCGATTCAAATGATGCAGTGGTAATGGGTGCATTGACAGTAGCTGGGGGAATCTTGGGACACAGTCCCAAGCTACTAATAGGAGTGGCCAGCACTGATAAGTCGATACGTGTGTATGACTTGGACCGTGGTGTATTGCTCACTGGTGAATTCGGTCATACCGAGGGTGTCAGTGACGTGCAGTTGCTGGAAAGGAGCCCTGATCCGCCCAGCGGAACCGTCGTACGCACATTGATAAGCTCAGGTATTGACGGTGTTGTCATGATGTGGAACATTTCGGTGCAGCCCTTCCAAGCCCAAGAAATCACAAGAAACACGTCAAAGGAGGAAGATGAGGGTTCAAAGGAGATGGCCCTTTCCAGACCTCCTATACGGAAGATTTTATCTAAGAATGAGCTTGCTGAATTTCGACATGAGCATGGGACAGGGGCCTCCACTCCGACGCGCGAGCAATCTCCGCCGCTCATACGCAAACTGTCAAAACTGTCCCTCGGGCCCACATCGGCCAAGAATGGGGACGCTACACCACGGACGCCTACACCAGCATCAGCACGCTCCAGCTCGCGTCTAGAGAGGTCGCATAGGACACCGTCCCCCCCTAGTCCTAAGTCAACCCCCGCGAAAAAGACTAGCCACTTAAGCCATAACAACCACCGTTCACCACTAGATATTCGATCACGTAGTAGGTACGGCGGAAAGACCGAGTTTGGCAGCCTTAACATGTCTACCGAACAAGTCTGCCGTACACTGCGAGCTTACCGAAAGAAACTTAATGGGGCCAAGGAGAATCTGCCCTCTCAAAAAGAGCTGGAGCGGGAACTGGGGCTTACGCTACGCGCTTTACATTCTCGAACAAAAGGCTGTGAAAGCACTGAAACGGAGACCGATAGCAGTGGGAAAGAAAATGAATGCTTGAACACAGGAGTGTCCTCGGTTCGTAATGGCGATATTCATGTTCCTTCAACTTCTAACATGAGTCAGAAGCCATCCCCGACTTCTTCCAGGAGTCATTCGACCGAAGAAGATGCAGAGGGATGAAATACATTCCATGTCGCTCTTTTACGCCATTGAACTCTTTTCACAGTTTTGTTCCAGCTGTTTCGATTTCAACTCTTTTGTCGCCTTCTCTATATTGCATCTTTGGGCTGTGAAATCTTGCAGCGGACTAGCTACTACCAATCTCACTTTGCATGGGAAAAGCGAAGGTTACTGTATTTTGGGTTACTTATGTCAGACTCCCCTGGCACTTCGTGTGTTTAGCTGATCTTATTTCTCCTCCTTTTCCTTTTTGGCTTTTGACGGGTTCTTTTAGCAGGTCCAGTGGAGTCTTCGGTAACGGCGCCCTATCTTTCTCACTCTTTGCATTTTTGTTTATTTTTATTTTCTATTTTTCTTCTCTTTTCTCTTATTATTCTAGACTGATTGCATTTGCCACTACAGCCCGTTGCCCTGGTTGTAATTTGAATGTGTCTCTCATCGCTTTTCACCTGCGTTTCCTTCTCTTCTTCTTTTGCATTCGCTTTTGGGCTTCACCGACACCCTTCTTTTGCTTCTCCTGCTCGAGTTAAAAATGATACCCAGTATTTCCTATCGGTGGTGGGGAGGCCTTGTTGATCGCAGGCCTCCCCAAACCCTGTTTTCATATTAACAGTGTTTTCCATACGCCGCTCAGATCTGAATGAAGCCTGTTCGACATTATAGTCAGTCCTTGGGGCAAGAAGCAGTGGAACCAGTGACTGCATAACTCCGAAATCTTTTTTAGCGTGATATTTGCATATTACCATTACACCCTTGTCGGTACTTCGTACAGTGAAGATAAGGAACTGCCGAATTTAATCTGGTTATCGGCAGTCTTATCTCTTCTAGTTTTCCCCTCCGAATCTCGTTTTGGGACATATGCTATAAAACCATTACGCCTTACTACGACTGAAAAGGCCAGACGGGTGGAACATTATTTATGGAATTGAATGATCGATAGAATACCACCATAATGTTCTCTGCCTTGGCTCTAATTGACTATCAAGTTCTGGGAGAAGACATCTGCTCATTACTCATTACCTGAGAAAAGCTTGAACCGCAAACACCTTCCCGCATAGGAAATGTGGACGCTGATCGCTATCTATACCCACCTTTCCTTTCCATTAGGGGTCACAATAAAAGACTACTGTGTGGTGTGGAAAAGCCGATAGGCGCTATGGTGCGCGATAGGGTGATGGTCAGGAGCGTGGCTGAACTTCAATTAGGAGCAGCCCGGTTGATTGAGCCCGGCCCACCATCCAAGTGCCAAACATATAAAAGCAAACCGAGCCGCCATGCGGAGAAACTATTCAACTTTGTACCTGGGACTCAAATGCGCTTTCTGTGGCGATGTGGCCGACTCGCTCTCTTTCTTCGTTGTTCTTTCTCTCTCTGGCCCTGTGTACAGCCGCCAATAGCCAACCCGAAAAAAGATATGCCATCCTGGATAACGACTGGGGGGCAATTAGCTTTCTTCCATTCTTGATCGCGCTCAAGAATGACATCCAGGTTCTGGGATTAGTCTCCGGTGAGCTCCTTTTTTTTTTTCTTATGCAGTACCAGCCACTGCTTTTGACACTTTTCTAGATACGGCCAATTCGTGGCAGCGTCAATGCGCATACCATGCGCTAGCCAACCTTGAGGTCGGAAACCTCAGTTGCATCCCAGTCTATGCGGGCGCCACCTATCCTCTAATCAATACACCAGTGCGCTTCCAGGCATGGGAAAGCGTGCACGGCAAACTTCCCTGGGAGGGCGCTTTCGCTTCAGAGAATGTAACAGCAGAAGCACTCGGTAATGACCCAACATCAGGGGATCCAAACCGGATCGTCAAGGCCGCTTTTGTTGAGGGATTCCCCACTACTAAGATCAACCACTCCACGTCTGCCGCCAATTTCATGGTTGAGATGGTCCACAAATATCCGCATCAAGTCTCCATCTACTCTGCCGGGGCGTTGACCAACATTGCCTTGGCAGTGCGAATGGATCCCGATTTCGCCTCCCTGGCCAAAGAACTGGTCATCATGGGAGGATACGTGGATGTGAATATGTATCAGGTTACGGGTGATTATTTACAGGCGGACATAAACTCCGATGTAGGTGTACTGACTCACTGTCCCAAGAACGAACCCAGTAACATCGAATACAGATCAACTTGATGATCGACCCAGAAGCTGCGAAAATTGCCCTCAATGCAGAGTTCCCCGAGATTGTTATCGCCGGAAACGTGGCCAATCAGGTACAATCGACACAGGACTACCTCGATGAGGTCTACACGGTCAAGAATGAGTATACCAGGCTCTTCCATGATCACTATGGCACCGAGTTTCCTTTCTGGGATGAAACTGCGGCCGCCCTCATGGTTGACCGGTCTCTTGCTATTAACACCACTACTGGTAAGTGGACTGTCTGAGTTCCGTATTGTTGAACAAAGGACGAAGTTACTAACTGACTTGTAGCCTATATCGACGTCGATATCTCTTATGGAAGCCCTAATTACGGAAATATTCATGTCTACCAGGCCATGCTTAAGCCACCGGGCGTGCGCAACATCACCTATGTGAACCGTATCGACGGCGCGAAGCTCAAGGACATGATGAAGCAGGCTATGTGGAAGCCTCCGACGTGCTCTTGAGTGGATGACATTGGCTATCTTAAGATAAGACACCACTTGTGTTGAATACAAATACAGAGCAATAACATCCTCTTGGTTATAGAGTAGAGCTCCATACAATCCATTTTACTATCATCTGTCCTATGTTGACCCTCGCGGTTGTATCCATCTCATCATCAGCGAATTAAACATTACTTTGCAACGCGAATTCCAAGTTTGCTTTTTTGTCCCCTTCCCCAGGTTAACCACTCAATGTTTTCGTTTGTATACCTACTTCGTATGGGAGAGAAAATAAAATATATGAGATTGATTGGTGTGATCCTCTAGGCATTGGTTTTAGTACCATTGTTTTCTTATGGCTAACATACTGACATTCACCAGTTCGCCCCACACCGCCTCCGGATAGTAAGCAAAGATTGATACTTGAGCGCCCTGTCGGACTCATAGAGTGACAACTTGGAAAACAACGACTTTGTGCCTGAGGATGCTCCGATTTTGGCAGCGTTTGGTGCTTTGTTCACCAACCACCCAGCATTGTCGACCTGCCTTTTCTTTCCAGCAAAAATTGTCCAACATGAAAAGCAAATTCAGCACGATGCCGCCGCATCCCTTACCTAACCGCTTAACCCCGAGGGTAAATTCGGAAGAAGCGGTTCCACATCAGTACCATTGTTTACCCAGAGTTCCATGGCGCTGACTCGGTTTGTAGTGCATGATCTCTGTAGCTTACACTAGTGGAAGATGGCTTAATCGGGATGAACTCGAACTAAGTTCTCGCCACATTGTTCTCGACTTCTCAGCGCTTGGTGATAAAGCTATCAGTCTATGCCCAAGAGCAACCAAGATCGTCAAATGTGAAAAGAGAGAAGGTGGATTCAATAGAGTCTTTCTTCTCACCATGGATACAGGTTCTTGTGTTGTGGCGAAATTACCGACCAGTATTGCCGGCCCACCAAGATTAATGAACAACTCTGAAGTTGCAACAATAACATATTGTGAGGCTGACCTACATGCCTCCTTCTTGGAGATGCGGTTGATATGTTCACTTATTGGCGTTGCTTCTGTAGTGCAATCCAAGATCTCACTTCCGATGCCGAGAATCTTAGACTGGAACGATGATCCATCAAATCCAATCGGCACAGTATATATCATCCAGGAGCATGCTGTGGGTGTTCAGCTGCACCAGGTGTGGCCCGAAATCAACTCGGAGCAACATATGCTATGCACCAAGATGCTTTCATTGGCGATAAGAGACATGGCATCCTTAGACTTCCCGGCCTATGGCAGTCTATACTTCTCAAATGGACCACTAGAGCCGAACGTGAAGGTTCCTTTCGAGCCGGGCTTCTGTATTGGTCCACACTGCAGTCCAGTTTTCTGGAATCGGAGTCCGGGGGAACTTGAACTTTATGGTGGTCCGAGTTCCAACTGTGGTCCTTGTCAGTTCACAATTCACTACCTCAATAAACAGTTCTAACGCGACAGATGCAAATTTACAGAAAGACCTCACAAGCTATGCTTTAGGCTTGGTAGAGACCGGTTTCTCTCGTTTACCGAAGACAGATCCTGTCAACCACGAATTACTCCCTCATCAAGGATCAGTTCAACATCACATCAGTCTTTTGAAAACAAGCTTAGAAGTGATGCAGAAGTTCGCTAAAGATACGTCTATTCAGGATGCCGCTACCCCAGCTCTTCTTCACCCTGATTTCCACAAAAGGAATGTCTATGTCTCAGCCGAAGACCCAACTATCATTCCTGGTGTGCTTGATTGGCAGTCAACAAGCATTGAGCCTGCGTTCATTTATGCCAATGAGACCCCTGATTTTGCTGCACTGGCGGAGGAGCCAGAGGGAAACACGCTCGAGAACGGAGTCGATAAGCACAGAGCTTCTGGCCATAACGAACAGGAATGGAAAGACGCATCAATCTGTTACCAGTCATACGATGTTTGCATGAAGGGCCTCGCTCCTAAGCTACGCCCCGCGAGGTTACTTGATCCGACCTTGTTTCGAGTTCTCCAATATTGCCATACGACGTGGAGGGACAGCGCCATGGCCATCCGCCAAGAGTTAATTGAGCTTTCAGCTCGCTGGACAGAACTGGGACTGCAAGGCTCATGCCCATTTTCTCCAACTGAAGAAGAACTCAGGGAGCACGCTCGAGACTATGAAGACTTTGAGACCATTCAAAAACTCAAACTATGGCTTAGAAACTCCCTCAATACAAATTCGGATGGCTGGGTTCTGAATGAATTATGGGATGCTGCGAGGGATGCCCATCGCGCGGCGTATGATGAATGGATCCAGACGGCCAGGGAATCTGAGTCTCGTGGTGATAGTCTGACGGTGGCAAAGGAGGACAAGTTATGGCCATTTGATGCTGGATAATGAACAGTAAAGCCAGTCAAGAAGTTCGCGTTCCTCCCGAGGTGCCTGTCTCCTGTCTCCTCGGCGTAAACTATTTGGGTCGGTTAACTGCTAAGGTTAAGTATTAATAATTAATGTCGGGTTTCCAAATTCATCCTATTTCTGGGCCGAGAAGTGGAAGCATCCCCCCGTCACAGCGAGGCACTGTGCAAGGTCTAAAGCCGTTGCCACAGAGATTTACTTTCCGCAAGTGATTACGGTTTTCCCTTTCTCAATGAAGGTAATATCTTACCCTAACGATATTAGAGACTAACTAATTAAGATAAAGATTTGGTTAGGCCTTGGAGATGTTGATGTCATCCTGTAAGTTCTTGAGGAATGAACTAGATCGCCTGGCTATGGAGAAGTTTTCCAGGAGCATACCTCCAGAAGACCTAGAGTGAGGCCATAGAAAGAAACGCCGAACTAGATCACGACTGTCCCCAATCTACCGGCACCGCAGCGACTTTCATGCATTGCTAGGAGAATGAGACTGTATCTAATGAGCGGACTCAACATTTTAGGGCCTCGGGAGAACTCCTGGTTGTAGGGCAATGAGGGACGGATCTTATGAGACATCGCACCCTCAATGTAGATCAGCTTGTCCGAGTGCAAGTGCTCTGAGGTAATCGAAGTAGTCTACGCCTTGTTTCAGGGACCGGGGTTCGGCGTACCGGGTGATTGTGCTCTGTGTTAGTGTGTATCCTTCAGACTCGTCGTGAAACATGACGTCTGAATGAGCCGAGAATGTTAGATCTTTCAGCTGCCATGCATAGATGTGACCATGTCTGGTATGTACTGTTCGGAAGTGTCCGTCTCTGAAGAGACGTGCTGTGTGTAGTCGGGATGTGAATGGATATGTTGTAGGAATATGTATACATAGACGATGGTACGGGGTGGTCCGAGAAAAAGACCTGTCGTGGACAAAAGTATAATGACTACAGATAGCCAGACGAAGAAATGATAGATCAAGCGTGCTACTGGAAGGTAGGACGGGAGAGAGTAGGGGGAAATCTAATTGAGGGCAATGCTCAGATGACCTTTTAGTAGTAATGGTGCCGTATTGTTGTGTGTGTGTGTGCCAGTTTGCTTTCTAACACCAACGTTGGGGCGACCATGTGTTTTCTTGACAGAGAGTGCCTCGCGATACCTAAAGAAAAGTATCTTGTTGTTGATTGAGGAAATTTTACTATTTTGAGAGAGACCAGGTGTAAAAAGGTATAGTAATTTGTAAAGGGTCGTTGCAGTGTAACTGCAGTTGGAAAATATCTGAGGATCATGGTTAAACATCTGGGGCCTGGGCTTCATGATGGAGCTAAGGAGGTGTAACTATGATTGTAGGCAAGGGGTAGAGTTAATAGTGTGTAGAAATTCGATGTAGAGAAATGTGGTGTATGTGAGAGAAATTTTCATCCTCGGGATTGGGATGACTACGATGTGTGTTGTGTTGTGTCTTCAAGAATATGAGGCATTCACATTTGGTGGAGACTACAGGCAATTTCTTTTTTTATCCTCGACCTTTGCCCGGTTCGGATCGTTGCGCCTCTTAATAATCGGTGTAGTTCTGTAGTAAAGAAGGGATACGATACGAGAATAGAAAGGAGTTGTGATTACTAAATTAGCAAACGCCTCTTATAACGGCTTTGGTTATATTGGGCGCCCAATATGCACAATACAATAGTGTCTCGGCGTAAGCCACCAATGCTGACGCCTCAAGATAGGGGCCGCCTAGCCCTACAGCCAGAAATTGTACCCTCGACTTATTGTTATTAGGAGTGATGATTGTTGAATATCCGGCAGGGCGGCTGCAGGCTCGCGCTCGGATCGCTGGTTCGTATAGAAACTTGAGATGGCACACATACGACCAAAAGCGGGAACCGGCTCATAAAGGTAGACAATGCATATAACCTTGAACTGCGGTTGCCCGCTGTAAGAGATATGTACTCCGTATTGATCGTCCTGAAATCTGGAGAAGCACACTGTAAAATACTCCGTCCTCGAATGTAGGCATTGCATTGTCCAATCAGGTCTTATCCGTGGGCTCACTGGTCGATCTGACTCCAACAGTTGCATGGGGATCGGCAGTTGTGCCGCCTTCTGTGGCAGGAGCTGCGGCGATCTCGCCCGACCGCACACCACCTCCAGTGGGCGATGTGGTCAACTCACTCACCTGGCGTTCTTTGTCCTTTGGTTAACCAGGTCCTGGTGGGTATGAAACATGACTAGTAAAAACTTTAAAGAAAAAACCACTCACCTAAGTCCCGGATGCGCTGTCGCAAAATTTGGTTCTCTCTCGCAAGCATTGTGGCTTCGGCCTGGTAGAACGCACCTTCGTCGCGGCTGCTCCGTCGTGCCGGGCTCTCAATGGTGCCCGCGATCCACTCTGGCCCCTCCGGCCCGCGGGGTGCATCGGACAGCGGTCGGAGACTAGGCGACGCCGCCTGGCTCGACGGCCGTGAGGGTCGGCGGCTGGACAGCGATGAGGGAAATTGAGTTGATGTTCGACTGCCGCTAGCCGAGACGGGTGGGATAGTAGGAAACGCAGAGCGGTCCGAATCGTCGATGGCCGTGCCCTGGGAACCCTGTTGTTGCTGCTGCTGCTGTAATTGCTGCAGCTGAGTTTGTTGGGTTCGGATCATATGCAAGAGTCGGTTCTGACCGGGATCCAGATTAGTTGTCATGTATCGACAAGGGGGTGGCAATTTTAACCGCCACGGAAATGATATGGTGTCAGTCGGGATCATACCACTTGGGCTTCTTGTTCCTGCTCCAGTTCTTGATGCAGCTCACCCAACGAGGGGGCACGTTGGTGATGCGGGTCCCCGGTCGCAATAATCGGGCTGCCTCCGAGGCTCGATGGGCTAGACGTCCGAAGCCCATGAGCACCTAGCGAGGAGCGGTGGTCGGACGGGGCCATGGAGTCTCCAGTCGGCTCATTATTATTCAGGTTAAAGTTGGCACCGGCAGCGGACCGGCGTCGCTCTGAGCCCGGCACGCCCGCACGAGAGCTGCGGGATGACCGACGAGGGACCTCCGGGGTATGGTGATGGCTGTTCTGATTATTATTGTTGTTGTTATTACTCATGGCGGCCGATGCAGGGGAGAACCCGGATGAAGAATGCTGCTGGCTGTCAGAAGAAGTGGGGAGATTCCGTACTTGACGCGGGGAGGCAGAAGAGGAACGCGACGGGGACAGCGAGTTGATATCGGGGCACATTTCTCCTCCAACAGGCCGATAAGAAGAAGGCGATCGAGGGAATAAAGATTCAAGCTATAGGCTTTTGCCTGAGAACAGAGTATCGACCGAGTTGTCAGGAACCAAGATACTGTCAATAATCGAAGTAACAGAAACAACGCTGATGCCAAAGTGGATGCAGTTGGAAAGGCGGAGTGCCCATGCGGCAGGCGGTCAAGCCCGTTTCGAACGGTAACGGGTCACGAGCCCGAGTCTAGGCCGAGACTGGAATAGGCAATCTGCCAATTAAATCCCGAAAACAGCCGGATGAAAGCGTCGATCATTTCAACCTTGGAGCCTGAATCAACCAAACTGTCATGCCTGGAGGCGTCCCACGTGATGCATTGGAATGTACATGAACCTTCTACAAATAAGGACTCAGAACCAGGTGTCCATGATGGATAAAGTTGTCCTGTGCAGAAGCCGAGTCTGATCAGCATCGCTCGTGCCGTGTCGGGCACTCTTCTATGAGAATTCTAGAAGCTGAGGGAACAATACAGTCGACGATTATACGAACATGTCGAGGCGACAAGGTTCATTTCTCGAACCGCTACGCAACTCTGTTTTCACTCATTAAAGCCGCAAACTTTCCTTCGGCCCTGCCCAGCCAGGGGAAGAGGACTAGCTCTTCCATGGGATCCCTTGGCATCCGGCCTTGGCTGACCGAACAGAGACCGCTTAATTGCCTTAGCTTGGATCGTAGCGCCCAGGTTACCCGGAATCCTTGGCTGGCTATGCTTGTTCTCACCGAAATCGTACCCATGACTAATGTGAATGGAAAACGATGTACGAATACTGCGCAGTACACCCTGAGTATACATGAAGTTGATCGGATGTCACGCGACTTTTATAAGCTGCATGTATAGTGACTACGCCGATCAGATTATTCTTCCAATGAGTGTATCTCAGATGCTACTTTGTGTCTATTCGCTGCATCGACGTATGTGGCGGTTGATACCGCCCGTCGTAACCTGGTGCTATGATGGTAACGTATGATGAGATAACCGCTCTGTGGCAATGATGATTACACAGTATAATGCTCGGTGCATTATTTGTTCGCTTACGGTATAATTACATAGTAAGTCACGCCTCAGGATCATCATCAGGATTATTCGTTATCCGTGCGGTGTTTATTTTGACTACCTGAGACGTTGCTTGGTACGTTGACTACTGGAACCCCACTATCCAAAAGATTTATGATTTAAGGGTAGAGAAGAGCGCCCGAGTAATGAAGAAACTGGACATACGATAGATTATAAAGGGACAAAGAAACTGGGGCGAAAATTTTCCATGACAGGCTTCGATATGGGTTTCTAGAATAATCCACTTCCATCATAGTTGCAGGTCAATATTACGCACATCAGGCAAACCATCTTCCATTTCCTTTGTCTCCTGTACGAGTAGACTTTTTTTTTTTTTTGGGCCCCGGGACGATGATCAACTTCCTCAGAGAGCAAAAATGTACTGGACGGAAGGCCGGAGAAAACCGATTGACGTCATTTCACGGTTACCCCGAATCCAAGAAACCCCCATGGGACAAGAGGAGAGGGAGAAAAAACTGGGCCCAATATGAGTGGACCTTCATTACAGGGAATGGCTCCATTTATTTTGCTCATTGCAATGTAATGAACAGGAAAATTGTCCCCATCAAATACGAGGAGTTACCAAATACCTTTTCATGGTTGCTTATCATCCCGATCCCCCAAATACATAAATTCGGTTTAATACCGACCGCCCATCGGGAAGCCACGCAACTCGTGGTTGCTGATGCCGACTCCCTTACATCGGGTCATGACCAACCCAACCCTAATCTCATGGATCACAACCTTGTCATCGCGATTTAGCAATGATCTCTTTCGGCTTACTTTAGAGTATCCTATAATTAAATCCCGCAGAATCTTAATCATGAAAATACTATGAGAAACGAGCGTTGCCGTTCGTATAGCCTGCATAAGTAATACTGTGTGTCTGATGTGGGACTCTCACAGTCCCGTGCCACTGTTCACTTGTTTCCCGAAGCGGGCATTCCTCGACTCCCCCGGCCCAAAACGCTTCCAGTAATGGTTGCTGGAGACCCCATTTGCGCTAAGGTGGAGGTACCGAAACCACCAGCCTCAGATTTTACCCTGTTGCGGGATGTTTTTTTTACCATACCCGTGGGGACGGTCGCTGTTGGCCGCCAGTCAGGTTAGTATGCGCCCATGATGTAGGGGGTATCCGCCTCCGACTAGTGCAATGTCCGGGGGAAGTCAGATCTCGCAGCTTGGACGACAGACTTCGGCCGGCGTGGCAAGTGGATGACATTGGAGTCCAAGTGGAATGCAGCCCGTCTTCCTGATTCGGTCCTGTTCTGCAACCATGGGCCAACCATAGTCAAGGAGGTTCTTCCTTGATGCATGACCCATGCGGTCGAGTTTCCCGTTGAAAGACGAATTTGGGGGATGAAATCAGTGGATGATCAATTTTCAATACATAAAGAGGGAAAAATTAAAATTAAAAAATTAAAATAAAATGGAACAGAAAAAGAGTGTTATGAGTAGAAGAAAAAGCACGCATTTCGTTTTCTTTCTCTCACCTGCATGGAATAAATTTCCTCACGAGAGATTATCTTCTCATTGGTCTCGTAGGTATAGAAAAAAAAGAAAAAAAGAAAATAAAAAAGGCAAGGATAGGTGGATGAACCCAACAGACAGTGCGAGGTACAAAGAATACTTTCTATCTGGTAGGTTTGGGTTGAGGTAGTATTTCCACTTGGTTCCTCAGGCCTGTTCAGTGTTCCCCATGCTTTCCCTTTCTGGGTGACTACCTGATTGAGCTGCATCTTTTCCTTTTCTGTCACTGCTTTTTCTCTCTCGGTGTTTTTCTTTTTTTTTTTTCCCTTTTTTATTTTTTCTATTTCTATATCCTCTCCTCCCCTCCCACCTTTTCATCTCCTCTTTCCTACTTCAACCTCCCCCTCCATTTTCATACGTCTATATAAGTTCTTATCTTCTTTCGTGGTACAGCTCTCCACTTACCTCCACTTCGAAACACTTGAACCTACATACACACCACTTAACACTGTATTGGGAAGATCGCTACTGCCTACTCTGTAAGTCTCACTTCTTCTATACATCTCCGGTTATCACTTTTATCTTCTGTGGACTCCCTCACTCGGTTTGAACTTCCATATCTCCAGGATACTACGTCTTTGCTCTCCCCCAGAGTTTCTAACCAACGATTCATAGGATCAAATATGGCCCCTCTTTCGGACCAGGCCATAAATCGGGACGAGAAGCTTCATGAGTCGGGAGCTTCTTCCTCGTCTCAGGCCGATGGAATATATGACCTCGGTGGAAAAGAGGCTGAGCTGCACAAACCCCAACTGGGTTTGGCCAATGACCCTGCGGCTGCTGGAACTACCTTCCATCAGCTGGAAAACACTGCCTTGGACGGGGGAAAGATCGAGTTAACAGAAGAAGACTGCTACGATCAGCTAGGCTACTCTTTCCCAAGCTGGAGAAAATGGATGATCATCTCAGTCATCTTTCTTGTCCAGGTTTCTATGAATTTTAACACCAGTTTGTATTCTAATGCGCTGGGGGGTATTTCGGAGGAATTTGGCGTGAGTATGCAGGCTGCTCGTTGTGGAGCGATGATCTTCCTTGTGCTCTATGCGTTTGGTTGCGAACTGTGGGCTCCGTGGAGTGAGGAACTGGGTCGCAAACCGATTCTCCAGGCGAGTTTGTTCTTGGTCAATATCTGGCAACTCCCGGTTGCACTCGCCCCAAATTTCGCCTCTATCATGGTTGGTCGTGCACTAGGTGGTCTCAGCTCCGCCGGAGGATCGGTCACGCTCGGTATGATTGCAGATCTGTGGGAAGCCGATGATCAGCAATACGCTGTAGCCTGTGTGGTCTTCTCCTCTGTCGGTGGATCGGTACTTGGACCAGTGGTGGGTGGCTTTGTTGAAGCATACCTGCCGTGGCGCTGGAACATCTGGATCCAGCTCATTTTTGGAGGATTTGTTCAAATTGCCCATTTCTTCCTCGTCCCCGAGACCCGGACTACGATTCTGATGGACCGGATTGCCAAGAAGAAGAGAGAGAGCGGCGAAAACCCTAACCTCTACGGACCTAACGAACTCATCCCCTACAGGGAGCGTTTCTCCATGAGGGAAATTTTGATCACCTGGGTCCGTCCATTCAAGATGTTCTTGACTGAGCCGATCGTCCTCTGCCTCTCTCTTTTGAGTGGGTTCAGTGATGCCCTGATCTTCATGTTCATTCAATCCTTCGGTCTCGTGTATGCGCAATGGAACTTCAGCACCGTGGCTTTGGGTCTCTCATTCCTTCCGATTCTCGTGGGTTATTTCATTGCATGGGCTTCCTTTGTCCCCGCGATCAGGAGAAACGTCTACGAACGGCGGATGAGGCCAGATGACGAGCATACCCAATACGAATCCCGACTCTGGTGGTTGTTGTATACTGCTCCCTGCCTGCCCATTGGTTTGATTGGCTTCGCATGGACCAGTCTGCCCCAGACGCACTGGATTGGAACTATGGTTTTCTCGGCGATCGTCGGTATTGCTAACTACAGTATCTACATGGCGACTATTGACTACATGGTCTGCGCATACGGTCCGTACTCGGCCTCTGCGACGGGTGGCAATGGATGGGCGAGAGACTTCCTCGCTGGTGTTCTTACCATCCCTGCTACTCCATTTTATCAGAGTAAGTGACTGACGAAAATTGACTGGAAATACAGCAAGCGCTAATTAAGAGTGTTCAGATATTGGCGGGAAATACCATCTGGAGTACGCATCGACGATTCTGTTCTGCATCTCATTCGTGCTTGTGATTGCGGTCTATGTGATCTATTGGTACGGACCGACATTGCGCAAGCGCTCGCCCTTCGCCCAGCAATTGTCTGATGCCCGCGTCGAAATGCAAACCCAAGGGCGCCGGCTTTCGAAGATCCCCTCTGGGTCCCGGGCGAACTCCTTTGCTCGGTCCCAGCAGAACTTGCGCATCCGTCAAAACCTTGGGAGCCGTCAGGGCAGCTACATTGGATCCCGCCCTGCTTCGCATGCCAACTCCCGGGTGAATTCCCGTGTCAACTCCCGCCGGAACAGTGTTAATCAATAGATGAGCACATCTCGACATCTCTACGACATTGGCCCGGGGCCGATCGAGTTGTATGATGACGATGTTACGGAAACGACTGACGAAGGTTACTTTCCGCCAATGACCGACATGCGGTGACCCTTGTCTTGGTTACGTCCAGGGTCCTTTTGTGGCTTGGCAGGGTAGCGGGTCTTCTCAAAAAAATACTTTATTCTCTTCTCTACTTCATGTTTCTCTGAGGTTCTTTTTTGGTTTCACATTCATGGGGGATTCTACTGGGGGTGCAGATGTATGTACGTTGGAGTATCACGAACGGGTACATCTGTGTTGCATAACGGGTGTTCAAGCTTGACGTGTGCGTCCGAGCGAACGTACGCCTGATTGCACGTCAATAGATTTTAATTTCTTGTTTAATCTTGTTATCTCCCAAGCCTCTGTTTCTTCCATTCTCTGTTCTTGTGTATGTATTGCATTTTGATTCCCAACCACGGTTTCTTCAATTGCTGCTTCCGGCGACGTGTCGAAGAGGCTGTAGCATAATACAAACTCAAATACTTAACTACCGGCTTTGCTTATCTAGATTCGTAGCGAACGTGATGACTGGGGTGCCACTGGCCGTTTCGTGTCAAGTCAATGTAACCCTCCGCGGGAAGTAGATACCATATCATCCACCCGAGCCAGCGTTATGCCGTGATACGGCATGTTATACAGGATGATCAGGATCCATTCCACATGTGTCCAGCGGGGTGAAGCGAGGGGGGATGTTGGTACCGATCTGTGGAGGCGGGGACCCCTTCAGCGCTCATCCTTAAAGCGTCCATCATGGCATGACTCCATGATCCTGCCGAATCGCCGCATCAGGGAACCGTTCGAATTGAGTTCCTTCTCGTATCCGGGCCCTCAACCCGACAACCCGCTATCTAAATCCCCACATCTCCCTTTCCAAACCAAACCAGGTACCACAGGGGGGGTCCGGTACTACCCCTCGGAACTCTATTCCTGACTCGCGTGTAGCCTCTGATCCTACCTAGATAAGCTTAAGGTTGTTTGTTGGCCGTTTCGGGTACTTGAGTAATATGAGTGGGGCATGACTTCATGACTTCATGACCTCATTGACTCCTGGTTTGTTTATCTATTGTTTTTTATCTGGGGTGGTGGTATTTGGTGCGTGGGTATCTCTGCTGGGTATGTTATGCTATGGATGACCATATGGAACTGCATGGCTCGGCATCATTCTTGGGTAGCGAGTGAAGGAATGGGGGATGTCTGGATCTGGGAAGGGAGAAGGGTGAAAGGTTCTTGGGGAGAGTTCTAGATTTGCTGGCGGATTCTTTGGCGTCGACATGTGATTTGGTTGTGCTGAAGGAAGCTGGAGGTCCCGACTCAAGAATGGACGAGTCGAGACCCTTCGTCCGTCGTCACACGGCGCCGTCTTGTGTATGTTGCCATGTACTGTATATAGGTATATCATATGCCGAGAGTATGGAACTCGGATGCAGGTATATCCCCGAATGATCTAGATAACGCCACCCTACCACCGAGGGATATATTCTGAATGGATACTGGGTATACATATACATATAAACGATCGATTATTTTCTATATAGATTCCGTTTGCGACTATACCCCCGACGACGATTGAGTCGGCGAAGAAGGACCGCATTTCTTCCCTTGTTCCTTTTCCACCGCGCCCATTAACTCCGCCGCCTCGTCGCAGTGTTGCGCCATCGTCAGGTCTTTGTCCGTTAGACCGCGCGGCTGGTGTGTTGTCCAGTGGACGTCGACGGAGCCGATTCGCTGTTTACCTTTTTGTTAGGATTGTTTGGCTTGGGTTGGAATTGGGGGGGCACTCACGACTGTGATGGTGGGGTGGTGTTTCTTGGTTGCGCTTTGCGATGCGACGACGTTGACGAAGCTCTGTTGTTGGGGTGGGGTGTTAGCTTTGGGTATATGGTAGACATATTAACGAAAGCGGTAAATGTGTATAGTCAAGTAGAACTTGTTGGGGAAAGGAAGAAGGGCAAATGGACATACCACCGCCTTGAAATACGTCTTGAAGTAGTATGTCTTCTTCACCCCCATTCCATCCTCATCCAGCGTCCACCCTTGCCCCAGTAACGAGTCCAGCTCCGGTTGCAATTGTGTTCCATCTACGCCTCGGGCGAATTTCGGTGCTGCGGCCATGGCTGTTGCGCTGTGCGAGAACGTTCGGTGCGCTTGCGAAGGTGCTGCTGGATGGCGGAGAAGAGATGGCGATGCGGAGCGGAGAGCCTGGTGAGAAGTGGCGACCGGGGACAGGAAAGATCGGTGGTGGTGTTGGCGGGTTGATCGGCGGAGTTGCGATGTCAGTGATCGACTGGGGCGTTGTAGCGCCCGGGACACGGTGTTCATGTTTGTTGTGGAGATTGATGAACTGGCGGACAATTGTATAGAGCTTAGCTTAGCTGTTGTGTCGCTTTATTCTGCCGGTGAACGGACCATCTCCGCGTTTATGGGGGCTTGCCGCTTTTAGGGTTCCTCACGTGATTGGTCCTTTCTGAAGTATGGAGGGTGCATGATGTCTCATGGCTTGGAAAATTGCTCGGGGTACTGTTATGCTAGAGAGTAGTTTTGGACATGCTGGTGTTGAGAGATAAGCCAGTTATCTATCGGCACTAAAAGTCGTTGAGTTGCTTTGAATCAGGTCTCAGTGCCTTTTGGCGCTTATACAGTGGCTTCCTTATGAGTAGCGAAAGATGAGATTCTCCCCTCTTTGAGCTTATATTTGTTGGTATACTCCAGAATCCCTGGGTAGCCATGGATGACCCATTCTCATTTCTTTATAAAACTTTCGGTCACTTGCCAGTTCCGCGGATCAGATGGTTCGCCTCAGACCAGCGGCATATTGTCAGTTGCGTTTGGGTTCCAGAGCAGAGCTCGTCTTCGTCGTACCTTTCCTGGGCACGGATAAGATTATCTCGCACTGGAAGATGCGGAAAGAAATTGAGCCATGGATGATGGTGACAAGAGCGTTGTGTGCCTGACGGGCAAAGAAAAGGAAGCGATTTCACCATGGGTGGTGTCGGTCCTGCTTGGTTGAAAGGTGACACAATATCCGTCTCACAGAGGCTATCCATAAACAGTCCAAGTAAGCTTATGTTGTTTATAAACGCGCGGTATACATTTATTCTAGTGAGGGACAGTAATTGGTCAACAGCAGGGCAGCCTAGAATATAGCTATGGTACGCAGCTGCTGCCAGATCCTCAAATATTTGTCGCTCGCGTGCCGGCTCAGGTGGTTGGTCCGTCTTCTTGACGAATGCTGTGCCCCCATGGCGTCTGCGCTGCTCTTCTCATTCATTAGTGTAGGAGCCTTGATAGCCAATGAAGCTATCACTTACGGTACGGCCCCTGGTTCAATCTACTATGGCGTCGCCATCGCTCTACTCGCTCCGGAATGCCGTACCAATAGTCCTTCGAGTCGACATCGGGTTTGGGGGCAGCCGCATCCTTTGCTACGCTTAACCGCATTGGATGATTCGAAGTTACACCCGTGACTTAGATCCTAGTGCCTTGTCTGTTTGTACTGTGCGCCCTCTATTCATAGAGGGCTTTCGTTGCGGGATAGAAACCATCGGTAATCACTTGCGCGTGGAGCCTCCACCGCTTCAATAGCGTTGAATGGTTGGCCACTATACGTGGTACAGTTACCACCACTCACCTTGGCCCCTGACTCGGGGTTATCCTGTGGATTAAATCGTGGAGTTGTACGGAGTACGGAGTAATCATTTAGTCTCTCCCGATCATCGCGCGGACTGGGCGGCAAGAGTCTGCCCGGTTCATTGGCCGCTCAAATGTTATACAGCTTTGGAAGAGGAAGCCTGTGCCATTTCATGTTGAATGATCAATGCGTGAAGCCAAGGCTGCAGCTCATTCCACGGCTATAAGTACAATGACATAGTTGACGGACTTCCCGTACATTGTCGTTAGTCGGGAAGTCACCAAGGAGATCATTCCTCCCGTTGCAACGCTCCTATAGTGCATTTAGCCATGTCTGGTTTTGATTTTGATACTGAAGGCAAGTCAGTGGTCGAGAGATGGGGAAGCCTGGTTGAAGGAAAAGTCGGTAGGTACCACAACATCGTATGCTAGGGCCATGCTAATTGAGAGCCAGTTGTCATTACCGGTGCCAGTGAGGGCGGCCTCGGAGGTGCTACTGCTTTTGCTCTGGCATCGGCACGGCCTTCTCATTTAGTTTTACTTGCTCGCACAGAGAGCAAGGTGCGTAATGTCATCTCTTCAATCAAAGAGATCAGTCCTGGGACTCAGCATGCTTTTGTGCACATCGAACTTGACGACCTTGACTCCGTTCGTCGGGCCGCAGCAGATGTTCTTAGCATTACCTCTAAGATTGATGTGCTGATAAACAATGCTGGCGTCATGGCTATCCCCTGGAGCAAGAGTAAAAATGGTTTGGAAAAGACCCTTGCCATTAACCATCTCGGGCATTTCCTCCTTACGAAACAGCTGATGCCGTCTATACTGGCCGCTGGCCCTGGATCTCGCATCGTCAATGTCACCAGTGCAGCTTACCGCTTGGCGCCGTTTTTCTTCGATGACTGGAATTTCTCGGTACCAGACTCTCGATCCTGATTTGCCTAAGTACTGATGAGGTGGAAACTGACTACTCCAGGACGGCCAAACGTATCACACGTTGAGCGCATACGGACAATCCAAGACAGCGAATATCCTCTTCACGGTTGGCTTGGCACAGCGTTATAAGAAGCACGGCATATTGTCATACGCGGCCCACCCTGGCTGTCAGTTACTCATTTTCTTCTGCGCTGTTCCGATTAGGTTAAACTGACTCTGGTGTAGATGTTCCGGGGACTTCCCTTTTCTCTCACGGCCCCGACCTTGGTCCCATGGATGAAGTATCCCGCAGGAACACTGGATTCCCGTTTGGTCGAGACCCGCCGAAGTCTCTGGAACAGGGCATTTCTACCACACTGGTAGCAGCATTATCCCCAGAGTTGACGGACGCGAGCGGCGCTTATATGGAAGATTGCCAAGTTTGTGAAGCACGAGAGTACGCTAGGGATCCCGTACTAGCTGATCGGCTCTGGAGTTTAAGCGAGGAGCTCTCGGGGGAGAGCTTTTGATCGAGAGAATCCTTCTGCTACTTGAGCTATGAACACAGTAGGCTGTGTCACACCCTAAACTCGTGCATGTCAGATGATTTGCCTTTGCCGCTTTATGGGTATGTGAATGTCACTCTTTGAGATTGCCTATTTTGAGCGTTGTTAGTGTAGGACTCACCGAAGCCGCACATGGTCGAAACCTGAATTGAATATACAGTAGAAAAGGCACGCCTCGTTTGCTCAGGTTGCTCTGTGTTTAGTCCTCTCATGAGCAAACTGTACATCAAAATGTACTGGTATAAACAGGGGAGTGTTTCTTTGGGCACGGATGACTCTTCAGCTTACATGAGAACTAACTTTCCTGAGTAACGCCGGAGATGATATGTCTGATGGCACCGACGAAATAGTCATTCAGGGGGGCGCCGATACTAGTATTGTCAGTACTACAGAATGAACGAGGAAATTTTCGGGCCTATCATAGTTACATTGAGGTGTGGTTATGAAAAAATCCTAACTTCAAGAGTAATATCATAAAGAAGGCAAAGGTTTAGGGGAGCTACCATACTCCGGCGTATGTAGGCGTTTCTACCCGCGATCTACAAGTTTGGTGATATATAGAGGACACGTATGAGGTTGCGAATGAGGATATTTGCGGTGTGAGTATGTGAGGAGTCAATTTTGGATGAATCACGAGTCACCATGATAGCACTACAGATGATGTTTTATTTTTCTTTTGTAATTCATGTTGGAACTATACGATTGGTGGTAAGTATCAGTGGTCGATAATATGGAGTAAATGTTGCGAATATGACACCCACTCGTCCATCTTTCTTTCTCCAACTCCCCACAGGGCGGAACCGAGGAACCGGGCTAAAAACACGGACCGTGAGACTAAGACTTTCATCTTATTAAACCTATTTAAGTCTTAACGACCTTTAATTACACCACTAGATCAGATTGGAGTTTACCGAGTCCAAGACCCAAAACGGTAAGGGATCATCACTAAGTTCCTCGTTCAGGGGGATAATTAGTCAGCCGCACAAACCTCTTGACGTGCATAAACGCGGGTCTCGTGCCCGCGTGACAAATAAGGTTGAAAACCCAAAAAAAGAAAAAGCCAAGCTTATCATCCAAAAATAATCGCACAATTCTCGATTCCTTCTCCGAGACAATACGAGTTGAAACTGCCCTCAATTGTGAGAGTAAGACATTGGTGGTCCAGATCTACAGGTACGCCACACGGGACCCTGTTCTGACAGCGATCGACCGCGACACTGTGTGTCCAGGCTGACTATCGTTGAACTAACCAGCTAGCGATGATTCCATTCCCTTTTCAACTATCCTCGGCCCAATCAGCGGAAAACCGTTACCCAAGGTGGAGACCTTCGAGGGGCTGAATTTCAGGGGTATTCTCATCTTTCAGTGTGTTGGGGCTTGGGAGAATATTTACTCCGTACGGACGACGGGCGTTTTCGTCATCTGGGTCGAAGACGTTTTGGCATGGACTCAACGCTGAACTACGCGCCCGATCAGAAATCCAGATCGCAATGAAATCTGTGCTTCGATTTCAATCCTCTTGTCTCAGAACGCTTCCTCTCTCCACTCCCAGTTTCGCTTGCTAGTCTACTGTGTTTCAGGTCTGCTCATCGCCAACACTATCACCGCCGCGACTAAGGCAGCAGCTTCCTTAGCCACAGACTAGTGTGCATTGGTACGTCCGTCCGGTTTAATTTTTAACACAAAGGAAAAAAAAAATAATAAAAAATTGGTCATGATTCCGTTGCGGCTGGATTCTCATCGCCCATCCAGACCTGGTCTTTTCGACATGACCTCTTCCTCTTCTCTCCTCCCACACTCGACCTTTCCCATCTTCTTTTCTTGACACTCACTTACCATAATTAGAGCGCTTTTGGAAGACCATGGCTTCGGTCCAGTCGATAGAGTAGTCAGATTACCCATTGATTTATTGTAGCGACCCCTCACTCAATTTCCTTCATTTATCTATTACGATACGATTTCGGGCCGTCAGACGATCATTTTTGCTCTTGAATTGATCTTTCAACTCCCATTTGATACCACATCTCTTTGACTCTCTTCAATTGGTGATCAATGCACTATCTAGTAGACACCGTGGGTCCATCCGATACTGCAATGCCCATTATCCCACCGTCTTTTGTGGAGAAAGAAGACCTACTTCGAACCGCACTTTCTGCTCATTTCGTCATTCCTTCAACCACGCTCTGTTTGAGCCAATCGTACACTCTCTACTAATTACCTCCCTCATCTGAACAGTGGTTCAGCGACATTGGAGCGCATGACAAGAGGACTATAACACATTTCTATTCGCACGATACCCAATCAGCCCTAGGGCCCGAGAAAAGGATAGCTGTCAACCGAAGACAGCAGAATGACAGTGAACACCGATCCGCCTAAATCATCGGTCAGCGAGCGCAGAGGCCAAACCCTAGCCCCGTTACAAACCAACTTCAGCCGCCCAAGTGCCCGGCCGACTGTGGTTGCAACTCGTCCCAATCGGCCACGGCCGGAGGAGTATCAGAATGATGGCGAGACAGGCGAGCGTGTTCCATTACAGACCCCAGTCAAGCGGCAGTCCTCTAAATCCGGCCTGCGTAGCATCTTCAGCCGTGAAAAAATAACCCACAAAGAGAGCACCGATTCTAAGCTCTCTGAAATTGAGGAAGCGCAGGATCTTGCGACACAGACTGCCCCAGATCTCGCCGCCCCTCTTTCACCAGCATTAGCCACACCCAAAACAGCGTTCTCCACGCCCACAGTTATGGCTTCGCCTGCAGCGGACCCTCCTAGGTCCAAACCCTCAAAATCTCGCCAGAAAACTAGTGAGGACAAGTCAACGGCGGGTGAGATAGGCTGGAAACCTCCCCCGCTATTCCAAGCCTACCCACAGGCAATCAAACATGATAATCTTTCGACCCCTTCTCTGTCTGCGGAATCCATTTTGCGGATCCAGGCCACATGTTCGGCGAAACAAAGCAACACTCAGAACGAATTATCCCAGGCAGACAATCCAGCAACTCGGAAGAAGGAGGCCAAAGAGAAGAAAAAGCACTTGCGCTCCTTGTCTGAGACCATCGGCAAGACTGACTGGTCTCCGAAGATTTATGTGCTGGTCACAGCTGGATATATCTTGCAGTACGCTGGTAGCGGAAAGTATGATCGGCTGCCGGAGAAGATGTTGCAGCTAGGTCCCAAGTCTGTAGCATTTGCGAGCGATGCGATCCCGGGCAAGCATTGGGTTTTGCAAATCTCCCAAATGAACGATGAAAACAATGCTGCCTCGACCGATACGCACCGGCCTCTATTCTCCCGCTTTGGCTTTCACCGTTCCAATGCTCGGCGTTTAACCCGGAGCCTTCTTCTCGTTCTAAACACCCCTGAAGAAATGAGTTCATGGCTTCTAGCTGTCAGGGCTCAGATCGAAGCACGTGGAGGGAAGAAGTATGTCTCGGAGAAAGCGGTCGACGACGACACGGACCATCAACTGGAGTCTAAACCTAGCATCCGACAGTTGGTAAAGAAGGACCCTAACCGGTTCTCCCAAGCCTATCTGCATCCTCAACCAGTGATCGGTGTTGATGATAAAGATTTCAGCGATCAGTCTCGCCGAAGCTCATATATCTCATTTAATCGACGGTCGCTGGTTACACAGGCTACTCCCGAGTCGCGCTCCGAATCGATGTCCACGACACAAACGGAGGTAACTTCGCCGGTCAGTGGTCAGACGCGTTTCTACTCTCTGGGATTGAAGCCCGAAGCAAACGGAGCTAGTTCACCTCCGAATGGCAGCGCTATATCGACGGTCCTGTCTACGCTAGATGGCCCGCCCAGAAGCCCAACATTCTCGAGCTCAATGAAGCGAGACTCATTACATCATTCGAATGTGCCAACAGTAGCAGAAACTTCGGACCTTTCCCAGTCCCAGCAAACGGTGCCTGATCCCATCTTGCGAAGCGCTTCGCCCCCAGCCCCAAACTTCAGTGTTCCATCTTTCAGCAAGAGATTCACGGCCAGGATGGGGCAAGGTCAGATGCAAATTCCTCGGTTCCCCTCCGCTCGCAACGACGAAACCGACACAGACGAGACTAATACTATCTCTGCCTTCCCGTCTCCACCACAGTCTCCAATCAAGAGCATCACCAGCGTCGCAATGAGCGAATCGCATGAACAAGTCGTACCTTTCCGTGACTCCCCAAAGAGGAGGTCTTTACGCATATCCAATTCGGGGGATTCGCTCGGCGATTCTAGAAATACGGATCCAAAGCTGCAGCATACTTCGCGCATATCGAAGGCCGCCGCTGCAACATCAACTGCCGCGCAATCCTCGCGACCCACCAGCATTATCGAGCACGAGTCTGCCCATTCACAAATCCCACAATCGCCCCCGGAGACCGGCTATCAAGCGTCTCGTCGGGAACAGCAACGCCACAGGGTTTCCGTTTTTCCAACAGCCACGCCAAATCGTTCTTCGACTGGACCCATGCTGCGTCGCAAGAGTATGCCTGGACTTTCAGTTGGACCGCCGGCATTACCTCCTCCTGACTGTCCTTTACCAAAGATTCCTTCTCCAGTCGAGCCATCGCTTCCTGAAATAGCTGAGCAATTCCCGGACCCCCGTGTGTGCACATCACCACCACCATTGAAGGGCACCCGACTGCGTCGGAAAAGCCTGGCCAGTGCCGCACCTCGTCCTGCTCCCATGCCTCTTCCACCAGCAACCCAAAGTCTTGGTTCTCGACACCCACGGACCGTCAATGGCATATAAGCCATAGTCCTCTGCTGATTTTATTCAGCCTTATTCCAGTCCTTGATTATCGCTTTTGCATATAGAGAGCGGCCTCTCTTCTTAACTAGATACCACTATTCTCCTTTCTCATCATGTTTCACTATGCCAGAATCGTTTCCTTCTTTGCCGGCTTTGATAGCCAGCCGTGTCTAACCAAAAAGCTTTATACCATACCATCCTGCATCAGCGCGTTACAGTTTCGAACTTCATATAACATCATGGCCTCCCTGCTTTTTCTTTTCTTCTTGACTTGCAAACCACCTCTCCTTCTCTCTTTTTCTTGCCCTCAAACTATTATATTTTATCGCCGTATAATGCCGTTACTCGCGAAATGCTTTTCTCTTTTTATTCCTCACAGCGATGAACGAATCAGGATATCTCACGCTGTCAATTGCTTACTGGTTATATATGATTGAAACTTGTTCGTGTTGAACGTACCATGCTATACTATGTATGCCATGTTCCTGTATATATCGCTGTAGACCAGGTTTTTAGTTGCGACGCAGGTCACTGTTGATGCAAGTTCTTTCTCAATAAGATGCTCTGGAAGTGGTTTCTCTTTGGTTTATCGAGGACAGCTAATAGAATCCTGTGAATTTCAGGAGTTATAAGGAGCTATAAAGAAACTTGGTTGTGGCATGTGATGCCGAGGAATCAGTTGGAGATTGTAAATATATACATTCATCAGTACTGAAGCTATATACAAACAGATGAGGTACATTCACTTATATACATTGTTCAATATAAGAAGTACATTGGGTATCAAATACATATGGTTTCGTGTCACAGAACGGCTTCCAAACGTCAAATTGTGTTGGTACAATATTAGTATCCGATTTCCATGCGTTAAGAAGGGACACCTTCATATTCCCACCCTTGGATAATTCGTTTGCCTCGTCTCGAGTTCCGCCGGTTGGTGTTGCACTTTACGAATAGTGTCAGTGCAGTGATGATGCAAATAACAATGCCTGCGATGGTTGACACCAGCACTGTTTTTTTCTCCAGCTGTTTAGGATCCGACGCATATGGACATTTAGCCTCAGGCCCACCAGTCACCCAGCATGACGTGATATCCCGAGAGTTGAAGTCTAGCCAAATCTCCCGCTTAGCGCGGTCTGGAGACGTGGGATCAATGATGTTGCTTGGTTGGGTCAGGAGGTATCGGTAGAGATACGTATTTTCTAGGCCTGTGCGAGGAACTCCCATGGTCGTATTGTCTGGGCAAGCCTCTGAATAAGCATCGGTGTAGCTATGTGCAGTACTGGATACTGTCCAGGTATATGGTAAGTTCGCTACTCGGCAGGCGACTCGCCGCACATCCGTACAGTTCGCAACGCGCCAGTGGCCGCCTACGGAGACGTCGAGGACTGCGCATCGATCATATTGGGGCGAATCGATATTGTCGGCCACATCGGCGCCCTGGGGTTCCCCTTCTGCCCAAGCCCATGTAGAAGATAGAGAGATATTTTTATATGGTGCGACCTCCTGGTCGGCGGTCTTGTTGAAGAGGGTGTTATTGAGGATTGGTGTCAACCCACACGCGGTTAGATTTACAACCCTTTCTGACAATTCACGCAAGGCATAGGTCTCATTCAAGCCATGTGGCTGAGACAGGCTACTTGAGAGTGCCCAAGAGGAGTTCACTTCAGATACCTGGAAAGCATCTGCGTCATAAAAGCAACCGTAATCCAAACCTCCTTCATCGGCCGAAGGCGCGGGTACTAAGGATGCTAGATATCTTGGAGGAAATATGACCTCGCTTTTACCTGCGGTTAAGTTGTAGTCCTCGAGTTGAGGGTCCACAGAGCCATACTCAAGAAAGAGACGGCGCTCCTGTGCAAGTTGTACATATTTTGAGGCTGGCCAGCCGTCCGGAGTACTTTGTGTACCATCTGAGAGTTCATGAGTTGCGAAATATTCGGTAATAGGCTTGTACCCATCATCGACTTCATACCAAGACTCGTTCAGGTTGCTGCGCTCGTTGGCCAGCCGTGACGGTGTGTAGATGTAGTAAAAAAGACGGTCATCCATCAAAGTATCTACTCGTTCAGAAAAGGACGGCAGCTCATCACCCGATACCTTTGCTGCAGGCAGTTCCGGAGCGGCAGCGCTAGCAGCAACATGCAGGTTGAACGTTAGGTATCTGATGTACACATTCAACTGAGACGTTGTGTCTTTGAAGTAATCCTGGAAGATATCAATCAGACCAGATAGGTCGAGGTTCTCTGAGCATAGATAGGGGCCTAGCTCATAGACAGGCCAGCCAGATGAACTGGAAACGAGGGTAGCAGTACTTTGAGCGGCACTGGCAGTTGCAGTTGGTGTCATTGTGGGCGTCGTAGAAACAGTGACAACGGGAACATTCTTTGGAATAGCCACTGGGCAAAACGTCCAAGCCCGCAAGCCCGCCGACCAATACAGATCGACGAGAAAGCGTCGGTATCCAACCGACAACAGATTGGATATACATTTTTCAGCGGACTGCGTCTCGAATACATTGTTGCCAAAGCATGCTGCTGTCACGGATACGCCAGAGCTTGTGATATAGTTAAGTGGAATTTGGCCGGCCACATCTCTTTCGCTCTATCACGGTGTTTAGCTAATTCATTCATTTTCTACTTTCCCTGTATACTTCCCCGACATGGATGGGGTAACTTACCAGAAAGATCGTTTCCCATTTCGTATTGATGAGGGATGACTGGTCAGGGTTGTAATTTAATGACATGGAGCTGCTGAGATCTTATATATACGCATGGCAGACGGACAGTACTGAAAAGGATCGCGCAAGGGCAGCCATTAGAGACAAGGAAGAGCAGAGAAGAGAAGGGAGGGGGAGAAGACGAAGTAAATGAAGCTGATAACACGGGCGATGACGGAGATTCCTCCACCTCCGCCGCAGAGGAAGGCGGTGCGGCGTGGCTTACGGCTTTACCCTTTTGAGCTGGAACATTTATTATCTGGCCACTTCGAAAGTTCCCACTGATCCTCGAGTTCCAACTGCGACCATATTACTTTGTTCTCTAAATCGCTAGACCTTTTTTCTTTTCTTTTTTTTTTCTCTCTTCCTCCGTCAAGTTCGAGGGACTACTCGAGATCCCCGCCCGCACTATTATTAATTGATTCCGACTCCATCCCCATCTTTCACATTACTACAAAATGGCGGCGCCTGGGCAGCCATCTCCCCAGCAGATTGCCGCCATGCAGCAACAGTTCGCTGCTGAGGCCGCAAGGCGTGGCATGACGCCGGAGGAATTCGCTAAACAGCAGCGCGAACAGCTGAATGCCGAAGCCGCGAAGCATGGCATGTCCACCGAGCAATACGTTCAGCAACTGAGAATGCGAGCTCTCGCTGCTCACCAACAACAGGTTGAGGCCCAACGACAGGGCCAAGGATCGCCAAAGCCAGGACAACCGGGCCAGCAAGCTCAGCAAGAGGAGCAAGGCCAGCAGGCACCACAACAGCCTCAACCACAACAGACTACGCATCAAGTCCCTGTGAACCCATCGAATCCCCCAGACCCCAAAGCCATCGCGGTTGCGCAGTTCTTGCGATCTCAGAACTTGAAGCCGAGAACATGTATCATGGATGGACAGAGAAAGGACATGTTCAAAGGTGCTTATCACATGAAACCTAGATCCGGTTGTCCGCAACACGGCTGATTGACCATACAGTGAAACGTGCCATTCGCGCTCTGGAATCGCCCGCATACGCTAAAGCAGCCGCAAAGAAGAACTCTCTACTCCCCCCCGTAACGGACCGTGCATCAGCAGAGAACGTTTTCAAGCTCCTCCCTCTATCGCTTCTTGCCTTGCGCGTATCGAAAGTTGATCCCCATGCGGGTCACAACCACGCAAAGCCCAAGAACCGAGTCAAGGGGCTGTGGACCGTCAAGATTGAGCAGCACCAGGAAACAGACCCTATGATGCACTACGTATGGCTATACGAGGGACCTCAATGGAAACAGAAGGCTATGGCCGCCGTAGTGGTGGCTGGTATTTTCGCCGTTGTTCTTTTCCCATTGTGGCCCATGGTGATGAGACAAGGTGTTTGGTACTTGAGTGTTGGTATGATGGGCCTCCTGGGGTTGTTCTTCGCCATGTCCATCTTCCGTCTTATTCTGTTCTGCATCACGGTCTTTGCTGTTCCTCCTGGTCTCTGGTTATTCCCGAACTTGTTCGAGGATGTTGGCTTTATTGACAGTTTCAAGCCCTTGTGGGGTTGGCAAGAGGTATGTGTTCCATCTCGACCTTATGTTTATGGCTTTCTCTAACATCCCTACGACAGAGCAAGAAAAAGAAGAAGTCTAAGAAGTCTGCTGGCGACGTATCCAAGTCTGTCAAGTCTCCACCCTCTGAGCCAGCCGAGTCTGCCCCTTCAGCGACCACAACGGCAACCGCAGCCTCGGATACTTCGAGTGCTGTGAAGCGTGACCTGGCCCCTCGAGTTGAGGAGGTGACAGACGAGTAATGGTATAGATCTGGCCACTTTAGGCTTTGTAGGTTCTTTCTGATCCGTGTTGCACTGGATCGTTGCGCTAGGGATAAAGTTAAACATTCTGCATCTGTATGCTACCCGGTATTCATTGTTACCTCTGCTTTTCAGTTATTCCTTATCACCTATTTGAAGGGTATATTTATGTTTGTTCGGGTTATGGGCGAAATGATTCCAATTCTGTATGAAGGTTTCGACATACAAAAAATGAAGTTCTGCTTTTCTATAGATAGCTTCCGCCACTTTATTCAATTTTGAGGGCGATAGTCCAGAGCGCAACAGAATTATATAGGTTGTAATTGGGGTTGCAATTAGCTTCTTTAGACCGTACTCCTATATAAACCCTTGCTCTACAGTGCACTGGGACTTGACCTTAGGACGACCCGGGCAGGTATATACATACTGCGGACATGGGGAGCTCTCCTAGGGGAGGAATCCAGACCCCGTTCAAAAAATAACTGTTTCTGGAGTGCTGCAATGTGAATTTTTTGAATATGATCCCAGTCAAGTCCATGGAGGCAATTTAAGTATGGAAAAACGTAAACACTATGTATTGGAGGCGTTTCCATATTAAGAATGCTCCACTACGCTTGGATTTGTTCGGTCAGGATCCAATGTAGACAAGAATCCATTCGAAGTGAAAATAAACCCTAACACTTTCGTTAACAACTGATATAGAAAATCAGTAATACAGGATGGTATATTTCTGTTGAGCCATGTACTCAATAATTACTGCCTTGGGAGAGACTTCCATTAGTATATAGATTCCAAAAACCTCTGGTGACTATTATTGCATCGAAACAGAACTCCAGATTCACTAGTTAATATGAGGTTTCAGCGGCCAAGGAGCCAACGATGAAGGTCTTGTGAAACGAAGCATGCGAATATTGAGCCAAGCCATGTGATCACAATATATGGTCGTATATTCTGCCAGGAGAATTCGGTATCATCTACAGCAATCTAGCTTCAGGAGCTTTGGTGATGGAGTCATCAACAACTTTCTTTGGGAAGAATCAACTGCGTACCAGTTATATCATATGATATATACCGCTCTTGCCTAAGCCTGATATAACCTGCGCAACAAACCATCTCCAATTCTGTCATCAACTGTCCATATTATACAGACAATGTACCGCGGCAACTTTTTGCCCCTTGTGAAGCTAGACGTCATTGATTGATGATTTGCTCGGTGGCTAATAAGCTGTGAATCAAGATCTACAGAGCCCCGAGCGAGTCGTTCTCACTGACGAGCAAGTCGCATGTGCGAGGTATCATCCTCGCAAAAGCAGGATTTTCGCAGTGTGGTAGATCAAGTGGTGGTTCATATCTTTGAGACAAAGGAGACTTGATAATTGTCGTCATGTGTCAGAATTGAACGGCATTGTGGTGATTCGGTTTAGTAGAATCCTTTGGAGATTCTGTTCCTCATTCAAACTAGAACAGTGATATATCACAGCGATACGGATAGTAAAGTTGCCCACACCAAGCGACTAGCAGCGATCCGCACGATCAATGGCGATCTCAGCGGTTTACAAAGAATGGTAATATAGTGACATCGTGGTCCTCGAGAATCCCGGTGGGGAAAGAATAGTCGGCCGATGGGAAATCTATGAGGAGTGCTACCACTATGCAGTGTAGAGTACTTAATAGCCGTAAGTGGAGTTGTCTGGCCCAAAGATTCCATGGAACTGGACTCAAAAAAAAAAAAGCGAAGCGCAAGTCTCAAACTCTATATAGAACTGGGGCCAATTTGATGATTCAAATACTCAAAAATCCTTGCGGTGAAGCTCGCTTTTTCTTCCACATTGCAAATAAGCTAGGTCCAATCCGCTCGTATATAACAGAGATTATACACCATCGAGGCATCATCTGTTAGTCATGGATAAGATAATTGTTGTCGATCAAGTCGCAAGAAGGGTATATCCCGCGAGCTCAGACGAGTTAGCTCAGAAACAAAGCAAACTGCTCGCGTGATTGTAATCAGTAGACATTTTGTCAACAATTAATTAAACAGACCAGTATCCTCGTTAGTCAGGGAAAAGACAAAAAACCCGCCAATAAACCACTCATACCATTGATTTCTAAGAATACCTGTCCGAAAGTTGGGCTTTCCCGTATAGCCCCATAACGCTTAGCCGAGCCCCATCTAATACGAATGATGGCTTCGCGACTACTGATTACTTGGTGGGTCGACGGTCGAGGTTCCTATTTGCCTCGTTCGCATTGAATCGCTAGCTTTACCTAGTTGGGAACCTAGGGAGAGGTGCGAAGAAATACTCCATATCCTAGCCTAGGATAAGGTAGAGAGAGATGTTCTGGAAGTTCAGGGGTATTCCGACTAGGACCTTAAAAACTTAGACTACTCCGTAGAGCCACGGTATCCATCAATTGGAGGTGGGTGAAAGGGGGAGAGGGTCGCACGGAGAATCTCGTATTGATTCCAAATGGAGTTTAATTGGCGTCGGCAGGATATTAATCCATGTGCATCACCGAGTATTTGGAGACTGCTCGGAGTTTATGTGGAAGAGTTGTATCAACTTGTATGGACTTGGAGAAGGAGGAATGCGTCGGGCAAAGACCTAGGTCCCTAGGCAAGTCACTGCAGTGTACTAATTGGATCGACGTCACAGGGCACTCTAGGCTTTCCCTATAGGGTCTCATGTTCTCATATCCTCGGTCCATGATCAACTCGGGTGAAGGGACGGCCAAGAGACGTTTTAAACACTGAAGGCTATTTGGAGACGGTGGTATGGCTTGCGTCAGCGTAAGCAGTTTTGTTTACATTTTACTCACACTCTTGACTTCTAAGTTGGATGAGGAATGGCTGCTATGGTCTAGCCCCATGCACGCCCATAACCGGGGTACAATGGACAGATACTCCGAGTCACCGAGATTTTTATGCAGCCGGAGAGAACTGCCGGTGCTTTTCAGGAGAAGAAATAGCCCCATTCGGAAGGTCAATTAGGTAGGTTGCACATCCATGTTGATCAGCCCGGCCAGATGGGATGGGGAACTTGGCTAGTGTGTATCCCATCCCGTCTTTCGCCTTCAACGACTGAGTCTACCATTCATATGGATTGTCATTCGTGCGCAACTTACTCCGTATAGGTCGGCAATAGGCGCTACCAAACTTCAAAGACCCCTTTCGCGTTTAGGCCGTGGTGTGTCGGGTGCGATCCGACAGAGTGGACTCAACAGAATGTTCAAGCTTTGCCCAAAGTGGAGAGTGGTGGTGCAGATCAGCCTGCCGCATAAAATGAGATGGAAACGTTTGCCGAAAATTCGGCCCGGTACTAGACATCGTATGACGGATTTATACAAATGGTTACGTACATTCGAGTTGAAAAGGTCATGACGAAAGAAACAAAAGCCAGAGAAACATGCCGGGGTATCATTAATAATATCATTCTAATCAATTAAGAAATGGGAGTTGAAAACAATGTGCAAGAAAAAAAAGGGCCCCGAAGGCACAAGACAAAAAGGAAAAGTAATGAAAGGGCAGGACGTATGATAAAAAATTTTCTTAGTGGAGATGGGAGCTCCGCCCGGTGCCCACATCATCCACTACTCCGTTGGTTTCCGTGATATTCGACTGGGTCCGCTGGCTCGTGCGAGATCTCGATCGTTGTCTCCTGGTACACTCCATGGCCCAGGTCGGCCATTTCCATGTCGCCACCCTTGCGCAGGTCTTCAGTGGAATCCCCGTCGTTTATCGTGTCATTTAGTGTCTGGAGACCTCGGCGTAACCGAGACCCCACACGCACCTTCTTGTTCTCCCTCGTGGTAGTTGTGATATGCGTTTGGTACGCGTTCGAATTGGAGTAGGCATATATCTTATCCGATGTGCTGATCTCCGTATCCAGCAGCAAGTGCCGCCGGGTCAACGCGTACACAGCAACGTCAACCAGCCCCGACAACGCCATTAAGGACCCAGCCACGGCGAAATATCCTCTACTTTGAACAATGTGTCTGGCCGTCGACATACGGCCTGCTGCCAGTGGAAGGGATAAGACCAGGTATACGATCGGGTAAATAACCATGTAAATGACGACACGGTTGAGTCGTTTCAGACTTTCTTGGTGTCTTTGACGGAGCACCGCCGCCTGGTTCATACGACGTCGTAGGTGAAAGAATAACATGCCGTAGAAGACGACAGTTCCGAATTCGGCGAGAAAGATCCATAGATAATGGGCCCAGAGACGTTCCGTCTCGTGTTCCGGACCAAGCCAGCACTAAGAATTAAAACTGTAAGTATTCCCACTGTCCTTGCTTTGTCAGAAGTTCCAACTTACCCAGCCGGCCTCGGAGATGACGAAAGTTTTGGAACCAAATAACCCTACAGGGATCAATCCTAGCACGATAATGAAGGCCCATAGAGCTACAACGCAACACACAAAAGTCCGGTGTGGAAGTTGCCGCCCTCTCAGTACAACTGCACCGGTGTGCATCGCAATTGCCATGATAAATAGCCCACTTCCAGGGTCACCCACCTGAATCCACCAACCTTGCAGAACGCAGACCGCACTTGGATAGTAGACATAGCCACGCGAGACCCAGTGGAGGCATAGCAAGAAGGCTGTTGCTTGTTGGATATCAATCAGAAGGAGATTGTAAATCAACACGACGTATTGGTTGGCGGCAAGAGGACGTTTATAGTAACGTTTCCAAAAGATGAAACGGTATGTGAGGAAACTTAGCAAACAGAGAGTTGAAATAAAAGAGCAAAGTGCGATCACCCCCATAGCAATAAAACCCGCTCTATCCCCGCCCACGAGAGGCTCCTGTGTAGCATTTTGCCGTTTCGTGAGGTGTGTTTGAGCATCCTCGCTATTAAGCAAGTGCAATATGCGAATGAGGGTGGTCATTGCTCATCTCTTGTAACGAAATGTTGGGGAACGTGTATCCGCGCCTGTAAGTCTTTGGGGGGGGATGAGTGTATATAACCGCTTAGTATTGGGTTTGGAGACGGTTCCAGACCCATAATTCGGAATATTTTGTTGTCCCGGCTAAGCTACTCATTCAAAGCTTTTCTATCCCAAGCTTTGGCTAGAGAGGGCTTCGGCTCGGTAGATATATGGGGCACCTCATGGTTCCAGGGTTGGCCGTGTTTTGGTACGTACTTCGTACTGATGAACAACCCTTAAAAGCATAGTGTGGGTACTAGCTGGGTATAGTTTTACTCGGAGTACTCCGTACACAGCCTGCTTTATGCTGATCCACAGTTGGGGTCAGTGGGCCCTTCCCAGTCAGCCAACTACGGTGTATGGTGCCTGGAAAGTGAGCAAACGTTTTCGTACATGATCGGCATTCCCAATGACTTGGATCAGGAAGATCACAGTATACGGAGTAGTGTAAAGCCTCTAAGGGGCAACTACCGTCGCAGAACGAACACTTGGTGGCCATATGGCAAAACCTGCAGTCAGAAATGACATCCTCGTGAGTATGCGTTAACCCCTGTGGGTACGTTTCGCAAGGTCTGTTCGACATTGGCAACAACCCTACGCAGAGCCAGGCCCTGCCAAAAGTAGGTTTTCAGGAGAGCAGCCATACCCCAGAAAGTTTCAAAAATCGATACAATACATGATGGCTCGAGCGCTTCTGAAAGTGCAGTCAGAATGACAGAGCATATGCCACCCGTACCCAGTCTAATGGAGTGCGATCATGACTACTCCTAAATCAATGACGAACGCTGATTGGGCCCGGTAGATGAGTATATCCTCCGATGAGAGAATAGGGATCGACACTCACCGCAGCCGAGTGCCTTACCAGTAGACCTGGAGAGCCTTGGTGTGCCTACTAGTATCAATACTTTGTATATGTTCGCACTCAATGGCCGGGCACGTATACCGAAAGACTGGACATGGATATATGATCTGTAAGAGTATAACAGAGTCAAAGAAAATGAATAGTACACGATAATACAGATCCGTTGTGGTTATCGTACCAGCAGAAGCTTGCACCCTAGGAAAGAAAGAAGGGGCTAAGGAATCTTCATGGGTCACATAATTTCAAGAACCTGGGAGCCTGAGGCCATTCATTGTCACTTAATTCTAGTATGTCACGTTCAATCATGGAATGGGCATGTTGCTTCTTTTCCGGATACGGCTACTATATGCTAAAGTTTACTTTTTGATGGGGGGATATTTATTAGTTCTCCTGCAGGCATTCAGCCCTTCCTTCTTGCCGCAAGCATCACGCTTTTAAAGATAGGTGTCCAGAGTATCGTATCGCCCCAAACGCGTATAGAATGAGGTTGAGATTTAGTCTTATGAGTCTAAAAGGGATGTATTGTCGTTCATTGTGAGTTGCGCTCATTACTGAAAGATTTTCAGGGGATCGACCGCTTATAAAACTCTAGTCCCAAAAACAAAAATCGCACGACGGCGAGGGCGGAGATTCTTTCCAACCATACATCCAATACCAGCTTCTTCTAACCGGTTGTTCGGACCATGGTTCTTTATATTAACTACAAAACCTTGGTATCGACGGGTTGTACCGATCGGGTCCTTGAAAACAAACTGTGGGTACCCTTTTTGGCATATCCTAAAGCAGGACATGGGAAATGAGGATGCTTCCTTCGACAGGATAGCAATGATCAATACCGGGCGGAGGTAATTATATAGCTAGACTTCTCGAGCCTTGGGTTTGTCGGCCTTTCCCGCCCATCCAACGGTAATCACAATAGAATTGCCGAATCCGGCCGTTTAGGAGCCCCGTCGACGAACATGTCTGATGCAACTCTTCATAGTAGGTCACGCTGCCATATTCTCCCACCAAATCTGACGTGGTACCACGGCGTTGTCTAAACGTCTCATAACGACAGCTCATACGGATTGCCGTACTTCCAAGTTCCGAGGTAATTTATGCAAGGCCCTCAATGAATATTGAATGGTATGATTGATTTCTCACTGCAGTTTTCAGGCATCCCAAGTCTGCATATTTGAGACACACAGATATGATTGAGGCAATGGAGATATAATTAGCTATGGAGGGATACCATATTCAATATATTGAAGTCATGCATTGCCATGGACTCGGTGCTAGTGCTATTTCCGGCAGTTTCCTTGGCACAAAAGAGGCTTCATGCCATCCAGGTGAATCAGATCTCACCGCTCGAAGCCTTTTGACCTCGCTACTAACGGTTTAGAAGTGAGCTCTTAACTTGATTGGAGATATTAATCAATAATCCACACATAACAGGGCCCGACATGACATCACTGGCGGGGAGGAAGGCTGGTATCTCACCATGTGCAACTCCTCGGAGTTGTCGGGTATACTTCGTGCCCATAGATCCGACGATGCGAGACAGGAATGTTCAATTCCTTGGCTTGTTGCGTTGCATGACTCGACCGTATCACGCCGTCAATGGTACCTATGAATAGAAGTGGCCAACGGAGTGATCATCGGTGTCATCCCGGATCGGGACAAGCGGAGCCAAACCGGACGCCTAAAGCTATGGCCTAGTATCTGTATGTCTCAATAAGGGTCCAACCCGGCATCATCTGACTGGCCCGGAAAGCGGGAAATCCCCCAGTGAATGCACCCCCGCATTGATCTCCGCCCACCGCATGAATCAATTCCCATCAATCCATCAGCAGATGAGGAGACTGTCTCACTCTCCCGTGGGTATTTCCCCGCCGCATCTTCTCTGCCATTGCTCCGGTTTCAAACCTATGTCCAGGAAGGTTCTATCGGGATGTCTCCAGTGATGGTGACCGAACTATACCCGATAGCAATGTAGTATCTCGGAGACGGTGGCGAGGCAACCGCCTGTTAATGCTTCGATATACCCTGGAATTGGGTATATAAACCCCGTTGGAGTCCCTCTACGAGCATTTACAATCCCAAGCAACTCGACTACACTCTCCAAGACTCAGAAGCCTTAAGCCTCCCCACAACATTTCCTCCCAAGCCATCTTTAAACGATACTTTTTCAAAACATCCACCAGAACAATGAAGTCCTTCACTGCTATCTCTCTCCTCGCCCTCTTCTCTTCGGCTTTAGCCGCACCTGTTGAGCAGTCAACCGACGCTTCTACCGCCGCCACTGTCTCCGTCTCCTACGACCAAAAATACGATGTCGGCGGCAGCTCTCTGACTACTGTTGCCTGCTCGGACGGTGTGTACGGCCTCATCTCCCAGGGCTACAGCACCTTCGGCTCCGTCCCGGGCTTCCCCAACATCGGTGGCGCTCCTACCATCCCCGGCTGGAACAGCCCCAACTGCGGGAAGTGCTACCAACTCCACTACGCGGCCGGCAACATCGACCGGTCCATCTACGTGACTGCCGTTGATGCGGCACCCGGTGGCTTCAACATCGGCTTGCAGGCCATGAACGCTCTGACGAACGGATTGGCCGAGCAGTTGGGCAGAGTCAATGTGGACTACACTGAAGTCCCCCGCTCGAACTGCGGCTTCCATAATTGATGAGGTTGTCTTGACGGATGGTGACGATGAATCATGAATTACATGATCCAAGTATCTAATTTTATCTTCTTATGTCTCTATTTCAGCATGTGATATAGCACTAATGCATTACGCGGGATAGCATAATTAAAGAACGTTGCATTTGATTCTGAAAGTGGAGATGGTATCTTTTCGTGATCTATTGTAGTAGTTCTATATAAATAGTGTTAAGAGGTCTATCATAGTGTACACGCATCCTTTACTGTGCAACTTCCAGCATTTCTTCCACTCTGCCGAATTTAGAACGGGGTTTACCGATCTGCTGGCCCCGCTCGCGTTCGGCAGCATCAATACGCTGCCAATCCTGCCAGGTTGTTGCCCGCAAGCCACGCTTCTCGGCCTCGGGACGTACTCCCTCCCAGCCAAGACCGGTGCTGTGACCGGGGCCATTCAAAAGAGACCCCTTGCCTCGGTGGCTGCTCAAATCAGCCACCACCACATCTGCCGTCGTAAATGCATCCGTCATGGTTGTTGCAATAACGCCGGTGGGTCCACGCTTGACCCAGCCAGCGCAGTAGAGACCCGGTAGGTGTGAGATAACTGACCCATCAGGGAGTTGTTCGTTAGCCCCCGTATTCGTGGGGCTCGTGACTCTGCCGAATCCGTCGTTGGGGATGACACCTCGCTTCGTGTCGAACTGAATCCCCAGGTCTTCCAGTCCAGGCAAAGGTAGTGATTTGTATCCAACACTTCGGAAGAATGTATTAGCAGGAATGTTGACCTGCGCTCGCTTGCCGCTGGAAAGATGCTTGGGCGACACCTTGGCGCTAGGAATATATGGATTGGTCGGGTCTAACTCATTGCGGGAGAATTTGACGTGTGACAGGCGATATGGATGGATTGGGGACCAGTTGAGGCACTCTGGCGAGAGAAGGAAATCTAGAGACCAGGATTTGGTCGATGTTGCGGGATCGTTACTGGATCCCTTTGCGAGTAGTTGGATGAGTCGCTTCTGGGCTCTAGGGAGGGCATTCATGACATCGTCTGGTGGGAATAATTCCTTACGAACTGGATCGAACGACACCCCCGGTAGCTGGAGCAACTCACGAAGCTCCTTGATTGTGAATGCAGCCTACACATTGTTAGTATAAATCTGCTACGCTACATAGTGTATCCGGTTTCCGCCAACATACCTGCATCGGCCCTCGACGCCCAACTACGTGAACTCGCTTGATCTTGCTCTTGGCCAATGCCTCGGTAGCATAGTCCGTTATGTCAGTCTTGCGCAGGGCATCCACATCTGACAGTAGGATTCTTGCTACATCTAGCGCAACGTTGCCCTGGCCGATAATCACTGCGTCTTCACCGGCTGTCAGGTCAGGTGCTAGGTCGCGGTGCTCGGGAAGACCGTTGTACCATCCGACAAATTCGCGAGCTGAGTATACATTTCGACAGGCGTTCTCTCCGGGAATACCCAATTCCTTATCCTTTGGAGCTCCGTATGAAAATAAGATAGCATCATAATGAGGCTTCAGCGCCTGTAGAGGGAGATTCTCGCCGAGTTCAATATTGCCAATGAAGTTGAACCGGGGAGATGAGGCAACTTCAGTAAATTTCTCTTCACAATTCTAGGGGCCAGTCAGATTGATCCATCTGTAACATGGCGAGATGGCTGGGGCACAATAATCGTGAACAATTAGTCACAACGTACCTTGACTTCCGGATGGTCTGGCGCTACACCATACCGCACCAGCCCGAAGGGCACGGGCAACTTTTCGTACATATCTACCACAGCATCGTCCAATTTTGCCAGCAGTCTATAGGCTGCATAGAAACCGGCCGGACCCGACCCCACAACAGCAACGCGAAATGGCTGATTAGTCTGCACAGACTGACTGTTATGACGTCGTTGCCATACTGACTGCGGCAAAAGACGATGCGGCGAGCGACGAAGTGGAGAGCGGCTGATCTGCACCGTGCATTGCGAGCAGATGTAAGGCACACGCTGGAGGTTCATTGTGCCTGAGACGGATGCGCAGTGGAGTTCGCAATTAATTGATCGATCTGATTGACTTTCCCCGAGATCGATAAACGGCCATGACGGCAGTGCACGTGATCCTTATCGGGCCGGTTGCCGCGCCGACTATCGCGATGTTGACGATCCGGAGTAGATAGAGAAGGGCTTTTGCATGGGTCAGCTCGCACGAGCTTCTCGGACACTTTCCTCCTCTGACATTCCATCGTTCCATGGTTCCGTCTCTTGTTTCCTACATGCTTCATCTTCCCCAGCATTCTTTTTGTTAAGGTTATTGCGTCTACCACGCGCTCATCTCCCCGCTCTCTCGCGTGGGTGGATGTATTAATAAACACAAAGTCAAAGATTCTTCCATCGCCACAATGGGAGAGTCGCCTCCATTCCTTTACAACCCTTCAGCGTACAGCTTTAGTGGACCGACAGACCGCCCTTTCAACCCAAAGGCTGTGACACAGGCGAGCTGGACTCGTCCACCGTCAAAGCCCAAGCCAAAGGGGCCACTGGTGAATTTTAATCGGCATCCGGACTCTGTAAGCATTCACGATATTCATATGTAAGGTCTACATACTGACGATATGGGTACCCTGAAGTATTGTAACATTCCTGATGGCAGGTCCAAATGGACTCCAATGAATCCAAACACTAAGAATAGGGTGATCTGCGGGCGGAAGGTACAGCTTGGGCTGCGCATTTTACAGCTGACTGGAGCTCTTGGGTCACTTTTCTGTGCCATTGTTATCAAAAATGCTGCTGCGGCCCTTATATGGATTGTCCGTGTCGGAGTAAGTACAGACCGAGTTTAACCTGCTTGAACGTTGCCCTAACATCTGATAAGCCGGCTGTGGCAATTCTACACACTCTTTATGGTATCTATCACCTCTGTCGCTCAATTACAAGACCTGCTGGGACTCAAGCCAGCTACATGTTATTTTCCGGAACCTTTGACCTCGGCTTGGTACCTTTTTACGTGTTTGCAGCATATTTAGGCTTCAATCAATACACTGACAATGCATACCATTGGAGTACTTTGCTCAGTGCCGACTTTGAGGTCTCGACCAAGATTGCACAGGCCACATTTTTGCTGAGTGTCATTAATGGTGGATTGCATCTCATTTCTTTGGGGATTTCGGTCTTTCTGGGTCTTATTTTCCGCAAAATCACCCGTCTGCCTCCAGATCTGAATCCTTTGGAAGATAACTTGACCGCCCGTCCTCACAAACGAAACAAGTCCGAGATCACCAAGAAACATACTAGCAGCTCTACTTTAGACTCCACTATGTCGGGCGAGACGCTAATCGGAGCACCTCGTACTATGTCATTCATGCACACGAGGGCCAAATTATCCGAAGGCGGTTCTAGTAACTCACCGTTAAATGCGAAGGAGAATAGGTTATCCCAGATGACCATGGCTTATGATCACGACGAACTTCCTGTACCACTGATGCCTTTCGGGCAACAAGCGGACACTACAGAGCACATGATGTACCAGCTTCCGGACCAGGACGCAGACATTCTCACAAGACCTACAACCAGAATTTCCTACGCTTCACCAGTACGAGAACGATCTCCAGATGTCCCTAGCCGATCTCAGTGTGCGAGCCCAGCTTCGGAAAACTGGATCGCGTTCCCGTCTCGATCCGCTTCACCTGTGGAAGAAGGCCAAAGAGAAAATCTCCTCCACCGCGACCCCTCTTCTACGTACAGCAGAACAGCCAACTCGCCAGCCTCTGGCAATAGTGGACCCTTGGATTGGTTCAACAATCAGCGTATTGGATGGGACCTTGAAGAGACAATTCGAGAAGATGTACGTGGCGAATATGAATCTGTTCCCATACGGGAATATTATGGAAACGATGATGAGAATCATTATCGTCCGCAACGGGATAGGTTCTACGACAAGGCCGAAGAAGATATCGGGGACCATCGCATGCATATTTTCGAGGACCATGACGAGGTTAGGGAGTCTTCCGAGTCACTACGCGTCAATCCTTTAGCGCTGAACCCACCCACCCCTCAGCCTGCCATTGATGAAACATCTATTGATGCAACGCAAAGTGGCCGTATGGCGCTCGTGGATATCCCTAATCTCTCCCCCAACCCAACAGCTACGCCACCTCCTGTTGACAGCCCTGAGAAGAACGGTCGTTTTTACGGTGAACTTGAAAGCAAGACTGGACTCAGTATTCCCCGGAATGTCAGCAATCACGATGAGGACACGCGTGGCTTAGGGCGGAAGAAGAGCAAACTTATGAAACGCAGAAGCCAGAAGATGAGCACCTACGGCGCTCTGAAGCAGCATGATGACGCGATCGATGTCAACGAAAACGGGCTTATGCTTCCGCCTCAGAGTCCTATGACAGTTGAGAGCGATCGTAAGGGCCGTGTCGTCAGCAACTCTGGGGCTGATTTCGGTTCTAATGTCAGCGGTGGATCAGCCCTATCATACGGTAACTACATTGCGGGGCTTGGGGTTGGAAGAAGACGAGACGTCAGTGGGAAGGTTGCGGAGGAAGGCCGAGGCGGCATGAACAAGGCCACAGACGAGAAACCAACCATCCGGGCTGCTGGATGGGCACGTTTTGCCGGACTGTAGTGCTTTATTTTACGCAATGAGGCGCAAAATAGATGGTTTTTCGGTTGTGGGATTAACATGACTTGGTAATGTGTTTGGTATGATGGAAATTTCTTTACGAGGTTTGATGGACGTTTATGCTATGATACTCCCTTGATTCATGTATGTAGTAACGTAAATATTGCACGAAATCAGAAGAATAAATATGCACTTGTCTACATGATCAGATCAATTACACTCGCTGTTCAAGGCCCCCGACTACATTCTTATATAGATTTAATTCTTGCTCTTGCAAACAAACCTGACTTCCCTGTATACTATTCTCGTTATATCTTCAGGAACATTTCACTCAAGATCACGTTTAGCATGATTTATTCCAGCCCTCATAAATAGCAGATTTTGCCCGTTCACCGGAACCCCAAGGCCGAAGGGACATACCTCCAGCCATCGGAGTGGTGCGTAGCAATGGCATCGTATATCTCACGCTCCAACCTTAAGCTAGCTTGTTTATGGTCTGCGAACTGATGGCCGCAAAACCTGCCCAGCAGCAAACTGTACCTATCATCCTTGATGAATTGTCATCAGTAGTGTGTCAGCCTGTTAGTCCCGTGCTCCTATGGTGCATCCATGTTGTATAAGGTAACTCGAGGTAGTGGTAGGTGTCCATCCCAGTAGACTGAAATAGTTAAGGAAATGTTATTAGTATAAAGGTTATGAGTATACTTGAACAAACAGAGTCCGTTATCTATAGTAGTAAGCTTAGAAGCCTGAGTTACCTTTATAATTTATAGAGTAACAAACCCCTTATCTCCAAAAACCATCCTCAACAATGAGCCGCAACAAAGAGATCGATCTGCCGGGGCCAGTTAATGACTACACAACGTTCGAGTTAGTACTCTCGGGATACGCAACGAGGTTGTACCTGGATACACTCGGTTCATCTCCCGAGATAATGCATTGTCAATCGGAAACAAGGAAAGGTCCGTGACGTTGTGGCAGAGATACAACTGAGTTTAGGGTTCAACGTGGAGTGTATCATATTGTTATATTTGCAGAGACAGTCTCACTAGTTTTACATAGATCACTTCCCCATTCTTGTCGGAAGCTGAGTTGCACATACTTCAATATTTCGATGCTGCCCTACCTCTTAACATTGTAGCGGATATACAACCAGGAGACATGCTAGATAGAGATTACCGAGATACTACAAACAAAGCTGTGCTTCCCCGTGTCGCCATCAGCCGAATGACATTTATCACTCTTTCGGTACAGATAGCTTGGTAGCTCAAATCTCGCAACGTAGGGTTTAATTTCTCTATTGCTCAGAAACTAGTATAAGCGACTCTCAGGTCCCTCCATAAGTTCACTGCAGGTGCCTCAGGCAACGTCTTTGATATTATCCTTGTAGACCAACATACTCTGCACATAGCATGTGCCAACAACCTAATACATGTACCCGAACGTCCAAGCTGCCCAAAGATTCAGTCTTGCTGTTGTTGGCTTTGTAACATATCAAGCTTCAGGACATTTTATCCAGATCTTCTTGTATCTCCGAGCGTAGTTTGCACATCGCGTCATCATCAACAACTACTGTGTCATCCACTGCTATATGACCCAGGAAACAAGAGTAAATGTTGGACTGATGGCTATTATCTTGATACGCGATTGTGATGGCATCGTAGTCCACAGTATGAGTTCCGTCGACAATTGCCAGGCATCGTTTGTAGAAGGTCTTCTTTTGCCGTAATTAACGAGCCCAGGCTTCCCGGCTTGTATCATTCCGGTCCCGGTCATCACCAATGTCGGCTTTGACCTGCACATATGCCTTTCTTGTGTCGAGGTTCTCAAGTCCCGGTTTGACACCCATGATAGTATGTATAACGTTTGTGATAGGTTGGCCAGGTGGTGTTCAAAGAGATTCTTAATGACAATATAATGGGATAGGGAATAAAGCCCTGGTTATATATGATAAACAGTACCTTTGGCTTTCGAGACTAGCAGTTGAGTTTCCTATACTGTAGTCTTGTGTTAATGAAGACTCGGATTATTCCACTGATATTTTATGGGTGATTTATACTACTCTTCGGATAATTGAAGCGTCTGTGTAGTTTCTTCGGAGTACAGCATGGTGGTATCAACCTTACTATCTGGTTTATCCCGCAACTGTATGATTTTCCTGGAATTCCCGGCTCAAGAAGGGAGGAAAGAAAGAAAGAGAAAAATGGCACATTTGATTATGGAACTTGCATAAAGCTGTTTCAAGATTATTCTCATGAGCGGGATCTTCCTAAACAATGGCAAGTAAATAGAGCCAGAATACAATACCAGGGTAAATATAACAATGGAAATTGCCGTTCACGCCAAACAGTTCTTCTACACAGATCTGATTTACAGTAGAAGATATTACCTTCAGTCAAGGTAGAAAAGAGATAGAGATATTCCATTTCCTCGTTCCATACGCATTAGACAATCTATAAACTAAAGGCGAATTGCCCCAGTACAAGACAAGTCCATTTTCTTCCAAAAACGAAAGAAAGAAAAAAATAGCGATAAATGCCGCTGACCCTTCAGCAGTACACATATTCCGAAATCGAGGAAAGCGCCATGATTCTTCATACTCCTTTAAACAACTTTTCCATTTCTCTCACCAATTTCTCCACTCCCTTCTTTCTCGCCTCTTCGCCTGGCGCCTGACCGGGGGGATATTTCTCATCCATGCACGTGGAGATGACACCATCCTGACCGTCATTGTTCTTTGTCGTGAGCCTCGCCTTCAAACTTCCATATTTCAATCCAGACATCCATTGAGCCAGAGTCCGCTGAAAAAGAGTGTCTTGTATATCACTCGGGTCGAAACATGTCTCATCCCAAGCAAAACCCCGGTCTCTGACCTCAACATACCAGCAGACCTCATCGTCGGATCCTTCGCTAGCCATTGGTACAAGTGTCTTGACAGGTTTTGATAGTGAACTTTCGGTCCCTCTCCAAAGAACTAGATATCAGAGTCCAGAAAGATGAATAGTGGTGCAGCACAGTTCCGAGGAATCAAGCCCCTTCCATAGTCAACAAAACCCATTCCACCTCCTGGCGAGTAACGTAGACGGTTGAATATTCCTGGTCATGTGAGCTGATCTTCGCCAATGCTGACCCTAACCCTCAAGAGTCAAGCGTTGTGTAACCCCATCTAGATGTTTCATGGCATTTTCCAGGGGGGGGGAAGCCATCCGCTGGCTACCCATGGGAGAAAGACGAGTGGGCTTACTCCGGTACTCAAAAATCTATATGCTATGTACATATACTAGCCTTGGGTAGTACCTGTCTAGTCCACAGTGTCCGGTATTTCCCTCTTATCAACCAACAAGAGGGGAGTGAAGCAGCTTCTATACTTGAGATATATGTGATTAAGCTCTACACTACTGTTGTCAACGTTAAGTGTAGCGTACACCAGGTACATACTGTCAGACTATGCCTTGCTTCAGGCATATAGTAGAGTACGTGCTAGCCCTATAGAAATGGGTATTCTTTGATATGACTCTGCACGGGATCCTCAATAAGCAATTTTGGCAGAACACTCAAATCCAAACTACACTTCCAAACTTGGGCAACGATACAGAATGATCCTATTTAATATAAGATATTAAGAAGTTGAAATATATCTAGCACAGTTCATGCGTTTGACAGTTTTGTCTCTCGGTCTAGACATGCAGTAGATCTTTAAACAGCCATGTAGACTTGTAGACTTTTATCTGCTGCTACCAATGTTGACCATTTCACAAACAAATTTATTATACTTTTCAGAAGTACACGCGGAAAACAGAACCCATATAAAGAAACTATTTGCAAAAGAACAAAGACACATTATACTCCAAAGGATCACTCCAAAACAAAGACTCGTATCAAGGATAGCAAAAAGAAAAAAGAAAATCAATTCAAACCAGATTACTGGCCACTGTTGCGCCAATCGAGTTCGTTTTCAAACCAATCATCCTTATTGTGCGCACTCTGATGCGCTATAGAAGTATGTCTGTTGTCAATTTCAGGTCTACTAGGAGTAGGGAGTTCTGCCTGCTGTTCCCTTCTGGTATCTCGCCCTGATATCCTCGAGGTATCCCATGGGAGTTCGCTTGTAAACCAATCATCCGCATTGCGCGCACTCCGATGCTGTATAGAAGTATGTCTGGCGTCAATTCGAGACCTACGAGGAGCACGATGTTCTGCCCGCGACTCCCTTCTGGTCGCTGGCTCTGATATGAGATGCTCAAGGTGGGCCAACATGGTTTCCTTAGCCGCTTGTTGGGTTGGTTTCTGACAAACGTACATTCTCTTCGAGAATATGTAGCCAGGAGCTTTGTAGTTTTCATTCCTGTACTTTTCTGTAACTTTCACTGGAAGGATCCCTAGTTTGATATAGTTCTTGACGAGGGCTGCGACTCTCTGCGTCTTGTCAAGGTCGTCGCCGTCACTCTGTGTGTCGTAGTCAACGAGTCTCTGCCCCCGATAGGTGGCTGTGAGGCTGACCTCAGCAAAGTATTGCTTCTCGAGTTCTCTCTCTTGGTAATCCATTCTGGGTGGGTTGTGGTGGAAGTGTCTTCTGGGATTTTTTTCAGTGTATACCTCTTAGGTGGTTAGTAGTGGAAGTGTAGGGTAGTTATAATAGCCGTTCACAAGACTGAGGAATCTCTGTTCTTTATAAAACGTTTGAAGATGGCTGTCGATACGGTAAATTCCTTGTACTCTATCCAATCGTTGTATTTAGAGCATGCAAAATACAAAGCTGTCTCAGCGTTTCCCTTGAATGTCGAAACACCCCCAGAGGCTTCTATGGATATGCCTACGCAGATGGAGGAACTTACAACGAGGCCGGGGCTCTCTGGTATTTGCCATGATATAAGTTAATCAATTTAAAAAGAACATGCATTACCCTTACAGAGATAAAGGAGGTGACAGATACTATTTACTCCATAGTATAAAGAAATTTTCCTCATGATTCCAAAACAAAACTATAGACTAGACAAAGACGAGGCAAGATGCCTCTCTACATCCCCATTTTTCACCAAATGCCAGCAAATCTCACTATTCCAGACAAAAAGGCTGCTTCTTCTCATCACCACCATTGACCCGGCTCCACTCTCTCCTCCGGGATATCATCATCATTATAATACCCAAGTCGAGGTGCTCCAGGGGGTACAGGGGTAGCTTCGCGAAACGAGCGTCGTTGTTGGTCAGAAAGTTCTTCCTCAAGCCGCTCTCGCCTTGCTTTCATCTCGCGCCAGTATGCTTCAAGCGCGTCTAGAGCCTCTGATGGTGCCTGAAGCTCTTTTTCCAGATGTGCCAGCATCATATCTCGCCCCTTTTCAACGGTAGGCTTCGTACCTTTCGTGAACGGACCTATACAAATGCAGTAGCATATTTTTATAGTTCTATTATCCGTATCTGAGATCTTGACATTGATTCTATCATTCTGAAGATGTTGTTTGGTCATGGCAGCGAATCTCGTCTTTTTATTATGGTCATCATCATCCGTTATAGGATCGAAGTCGTACTCAAAGCTGCTGTTGACTCCTGAAACATCGATCTCGACCCACCAGTATACGGCATCAGACATACTTTCAGGGTATATTGGCACGGACATTCTGAGTGAGTCTTCTTGTGGTAGATCTCAAATGTGTTCGGGAGGCCAGTAGAAACGTATAGAAAAGCAGCAAGAGCGAATATCAGAATCTAGGAACCAGGGCGCTGGCCTATTATCATAGGCCTCCGGAGTCCTGGGTGGAGATTTTATACTCCCAAAGTGGACTCTTGGGACCGGGCTTCCACAGGAGAATCTTCTTCCAAGGTATCAGGGATAGTTCATGGGACCCAAAAATAATCGCTCCGATTTTCTTCTTAGTTGTCTGAAACAATCTCAGACGTATTTCGAGGAATACCCATTCAAGGAAACAGAGAAGGATGTGTTTTTCTTTGCGGGTTCTCCAACTGAGTCCTGATAATCTCTTCTGCCATCGACCTGCGACGTCCATCGGCTTTATATATCATTGATTTTGTTATTACCGGTCTTGTCTTGCATATGTAGACGGTAACCTCCTGACAATCTATAGGGTAAGGGTTGATTCCATGAGGTTGCAGGACAGACGTCAACAATCAGAGCGGAGTAATCCTTGTGGGTGAAACCTACAATGCAGGAAACAAGCACAACGATCAAATCCGCAAGGAAAGTACCATCTTAGATGCTCTAGTCGCCGGCAGATGACTTGCAAGTAGTTCATCGTATTCCGATATCCATGGATCTGGAGGCTATTTTGTAGTCGAATACAATTAGGGCTTGTAAGATTTCTTGTCTTCGAACTTGGATGTTTTGCTTGGTACACTGGATATTTTCCAGCACACCGATGAATACTCTTAACAATGCTGATGGCAGAATATGTACGCAGCTTGTGTGACTAGTAATGTGCATAGTATAAGTCCTATCTTCATTCCTTTGTCTTTTTGCCTCTTTCCTTTGAAGCGGCAGATGCCATGTGGTCTTCGCGATGCACAATGCCTTCGCATCGGAGGTTACTCAAGGCGCGGTTATATGTTGACCGTGAATGCTGAAAACCCCGTAAGATAACTGGTCTGGGACAAAGCAAATACTAGGCTGTCAGCAGGACACCAGGTGCTATGACAGGGTACAGGAGGATCGTCTGTGGGACTTTCAGATTCGTTGCGGGTAACGGAATCACCCTTGTAAACCCATGAGCACGGCTTCTGTTCAGTGTGAGGAATACTCAAGACAAGACTCATGGATAAATGAATGAACTAGGGTATCCATAGGCCTATACAACTCATCTATAGTTATAAAGGAAAACCTTTGATCCTTATATCCATAGAAGACCAGGGAAATTGAAGTGGCGATACCATTGTCTATTCCAACATGGGGTAAATGCCTTTTGTCTGAGTATGACGACGATGCAACAGATACCAGTAGAAGCCCTGTCACGAGATCATCCTGGGAAATCTGGTAGAGTCCGACGGTGGGTGATACAGACACGTTATCAATGAGAGTTTTCCACATGCGACGGGTGAGCTGATATCTATCTTAGCCGCCAAAGGTACTGTGCTTCAATGTACTGTCCTTGTCCTTTACCAAGAGGACGTCTGGTGTCAGCTTCGATCTCGAAGGACCAGCCTTTTTTGTTTCTGAGTTGTCCCCGGCGCAAAAATCAGCAATTCAACCTACATGACATACACGGTATGTTTAACATTCCATTTAAAGACCTTCCTGGTAGAGAACCACATCATCATAGCCTATACTAATGAAGATGGAAAACTATGTAGATATCTTTCCAAAAGCGTCAGATCGACCATTCCATTTCGATTTCCAGTCTAACCAATCCCGAGGGTATCCATAAACCCTCATCCAAACGAGACAGCCCCAGGCAGAACAGTAACATTGAGCTGTTTACTCAAAAAATACCCTCCCGATAATACATCTCAATGTCGTCCACACATCTCGATGACTTGAATTTTCGAATACCCCTCTCCTTCGCTTACTCAACCGTAGGCATCGAACCTCTCTCATATTCGCCCATCTTCATACAGAAGTAGTTGACGTTACCATTATTATTCCGTCCAGAAATAGTGACCTCTCCTTCTCTGACCATCAGTCCCTTGAAAAAGCCCTCCAGCACTGAGAACACTTCCTTGTCATCTTCCTTAGCCTCATTCAAATTCTTGTCTCCACCGACAAGACCAGGAACCCAGTATTGTGCGTATACCACTACCTTTTGCTTTCTAGGGTTGGACTCTGAAACCTGTGAGCTCATTTTGTCGAAGACCTTTCTCAGTTGTCCGGTGAGAAAAGAACAAGCAATAAGTCAATCAAAAGCTAGGAAGAACGCAGAGGACTGTCTAGTAGAATCCAAGTCCAACGGTATCAATGCCCTATTTATACCCGAGGGCTTTGCTTCATGCCTACCAGAGCCTACGCATGCAAGGGGAGACATCCCCAATTACCGAGTGCTCAAGTTTGGTTCCCATGGCTCGATTGGAAACCCAACTGGTGACATTTATGTATTCCATCTCTCTCGTGGAATCTACATTCGGGGTTATTCTGCATCCCGTCGTCTGGTGGTTGGTCTTCCACGGGGATAGACTGCTTCTTTGTGGAAGTTACCTGGTTGCAGTCTAACCATGGGGAAGGGTAACCAACTACGGGAGAGTAATTACCCCTACTTCTCGAAAGGAGCCCTGGTACCAGCAGGCGCTGATGGGCTGAGCGCCATCAAGGGCTACCAAGTCCATTGCAAGTACATGGAAAATTGTTGGCATGGACGGTTGGTCCAGCCTTGGGCTGGCATCTGTCTAGTGCATCTTGTATAGCTTGGAACTTCGATTATCAGGACAAGTCCTATATGTACTTTGTTTCTACTCTTTGGTGGTGAATTTAGGTAGTTTCCAGAAGGACAATTCTTTGGTTTTGGAATTGACCATGAATCCTATATACACTGGCCTTAGGCACCGTGGATTTACGCCGTGGGATGCGGTACTTCTTGCAGACATACAATGATATGGTGGCAAAATAACAACATTAGAGGGTGAAAAGATAACTATGCCCAACACGAAGCATCCATTTATGTCTGGTGATCTATATAACACGCAACTGAGAATCTCTGTTTTGCTGCCTTGACGCTCACATTAGAAATCACTTTGTTCAACCGCAAATGAGAACACTGTTTGCTCAGAAACTTCAGCTCTTATATTTCCCTTCCGTATCATGAGCTGGATTGGAGATCTTGGTGTCCCTGCTCATTGTGACGCAAAGGCAGACGCTCAAGTTTCCTCTCTTCGACCTGCTTCTGCAAGCGATTTTCCTCGTCTTTCAGCTCGCCGCTCTCCAACTTCTGATGCGCGGAGTCACTGCCTTGAACACCTACCCGGCGCTCATTTCGGATCCGTTCCTGTTCCTGTCTCTGATCCTTGGCGGCCAGTGCAGCCTCCTCGCGTTCCACTTCACGGGCATCAATGCTCTCCAGCCCGATCTTGCCGAGGATATGTCCGACCAGAAATTGATACCGCAAGTGTCCACTGATGATGTCACTGGCGTCCAAGTTCTCAACGCCGGCTACACCTTGGACAGGTTGTAGCCCCGCAACGCCCAGTTGAAGACTGCTGGTGCGATACAATAGAGCAAGCACAGCATCGTTCTCTGAGTAAACATTGACCAGTCGTCCGCTGACCACGCTTCGCATACGGCGCCAGTGTTGCGCATTAGAAGGAGTCGCTGAGCCCATCAAGATTGCAGAGTCCACGATACCATATGCACCGCGTTTGGCCAAGCTCTGGAGGCAGGAGAAGATCACCCGCGAACCCAAGGAGTATCCTATAAGAGTAACTGATCTCTCGCCCTGCACTTTGTTGATCAACGCGTCGGCAAGAACCTCCCCAGCCTTGTCAGCCCGAGCCTTCGCAACACTGAAAGGGTTGTCGGCTACACGAGCAACCTTCAGCAGGCCGAGAGGCAGAACCACGGCACTCAAGAGAGATGCAAAGAACGTCTTCTTCAGAACTTGCTCACCGGCAGCCCATGCAGCACTTGTTACCAGGAGATCCATTGCATTGCCGAGGTTCATTAACGGCTCTGTTTCCCAGCGGAGACCAAAGACCTCGGAATCCGCGCCAATGACACGCCATGGAACGATAAAATTATCTTCCTCCGTGACCCAACCGGTGATGCCAATAGTAACTCGTAGTCGATGATCTTGCTTAGCGGCTTCCTTTTCATCACTAGGCCTCTGCCGAGAACCACGGACAGGCAAAAATGCGAAGTCCTCCACTTCACGGGCATATTTATCCACCATCCGCCCAGTCATTCGGCCTCCATAAGCACCGAACAAACCGCCAACGATGACACCACTGCCTGCAAGAGCACCCAGGTACCCTGCAGCTGCAGTAGCACCAAGTCCAATGCCGCCTAAGACAGTTCCAAGCCCAGCTGCAACTAGGGGCGCAGCAAGTCCACCAGTAATGCCAATGAGGGCTGCTCCGGCGACTGAAGCTATACCCACCTTCCACTTTCTCGAAGAGTCGCCTTTCTTGCCATGATTCTGTGCTTCCGCATTCTTTGTTAACTCAATGGCAGTGTCAAGTAGTACACGGGCAACCTTGACTTCATCACCATTGAGGATCTTTACATCCAAGTGTAGACTAGATGCGACGTAAAGCATCAACACTCGCGAGCGAGCATTATAATGCTCTAAGCTGAGCAGCAATAGAAGCAGTGAATGGAGAATCAAGAGTCTTTTAGCTTCTGGAAGCTGAAGGAGTGGTGTTTCCACGGGAGGATGGACCTCACGCAACTTTTTCAATGAGCCCTGTTCTTCAGACACTACTGGAGCTTGCTGTTGAGAAGCTTGCGAGCTAGTACTGGCATGCTGTTCGTCATCATCATTATCATCGCCATCGCTTTTGTTAACAACTTCACCAATTCGGAGGATAACCGAGTCCCTCCAGTCATCAAAGCTTGTGAGCGAGGTGGCTTCGGCTTTCAGGTCTTGCACAGTAGGTTTAAAGTCGGATCGGTCCGTCGGGTCTCCTTGTTGATCATGTGATATTAAAGCCGAATCGCTTTCTTTGCGGTCAGGAGAGGGCTCAAGACTATGTGACGGTGAACCATGAAAATTCTGCTCAATTGTGGCTCTCATATGTTCCAGGATCGCAGCAACCAGCATTGTCAGATCGGCCCGTTGGGACCGACTCAATATAGTAGTTAGGTCTTGGTTGCCGTCATTCTTTGGAGCCGCAGGGGCGGCCGACCCAAATTTGCTGGCATGTTTCTCTTTCAAATTCTTCCACATTGATGAGAGGGCAATGGGACCGGTAAAAATTCGCTATGGTTAGAATATGTTGGACAAATCAACCACGGACAGTCTTGCGACAGGTTGTTCGAGTTGACAAAGAATGTAACGTTGACGCCTTTAGGACGATGAAGTCACTGGTTTGCTGACTCAGCTGCCCAGAGATGCACTGCTTTCAGCTTCGCTGATAGAGGCCACGCTCAGCAGCATATCCAAGGCTGAACAGAGAAATCCGCGATTCCTCGTCAACTGGAGAATCCTTTAGTTACTTGTTTCCACTACGAAGAATTTACCCTTCGTCTTGGAAGCATAACCAAGGGCATTTCCGTCCCAAGCATCTCCGTCCGGGCGACCATTTCTCTCGGTCTCGACGCGTTGTATCCTCTTGTTGCGGCCGACCACTCGTTCTTTAGCTAGAGCATCCTTCAACTGATCCAGTCCAACTGTATTCTCTTTCAATGCCTCGGGGCTTTCGTCCCGGATGCTCCGCAGCGGCTCGACACCCGTCACGTCAGCACGCTGTATCTCTTTCACGAAATGGATCTGAGACTCAAGGGTCTCAAGCATCTTAGTTTCCTCCTCCTTGCTAGATGGCAATGGAAGGGCTGACAGGCGGAGTAGATGATGGAGTTGCGCCGGTGTGACTGACGGCGACGATTGTTTCGCGCTCTGGTCGGGAAGGAGAGAACGAACGGACCAGGATGGCTTTGCAAGTAGCGCGTCGACATCTACCTGCTCAGGCTTAGAGCTGTAAAGGCGAACTCCAGTCAGATTGGAAAGTTGCAGAGTCCGAGGACTAATCCGTCTGGACAATTGCGAAGTCGTGGAGCGTAGACAAAGCATTGTACCTCGATTTGTCGCGTAGTCTGATACCCGAAGCTAGATTGGTAATCGATTTCCCTGAAGGTTCTCAATGAATAGAGATTGAAGGAATTAGCCGAGTTGAGGATAGGGTAAAAAGGTCTCGGAAAATAAACACTAGTGCAGTATGTATTGAAATGAAGCAACAACTTTGAACGCAAACCCGCCCACCGCCTACGTGAGCGGGCGGCAGATCATCTCCTCGTCCAACTTTCCGATTCCCCTCAGCCTAACTATATATTTCCATCTATCAACGTCACAGCCCCTCCTGATAAAATTTAGTCTCTAGGGCTGGAAACCGACTTCCAGTGCATTTGTCCTACTTTGTTGCTGGGGCCGACACAGCTTATCCAACATGGCTCAAGACCCTCGTGTTTTGCTCCAGAAAGTAAGTTCAAACATCGTTACTTACCCCGGAATGACGATCACTGATGTCCCGTGGTCACATACAGGCAGACAAAGCGCTGCAGGGCGCCGGTAGTGGTTTCAGCTTCTTCGGTGGACGGACAGAGAAATACGAAAACGCAGCAGACTTGTACACGCAAGCTGGAAATGCATTCCGAGTCCAAAAGCAAAGTATGTCCCTCCCCCGCACTGCTTAACGTTCGGTGCTATGACGTGCACAAATATTGACCCGCGCCTTTGTGGAAATTTAGACAAGGAAGCTGGTTTAGCATTTGAAAAGGCCGCCTCTATCCAAACACAGAGTCTGAATGAGCCTGACGACGCTGCCAATTCGTTGCAGGAGGCCTTCAAGGTCTACCGCAAGTCGGACCCTGAAGATGCCGCCCGTGTGCTCTCAAGCGCTATCCAACACTACGTACTAAAAGGCAACTTCCGCCGTGCTGCCACTCAACAGCAGTACTTGGCAGAGGTATATGAAGTGGAACTGGGTGATCAGAAGAAGGCTCTGGAAGCCTACGAGAAAGCTGCCGAGTGGTTCGACAGTGATAACGCTGAAGCGTATGTCGTTCTTCCCCCATTCTTCCAGAATGCCACTTACTAATTCTCTGGGCCGATTAGCCTTGCAAACAAGCACTACCTCAAAGCTGCTGATTTGGCCGCCCTGGAAGGCGACTATTACAAAGCTATTGAACACTATGAGAGAATCGGCCGTTCATCCATTTCCAACAACCTGATGAAGTGGTCCGTTAAAGATTATTTCCTGAAGGCTGGAATCTGCCATTTGGCCACTAATGTACGCGTTCCGGCCGTTTCCTTGATATATCCAACATTTACTAATCATGTTTAGGATCTGGTTGCCACCAACCGCGCCCTCGAGAACTACCGTGATATTGATAACACTTTTGCCTCAACACGGGAGCACCAGTTGCTTATTGACCTCGTTCAGACCATTGAACAAGGTGACCAGGAGGCCTTCGCCGACAAGCTCTTCCAGTTCGATCAGCTGAGCAAGTTGGACAAGTGGAAGACAACCCTACTACTCCGCATCAAGAGCAATATCGAGGAGCAGGCAGAGGATTTCTCTTAGATAGTTATATCCATATCTCTTTTTGCGTTTTAGTTTCACACATACCTCACCACATAAATTCAAAAGTAGCGCCCCTCGCTACTTGTTTGGATGTTCGTTGTTATCGCGGTTATTACCTCAGTTTTACGGTGCACTACGTGTCTTGGATTTGGGGCTTGCTCGTAAATATACATATTTTCAGCTATTTCGGAAAGGGTGTTACTGAGCTACTAATTCATTCAATTACCCATGCGAGAGAACCGGATATTAGAAAAAGAAAGATCGTAACTCATTAAAGCTTGACCTGATCTACTTATTGAAATCTATATGAAATCCTAATGCTTTTTTAAACACCCCTATCTTTCAAGAGGTGAGAATCGTCAATTCATGCAACCGACTTTGTGGTATCATATCATCTTTCCCTTTGAAATCGCCCATGTCAATTCCGAAATCCCAGCGGCAAAAACACAAGAAACCCTTAAGCAGTAACCTCTTCGAGAGCGCGAGCCTTCCGAGGGAAGACCCGCTTGTACAAGCTGATACCGATCGAATCCTGAGGGTTGATCTTGGCATCGAAGGTAGCCTTGAAGTAACCGTGGGTACCCAGACTCTCCTTGATGAAACCGCTGCGGCCTCTTCTGGTCCACAGCTGGAGGGCCTTGAACCAGTTGATGTCCTCCGGGTTGAAGAACATGTAGCGTACCGTGACGACCCGCTTGTGGATCTTGTATGGGTGGCCGGTGAGGATGGCACGCTTGGCGACAACACGGGACGTATCGGGCGCCACAACTGTGCCGGTTGCGATGAGTTCCAATTGTTCGACATCTGGTTGGTCGTCACCGTCCATGACCTCTGGGTCTTGAACGGACTTGTTCTTGAAAACAAGAATAGGAACGGCGCCCCAGGTAAGGGGACCAATCCATGTTGCAATGGCACTGCGGCCGGGGTGGAGGAAGCGGTCGAATTTGTGCACGTTGTTCGGGGTGTTGCCGTTCGAGGAGAAGATAGGGTTGACGACCAGACGGCGGGGCCCGCACTGGACAATGAGTTCTTCCTTGGACTTCAGTGGCTCTTCGATGTTAGAGGTCAAAGTCATGTTCACGTTAACAACGGTGTTCTTGTGCTCGTGGCGGAGGAGAGAGAAGAGGCACAGCGGCTGTGGCTTGTTACGAAGAGACGTGGACACGGCACGGAGGTGTACGTCCACACGGATACCAGGGTTAACTCCACCGATAAGGGCCTCCCTGACAGTCCTGTTCTTGGAACCCTTGTAGTCAATAATCTGAAGTAGTCGGCGCCAGTCCTCTGGTTCGTGGGGTCGGTCTTCCCTTGTCTCCCAGGGACTAGTCTTGAAGTTCTTTAGACCTCTGAAGCGTGCCAAACGTTCTCTGGCAAGAACGTTAGGGTGAAGTTCGATTTCATCGGGGAATTCCAAATCCTCCTTGGCTTCCTTTCTGCGGCTGGCCCGGTATTCCTCCAGCTCTTTTTCCTCGTCTTCGGGTGATGGGTCAGCAAACATCTCTGACTGGGGGTACTCGGTAGCTCCGGCTTCCGTCATCGCGTCGTGGTTGTCTGGGAAGACACCGTCTTCTGGCGCTCCAGCTGTGTCCATAGCCATCTCCTCGTCCTCACCATCGCTCATGTCTGATCCGGAAACAGAAACATCGTCCAAGAACCATGCAGATTGGTACTCTGATGTACCCTTGGGTAGTTTCTTGGGCTTGGAAGGGATGTGAGAGTCGTCGTCTGAGAAGTAATGGTGTTCGTCAAGCAAAACACCCTTCCGTTCCTCCTCGGGAATTTCCATGTCATCATCCTCCATTTCAATCTCCTCCGGCGCCACAACAGCCAGATCATCGATGTCCTCAGTGGGAGTATCCAAAACTTGAGAGGATTCGCTCTCGTCAACATTCATAGCATCGTCACGTTTGCCTCGTGCTTGCGGCAATGGGGCAGCTGTGATTGAGTCGATCTGGAAATCACCCCAGCCGGGGATGTGGACTAAACGATCAGCCTTCAATCCCCTTCCACGTACAATACCGGTCACGACAACATCATCCACAACTTCGGAGTTGGCCTCGGGCCAGGCGACATTTTCGATGAGCATCCAGCTACGATCATCGCGCCAGCGGATACCCTTGGGCGTAGCGGTACAGAGAGAACGGATGGCGTTGGAACATTCTTGTCTGGAATCCACAGAGAGAACCTTCTCCACTGATGGGAAGAAATGGTTGATGAATGACTTCAGGGAAGAGGCGACCTGTGGGCGTTTCTTGGGTGGGTTGATCTTATCAAGTCCCTAAACAGTCTAGTCAGCACCACGAACGCTAAGAAGCAGACCAAGCCCCATACCTGAACGACCGCAAGGACGTTAGAGATACCCTGACCCTCGATGGAGCGCAGGATAAGTTCGCCTTGCTCCTGAACCTCAACCTCCGACGAAAGAGCCAGGACCACAAAATCCGCCATACGACACACATCCAAGGCATTCATCAAATCATACTTCGCGGGGATATATTGCACACTCTGCCGGAAGCGATCGATGCGCACGCGGGAGAGGGTATCGGGGGAGACATCGCAAGAAACCTCCACGCTCTCATTCAGGGACCGTATGATAGCGGCAACATCGACGTCCGCCGAGAGTGGCACAACGGCGACATGGCGGGGAGCACCATTCTGACCGGCGAAGATGCTGGTTGCTTGGGCCTTCTCCTGGTGCTTCACCTGCTGCTTCTGGCGGGCTTGATTCCTCCGGTCGAGCTTCGACATAAGTTGTTGGTGAGGGGTCTTGCGCGTGCCCCGCTCGCCTCGTTCAACTTTGCCTGCAAGACATTAGCAATAGGTTCTAGACCATAAAAAAAAATACAGTAAAAAATGCGGCCTGATCATACCCTTCGCCTTCTCCTTCAGCGCACCCTTAGACGCATGTTTGGTCTTGAATGGCTTGTGGGAACTTTTGGTGGTGGAACGGTGATGGTGCTGCATCGTTTGGGTGGGCGCCGAATTGGCACCGCTGGACCCTTTGAAACGGAAGGGGAGGGATTCCAGTGTGAATTTATTTACAGAGAATGTAAAATAGAAAGCGAAACTGAAATATGATAAACCGGTACACAGTAAACGGCCCAGCAGGTCCCCAGTGGGCAATGAGATCGCCTAGCGGTCAGTTTGCAGAAAAAAAATCCCGCTGTGGTGGACAAGCGAAAGGAAAAAAAAGGCTTGGCATGAATTTTCCTGCGAAAGACCCGCAAAACCTCCGGATCGTTACTCCAACACCTTTCTTCTTACCTTTCCACTTTGGATTATTGGGCTCGTCTTTTTCACTTTTTAGCTTTCTTTAATTTGCCTTTCTTCCTCGCTGTCACACTTCTGTATTTCCCCACAGATGGCGGATACTCCGTCAACCAAGGCCGTCGCGCCGGCCAACAAAAAACGCAAAGAGAATAAAGCACTCATTGAAGCGCAAAAAAAATATGGACGAGGAAAGGCTATTCCGATGCAAACCGTGAGGGACAAGAAGCTGCGCGCCAATCTCCGATCCGTCGAGAACAAGTTCAAACAAGCTGCGCTTAAGGCAAAGGATGCGGAGATTCTCTTGGAG